TCATACCTTGTGTTCTTCCCAACCAGTTCATACTATTCAGATTGTTACTAGGAACCCTAACCCAGTTAGGCCCCAGTAGGATCTCTAACACCGTTGTTCTCTTCTCAGCGGGGTCTTCGCTAGGCTCATAATATATTTTAGCGAAATCACTAAATATATTTAGTAGAGATTCTTCGTCTTCTACTATATCCGCGAGCGTTACGTTAGCGCCCCGTATACTAGTAGCTTCTAAGGAAATTATCGTCATTATATCGATGGTACTCTCATCGATAGCCGTATCTTTCATTAATTTATATAGCGATACGCGTATAACTCGCTAATGTCTATCACTTTTATAGCTCTACGTACCCGAATCTTAGTCGATATTAGAATTAATCTTTACTAGCCATAGGTAGCCTAGGATCGTATCATAACCCTAGATATCCGTTGCGATATAGTTATGCGTACGCTTTCTACGTTCGCCTTGTATATTAGTAATATACGTATCTAGGCGGTACTAACTATATACTTTAATAGCGTACTTAGCTACCGTTCTCACGTAATACTTAATGACTATAGGCTTCATCTCTATTTCTATAATAAGAAGCTAAGAGATAAAGTTCGCTTACGCTTCGCTATTAAGTAGCGTACGTATTACCTACGATCCGTATAGCGTATTAATTTAGATCTCTAAGGTGAGTGATTACGGTGTTCCGGGTTAATTATTCGCGTCTATATCTTTAGGAAATCCTAGCGCTACGGCGACACTAAGTAAACTAAGACTTAGTTTTTTAATTTCTTCTTATTATTAGTATACGAAGCGCCCGCGCTTTAAATACGCTTTAATTATCGACACTTCGCTTCCTTATATTCTTACTTTCCGTAGTTATAGTAAGAGCTAGCGAACTTTTTCCACTTAGCTATAGAGTCTTTCTCCGTCTTCTTATCTTCTTTAGATTCCTTACTCGTAGACGGTCTTTCGTACGAGCCGTATACGGTTCGCTTATAAGAAGACGAGAAGCTATCTAAGTCTTTCTTTTCCGAAGTCGAATTATTCGTTAACTAGAATTCGACCTTACTTCGTTATCTAAGTACGTCTTCGTATCGCTAGACCGAAGTTAGAATTTATTTACGAAAAATAATCTTCTTATATTTATATATTACTTTAGCGCGAATCGTAGACGATAAGATATTAAGTAGTATCTATATCTTTCGCTTATTCTCTATTATCGTTAAAATATTCTCTTCGATGCCTTTAATCTTCTAAAGTAGTTCTCGCACCGACTAACTTAAACCTTACTTAATAGTCGTAAGCTTCGTAAGTGCTTCTTCTTTTCGCACCGAAGGATTCGCGACGACGTTCTTTAGATAAGTGATATAGTCTAACTATCGTTCGAAGCTAGATTTATCTTTAGCCTATACGTTCGTAGCTCGATTCGTTAAGAATGTCGCTATATATCGTATACGCTAAGTATATCCGTTCTCTACGACTTTAGAGAGAGCACTAAATTACAGCTCTTATCCGACGCTATATTTTTATAGTTCCGATATAGATTTTCTATTAAAGAACGAAGGTATCTCTAGCTTAATAGCCTTATTTAATATTAGACCTTCGTTATTTTCTAGGCTTTCGTTTACTAGCCGCTTACGAGTTAATAGCGTAGTGTCTACGATCTCTATATATCGCGTTAATTCTCTATCTTCTAGTTCTACGAGTATAGCTTCGTTTTCTTATTTAAGACGATATCGTATAAGTCTTCGCTGTAATTCTTAATACCGTCGATGTATCTATTCATCTTCGTCGTCGAGTATATCGAGAGGATTAACTGCGCCTCGCTCGGAAGTCGTATCTACTTCTCGCTCTTCTTCGCGCGAGTTACTCGGTATGATCTAGCTCGACGACTGACCCGCGGATATACTCCCCGACCGAGAGCGAGTGATTACTCTTTCGCCGGTGAACATCCTACGTATCTTACGCTTATCGCTTACTTCGACCGACTTAGAGTTAACGCTTTAAGAATATTAGGGATTCCTTAGTAAGTAGGTAGAGTCTAACGATAAGCGTATATATAAGTCATCCCTATAGTATATAGTCGATACTGTACACGACTTAAAGCGTAAGGGAGGAGAGAATGCGCCTCCTATGCGGGGAGTGTGCTAGTAATAAGGATGCGCTCCCTGAGCCGCATCTCTTGGCTGGTGGCCTAATTATTCCCCGGTGTATTAGGCGTCCGTCCTTTCGATGTTTAGTCGAATCCGTAATAGAAAGCGTGAAGAGCTTGAACGGCTCTTTTATCACGGAACTGATACTTCTTTGCTAAGTTTCTTTACTGAACACCACGGCGACGATGAACTCTCTTTCGTTTTTGAGGTCCTCGACCAAATCCTACTTCGTCGCAAAAGCCGAATTAATACTAAAACCAATACTCTGTTTACTGCTATTCCGAGACGCGATCGAGTCGTTTAAGAATAGTTAAGTGTAAAACCCGCGAAGTTTGTGCTGCCATATAATATCCAACACCGCGTTCGGCCATTCGACGTTGAGCTGTACGATCTAAGATATTAAAGCCGAGATATCTTGCGACTCGGCCATGAGCGATAGTAGAGAGCTCAAAACTTGCGTTCTTAAAGGTCTCAATGACGTCGAGATCTGCTTCGCTCAGCTTGCGTTTTCTGCCTCGATTGGCTTTATTACTAGCGCTTCGAGCATTCTGTGATCTGAGTATTCGATATCCTGTGCTCTCTGAGACGCCGTGAGCTTGAAAGATTTGACGCTGAGTCTTTTTGCCTTGTAAACTAGCGTAATCTGAGATAATTCGTTGTCGTCGCGGAGTATCGACTATATGGCTCTTTTCCCGTGGACTTGATTTAATTAACTTGATAGATGTGTCTTCCTGTCGACAGCGTTTTCGACGTTTATTTTGAGAACTCATTATTCCCTAGTAATTACTAGGAAAAAGTGGAAGGTTTGAATGGTAGGCGAAGGTAAACCAGACACGTTTGTACGCGTCTCGGACCTCGGAAATAAACTGTCACGAATTTTGGCGCTAAGCACTAGGCCAAAATTGCTTGGCAATGCTTCTTTCCCCAAGTTTCTCGCTCGCCCCTAACACAAGCTGGGAGTCGCTGGATCCTCCTAAATACTCGAGAGATGCAAGCAGTGCAAGTGCCTACTATGTCCAAGCAATCGCAGAGGACCACCACGTGTCCAGTATAGAGTTACAGGTTCTGGCCCTGCTGGGAGGCTTTCGAAACGGGCCCAATAGGAAACTCTCGGACATGTAATGCGGAGGCGCTGTGGCCGAGAAGACGACAAAGCCCAACCTGCAGCAAGGCTTCAAGCGCAGGAGGGTCCAACTGAGCAGAGACCATGTTAGGCCTCGGTGGGCGCAAAAATTCGCGCCGCGAGACGATCGACCACACCAAAGAGCTCAAGCATGTTATACGTTACTGACGAAGGGATTGTGTGTGTCCGCTGTACAATGCAGATATCGACAGGAAGGGGTTAGGGATGTAGTGGATGTCGAAAATCCTCCGTCGTGGTGTGGAACCGCCGTACAGAGTACTCCTACTCGTCAAACAAAGATTCAAGGCCGCCATCCAGTGAGACTAGCTATTAAAGGTCGACGCTCAGATACCCAGAAGAAACGGTACAGTGCTTGTGTGGTGGGAGAAATCATGCTCCAGAGTTTTCTGCCGTTGAAAGGCCGCTCACCGTGATTTCGCCGAATGCAGAGACAATGTTAGTCGGTAGTGATGATAACTTGACTGGACGCGTCTCCCGGTGAGAGGATCTCATCAGGGGAGTGTCACTTCCGATCGACGTTCGGAGCAACTTCTTTCATATAAGAGAGACTTCGCGACAGCTAATTTTGTTATCGTCAAGGAGAAGTGAAAAAGAGGTCGATTGTTCGGCCGTAGCGAACAGCTGGAAAACATAAAATACTCAGGAAATCTGTAAGGACGAGCCCGCAGAGATGAAGAGCTACTGTTTCAAATAGGAATTCAACATAGGGTATCAGTCAAGAGTGAAGATTTCGGGTTTCTCCGACACAGATTGTGTTACAAGGTCGTGGACAGACACTCAGGAAGACCGCGTTTGCCCCAGCCCGGAGACTGCATGGTCCTCAAGCTTTCGGGAGAATAGCTGTCTTCTCGCAACGGTAGCTTCTGTCTCCGAAGCAAGAGCCAGACCGATGACTGTGACAGCGGGCATGAAACCGACAGCAGCCACTGCGGTCGGGCTCCCAGGCATCAATGTCTTTGCCTTCGCTGCCGAGGACATCAAAGCTGCCCTTTGCGCCATCTCAGAACCGGTACCACCAAGGTTCACCTGCGTTATCGTCCGCTGGGCCAGAATCCGCGCAGCTTGGGTCGGGAACCAGACCCGGCTTCCCAGAACAATTGTCCAAGTCAACAATGCCAGACTCCCTGCCTGATGTGCACTTGCAAGTCCAGTCGGTACCAAATATAATAGCGTGGAAATGCCAAGGATGACCTGCAAGCACGCAAATCCGACAACCCCATGGACTCCCTTCTGTGCCGCTCTCGGTAGGATCTTCTGCATTGCCGCGGACCGTGAGAATGCCCATAGCGCCATAACTGCAGTGAAAGTGGTCGTCGCAAGAATCCTGTGATCAAGCTGGACCAAACTAGGATTCTCGAGCAGGTTGCGCCACCAAAGGTCACTGTGGTCGGGTGCCCGGCAGTAGAACTTGTCCCATAGCTCGCTCTTCGGAGGCGTGAGGCCCAATCCCATGAATGGGAATTCGTTGTAGATCAAACCTGCATCAAGACCTGCGACCAGACCACCAGACATTGCTGTGATGAAGACCAGACCTGCAAGGAGGGAGACATAGCGCTTGAACGGCTTTAACGCTGGGTTACTCAAGGCTTTGAGCGTCGCGTTTGCACCGTCAGAGGAGACGCGTAAGATCTTGTTCGTTCGTAGGATATCAAGACCGTTCCAGAGCATGGCAAGGTAGCAGATGAAAGCTGCGCCAAGATGCGCCGTCAAACGGTACTGCGAAACACGCGGATGGGAGCCCGGCGCGAATAGGTCGTCTTTCAACCCCGACTTCACCATCCACCAGCCGATGAAGCCCTGGAATCCAATTAAGCCTGCTATGCCCACTAACCTCATTGCCATGGTACGGGAGACTTGCTTCCTCGCGACGAAATAGACAGCAGGCAACACAAAGGAGAGCCCTATGAATCGCCCCCAAAGCCGATGGATCCATTCCATCCAGTAGATGGATTTGAACTCTTCGAGAGTCATGCGCGAATTGAGCATCTTGAACTCAGGGCTCGAGCGATATTTAGCGAATTCAGACTCCCAGTCTACGTCAGACATGGGGGGGAGAGAACCAGTGACGGGTTTCCATTCCGTGATGCTCAAACTGGGTTTTCGTTGCTCGAGTCAGCAAGTTCTCTACACGGGATCGATTCCAATGTCCAAAAGGCTGAAGGTGTGTAATGACTGGCAATACATACCCTGACTCGGTAAGTCTGGTTAATCCTCCAAACACCACGATCCCAAAGACACTGGCAGCGCTTCCCAGAAGCCAGTAGGCCACAATATTTGACGAGGTATCTGGGAAGGACTTCCTGCTCTTGCTCTCACTTTCTTTTTCTCCGGCATCTTTGCTTTGCGTACTTGAACCGGTAGCTTCATCGCCAGCGCCAGGGGCTTTCGTATTCGCAGAATTAGAGAATGTTCGGATGTGCGTACTCGGCTGGGATCGGTCCCTAAAGCTGTCTGAAGGGCGGTAGGTCTTGGAGCGTCCGCAGTATCGTATTGATGGACCAGAACGCGTGCTGAGGTTTCGGCCCTGTTTGATCGTAACCGACGATGATTGCGTTGTTCCTCTCGAGCGTGTACATTGGGGTGGGAGCTTGCCAAACTGAGAGGTATAACTGCGACGGCTGCACTCGAAGAACCGTTTCGACAAGCCTGGTGCAACTTCACGAAGGGTCCTCGAGAAGGCTGACGAAGGCAGCATCACGACAGTTTTCGACGATCCCGCCCTATAACCTCGTGGAATACCGAGCAGAGAAACCTGAATTAATACTTGCACAACACGACGTTGAGACGTCACGACGGCAAGGGAGCATTTCGCATTGGCCAATCGGAACATTTAGGAGACGCGTCTACCCATCGAGCTTCCTTCCGTAAGGATTCTTCTATTATCACACCACTCCCGACCACTCTCAATCCTTCACAGGGTATGATGTCCTGCGCACATTTTTATTTTCTGAAGAAACAAAAAATTCCCAAAGTAAAACATGGTGGCATTTTGTGTTACAGAATCTAGCTATTAATCATCATTACTGTTTCGTCACCGTGAGCACAGAAGCCGCTTTCCATTGCCAGGAGAATCAATCCGTCAATAATGGTCCAATATGTCGTCCACTCCTTGACTTCCCTGTCTCTGTGGAGTTGGCCTATCTCGGGGACCACTGGGGAGACCCGACTGTGGTCCAAAAGGGGTGTATGTCCTTACTGGCTCGGTGACACTACGAATGGTAGCACTTGGAGGAATTGATGATGCCGGAGTCATCGATCGCTCTGCCGAGTAAGGAATATAACGAGCAGAGTTTGACGTCTGTAGTCGAGGCAGCGTTGGGCCTCCGCTCGGTGTCATGGACCTAACTGGCCCGACGCCATTTGGTGTAAATGACCTTTCTGGGGGACTCTGAGTGGGAGTTTGCGATCGGAACTGAGGTCCCGGTAGGGGTGAGTTTCGTCCTCTTTCTTCGGGAATACCAGCAAATGCTGGTCCAACAGCAGGCCCGGGGGTACGACGACCTGATGCGTCAATTTGGCTATCGAAGTTTGGTCCTGACCATGATGGTGGCTGAGTCGATGGCGTCGAGCTTCGATCATCTGGATATGGGAAGGCGTTGCTGTTTTCCAAAGGATATCTTCCCCGTCCATTGCTAGACATGCTCGTACCAGGTCGTGGGAGAGGATCCATCTGATATGCACCAGGACCACTTCTGTCACCCTGTGCTGTACCTGGTCGAGGAAGGGCAGGACTAAAGGACCGTTGCGGAGGTTGTGACAGGTTCGATACGCTGCGGTTTGGTGCTGGCCTTCCATACCAGGGACTGTTCGCCTCAGACGCTGGTGTCTGGACCCGATCAGGTACAAATCCCATGTCTGCGGCCGAGCCCATCAATGGAGCATTTGACGTGTAGCTTGACCACGACGCTGCGGATCCATGGGTTACAGTTCGAGTAGGCATGGGTGGGCGAGGCGTGATATCAGGCAGAGTAGGAACTGCATCGTCACTGCTCCTGCTTGTGGCTGGTCGAGACGTGTACTCCGGGAGAGTTGTCATTGTCGTCTGTCTTGACAGCGGAGGAAGCGAGTCGCCATCGGCACCCGCAATATTCGGCAAGGTCGGTTGCTTCTTCATATCTGTCCCTTCACGAGCCGCCCTGGCCTCTGCTCGGGCTCGGAGCGCGTTCTCTTTCTTGAGTGCTTTGTCAACCTTGATCTTGATAACCCTCTCCATCCTTCGGTTAATCTTGTTACGGCAATACCCCGTTAGTCCTCCATCCTCAGTGGGGATATGGTGCCAAAGAAAGACGAGGTAGAGAATGACCGAAATGATAAGACTGATGACGGAGATGACCCAGATGACAAGAGTCCACAGCATACCGAAAAGCACGACGGCCTGCAAATGATTGGAATCGGCCAAGATTCCAACATTGACAAAGAACTGAACCACCGGAGAGTGGCCATCTGATGGAGCGTGTTCACCTTGCGGAACCAACTTCAACCTCAACACCGAGTATAGTGTGATGGCGTTGACAACTTGTCGAGGTCCTTCTGCGAAGACGATACGGAGCCAAGCTTCGAAAGAGAAATATGCGAACAAGGCAACGTAATCGGCTCCCTTTCGACTCTTTGTCAACTCAGCGAAGACCAAGAAACGCTTCCATCCTCTTGCCTTTCCCCACCGGATTGATTGAATGCGCACAGCCAATGGGTCCAAGTAGGTTTTCGCGACTCCGCCCTGCCGCATTACCCGGAGTGCCTTCATCCATCGGTAGACGAGTAGAACGAATGATAAAATAATACACCCGGCGAAGATCCATCGAGAGATGTTGAGTGGGATCTCGGGCTTTATTTGACCAGCCCATCTATCGAAGGCGAGGAGGTTGATGGCTGTAAATGTGTCAACTGCGTAGACGGATAATGAGACGACAAGCATGACCAAAAGATAGCCATAGGCAAAGGGGGTCCAGCATGATGAAGATTTGAAGTCGTCGAGGTTCTGCAATACATGTCAGTCGGAATTGGCTTTCCCAGCCCAGGGGATGCCTACAATGTAGTCCCATTTCTGCTCAGCACTCAAATTCCCGAACTTTTCTCGTTCGCCTCCGCAAAAACCCATGGCGAATATGGTATTTGAGTTGTGTAAAGATCGTTCAAGACGCTGCGACCTGGCAGCGGCTTATGAAGTAGGTCGTGATAGGGGGCAGCCGAGCGCGGGTGGCCGGATTCTATTTCTGCGGCAGTTGTACTTTGTTGTCTCGGACGCGGCGCAGCCGAAGGCCAAGTGTAACAAGAGTCCAGCTCAATTGCCTCGGAAAATCGAGACCTTTTGTCTTGTAATGTCTCTATTGCATCGCTGTCCCATCCGGCTGTCACCAGAGACAGAGACCGCAACCGCCTCTTCTCGATATCCAAGAACCGACGTTCTCCACCTTCGAGGAGGGATGCTGTATGACAGACGAGAGCAGAGAAGAGGTGTCGGCAGAAATCAACTGCCGTGTGGATTGCTCGTCGTCCGTCAAGGTGGACAAAGCGTGCAGCAAGGACGCAAGACAAGGGGAGGCTGGTAGAATAAAAAGAACGTGCGTGGGTCGAGAGCGGAACAGGAGAACAATGACACAGAAAGAGCAGAGGAATAAGGAGCGTCTATGCTGAATGAGAGACTTGATACGACAATGCAAAGGAATGGACTGAATCAGGAAACCTGAATTGAAGGGGCGGGTCGGTGAATAGGACGAGAAGCTTGAAGTGAGGAGAGGGTGCAGCAGAACTGCTAAGCTGATGGTGTTGCTGGAATGATCATTGACGGGACAAGGAGCTGCCGTTGGTGCCGTGTCGGTGCCTGTCACCGCCTGTGCGTGCCTAGTGAGCCTAAGGCCTAGATTACCCGCCCCCAAACTTCAAACTGCGCTAGGTGTCTTAAATGGCCTAGATATGGCTAGTGAGGCGCATTAGGCTCTTCCTCCGCCGCTCCCACCGCCCCTGTCGAGCATCCTAGTGTCCTCAAACACGCCGCCCACACCTTCGGACTCTGCTGATTCGCCCTGCGCGATCGTCCTCATGCAGGAACCCGTTTGAGCGTTGGGATTGCGAGATCGTCAAAGTTGCATCACTCTTAGCACGCGTCGAGACACATCTCTGCGGCCATTGGATCCTGTAAAGGTCACGTCCTGGAGTTCATCGAGAATGGTACGAACCACAATTCTATTTCAATGAAGCTATCGTCCTGTTGAGAAGATATTTTCTCTTCTACACGCCTGTGAACAGACGCAGCAAACACGCAGACGCCTCGGCTACGCCAGACCGCCACAGTCATTGGTCCCTGCTTTATCGAGCCGACTTCAGCTCCTGCTTCCCTTTACCACCCGCCCGGCCTTGAAAGCCCCACGAAATCTGGTTCGCAACGTGAATCTCGACCCCAAGGTCCTCGGCAAAGGTCCAAACAAGGCCTGGGTTCTTCTGGAAATACCGTCCCACAAAAGTGGCATCCAGGCCTTGGTCAAGAAGTTCTTGTGCTAGAGTTCCTGTTGTGATGGACCCAACGGCTCCAACAAACAAAGAATCTCCCACTTCTTTCTTCACAGCCACTGAAAATGGGGCTTGATAGCCTGGTCCCCCTTTGATTTTTTGGGCAGGGTGGATGCCACCCGAACTTGTGTCGAGAAAGTCCACGCCCAACTCAGCCAAAACCGGGGCCAGCTTAATTGTCTCGTCAACGGTCCAGCTTTCTGGGAATTCGTCTTGACCCTTCAACCAGTCGTCCGCGCTGATTCGGAAGAAGAGCGGCATATCCTTGGGAATCACAGCCCTCACAGCCTCGACAATTTCTCGGGGCAATCGTGTCCGGTTTTCAAAGGATCCGCCATATTGATCGGTTCGCTTGTTGCTGATTGGGCTGAGGAACTCATGAATGAGGTAGCCATGAGCGCCGTGGATCTCGATGACGTCGAATCCAACCTCTACGGCTCTCTTGGCAGCGGCCACAAAGGCAGTCTTGATTCTTTGGATGCCCTCGATTGTGAGAGCATTGGGATGAGGGTAGGTATCCTGGAAGGCAATGGCGCTCGGAGCAAGTGTCTCAGTAGGCCAGCCGCCGGCTTCCTTCTGAGCAGTATCACCCCTACTCAGCCATGGGGCAACAGTGCTGGCCTTGCGACCAGCATGGCCTAACTGGATACCGATCTTTTGGCTCTGGCTGTGCGCAAACTCGACGATTCTCTTCAAGGGGCCCATTTGACCATCTTCCCAAAGACCACTGTCCTCGGGGGTGATTCGGCCTTCCGGGGTGACTGCCGTTGCTTCGACCAGTGCGAGACCCGGACCTCGCTGAATGATGCCACCAAGGTGAGCCAAGTGCCAGTCAGTCAGATAGCCGTTCTGGGCGGAATACTGGCACAAGGGCGACAGAAAAATCCGGTTCTGGAAAGTGACCCCGCGAATGGTCAGAGGCTGGAAGAGCTTGGGAATCGCACTACCATCGGACTGAGGGTTCTTGGCTGTGCCCGAAGGAGGCGATTGAGCGGGTGTGAAGTATGAGATTCCAGGAGCACCCTTGTTGACAATGAGAGGCTTTGCATCATGCGTATCCATTGGGATTGCAGGTGAGATATGACAATTGCGGGATAAATTGATGAGTTTTTCCGGGTTGTGAATGGATGATGTTTGGGAACTATGGGCAGGGTTGCGGACTCGACTGAAGGCTTGATGAGTTGAACAAGCGAAGTTAATGATACTTTGGTTTTTATATATGCGGGTACAGTACCTAGTTAGCCTTCCGGGCCTTTCCATGTCCCTTCGCTCTGCTCGAGAGGCCACGGAGAGTCCTTGGGCGATTTTTCCACACGAGTGAGCTTTGAAATCAACTGCCAAATCCACCCAATCAGCATTTAGCTCACGACATCAATAAGGGAAACCTCGACGGCGTCATCTGCTCCAAGGGTGACTGACATGGGCACAAGCAGAATCCCGTACGACTCGTTGGAACTCGTCCCAGACGGAGGCAGACAGATTTGCCCACCGGGAGAGGGAGGCGCCCACAGCCATCAAGAAGATTGCGGGCGGATATCAAGTTCCGGGCCTTCGTCAGGGCATTGACGTAGCCCCGGACCAAGATTCGTGCAAGGAAGACCATTAATCGTACAGCCCGAGCCCTCTGCTGTGTACTACATAGGAGTTGGAGATGCTGAGTAACATGTACGATGAGCTTGTGATGGCGGCTTGGCGGGACCGTTGTTCTTTTATGATTTCGTCCGACAGACATCGTAGAGCTAGAGTACAAAGTGTGTCACCAAAGCAGACAGCGTGCCCCGCGGGATCATCTTTCCGTCAGACAACCGTGCCTCGGCAAATACGACATCGTACTCGAATGTTCTTCATTTTTGTACCGCTTCGTTGGATTCATCCGGCGGATCTTTTCTCTATGCTTTGTCAAAGGCATGAGGTCTTCGCAAATATTCACATACCACAACAAACGGGTCGGGCTCTTTTCCCATTTGGCAATCACTTCTGTCAGCAACCTACCGAGTACTGTGCGCATACCTATTTTGGTCATGCCGATTTCAGCCTTGTACGATTCAATAGCTCAATAAGGCTCGAGTACAACAAAGTTCGTTTTCCACAAGGCTACACTAACAAGTCGCTGTGGATGTCGGCTGTCAATGAGCAAAAAAAAAAAAAAGGGCTAGGCATTTCATAATTGGTCCAAAAAGTGGTTATTTGTATACTGTATGATCAAGAGGGCCAACCTTTTCCCGGCAAGGGCCCCATCACAGCCGCTAGACGTCTCGTTGCTTGTTGGAATCATCAAGTCATAATCACGAGACAACACGAATGCTCGTAGAGCAATGCCTTCCGCGCGGCGGCTCAAATGTTGCCAATGACGACCATATACCTCAACTTCCCGTCCTTGCTAGACTTCGTCGTGTCACATGCGCCAATCCCGTCGTCGAGCTGCATTTGGCTGCTTTTCCATCCCCAACTTTTGCTGACATCGAACTTGTCTGGGGCGCTCTCGTAGATGCTCAAAAGTCGCCCGCCCTTGCTGGGCGAATAGATCTTAAAATATGTCCGGATGGTTGGACGCCCGTCCATGTAGGGCGGCATTGCGGAAACATTGTATTTCCTGTTTGTCCGTAACAACTCTGCGTCCTCCTCATCTGAATCTAGCATCAGTATATCGGGGGGAGAGGAGTCGCTGGACAGTTGTCCTGCAGTTTCTGGGTTCTGCGAGGACTTCTGCGCCGACTTTGCCGACCGCCGTCGTAAAGACACTCTTTCGCCTTCACTGACCTGCAGATTGGAACTGTCGTACTCATTTGTTGACTCTACTGATGCATCCTCCGGCTCGACCGCCGATCCTCGAATGGGCTCATTGACGTGCCAGCTTCGGTTCCGCCGTTCATTCTTCCGAAGTAGCATCTCCCGCTCCAGCTGTCCGATGCGATCGTCTACGGTGGAAGACATCCACAAGGCAAGTGGGTCTTCACATGGATCTTTATCCTTGGCTCTGTGCAAGTATATGCCCAGCTGTTGGACTTTCGAATTATTGACTCGCTGGATATAGAGGTTCCACAGACTCCCCGCATACCAAACTGTGTGTGAATAGACACGTTTCTTCTCTTTCAGTGTCCGCGGGCTTGGAAATTCCGCCGAAAACCGAAAGGGGGGGTAGTAGCTGAAACGAGGCGTCGACGTTGGCGAATAGCCTCTCGACGGAGGCCTGCCGCTGTCAATTATATTGCCACTTGTGAAGTCGAGAGCCCACGCGACGTCAGTGGGCTCAAGGCTAGCCGACAACCTGGCTGCATGAGTGCTCCATTCTGCAACGCTCGTAGAGTTGGCAGCTACACAAGCTTCTCGCGTGCCTCCCATAACGCAGGAGACATCGTGGTTCGGAATCCAAAACTTTCGAGGCTTGCCGTTGCCATCCCAGGAGCCAGACTCCATTTCCTCAGAGGCTTCATTTGAGCTGACCGGGCCATTGTCTCGCGACTTCCCTTTCTTATGGATTGATGTTTGCTCGGAGTGCTCCTCGGCAGCTTCGAAATCTTCCGCTACCTCGCTCAATCCGAGTGTCTCGTCAGTCTCCCGAGCATTGAGAACTTTCTGACGAAGTTCCATCGACATCCATAAGGCATCGCCTATGACCTTCTCCGGGAGGACTGGGACTCCAAGGATGTCTTTTTGTGTCCGAATTTGCTGCAATTGTTCGAAACGAAGATGAACGTAATGGATCCCTTCATCCAGGAGCACGAGGATTGGGGCAATTTCAGGAGAGGTGTATAGCGCAACCCAGGCCTCATCCTTTTCGGAAACGTACCGATTGTGCCCGGTTATCCTGTAAGGTGCATCAAATCTCACGGCAAAGAATCGCAGACTTGTCGGTTTGGGATGTAGATATCGACCACTAGGAGAAACTAGCCCGCTTTCGATGGCTTTGGCCCTCAGTCGGCGATTCAAGAGCTTTAACGAGAGATACCAACGCTCCCACTCGCATGGTACAAAGAAAGGGTCCCCGCCAACGATCTCGCGGATGATCTCGGCCGGGATCTCATCCCAGTACCCATATGGCATCTCCCAACCATCTTTGCAGAGCATGGCTTTCGCAGAAGAGAGAATTCGATCCCCAGCTTTTCCGTAGTAGTTGTTAGTTACTAGCTTGATCAAGCTGTGAAGGGTAGCTGGCTGCATCTGGCGAAGGATTGAGTCAACACAGGAGTCTACCAGGTCAGGCATATCAAGCCAACAAGCTGTAGCGAACAGCCCAATGGCTTCTTCCTCTTCTTGAACCGGAAACTGCGTTCCATAGATCCTCTTCAGAGCAAGCTCGAAGGCATTTTTAGTGATATTGGGATCGAGGTCTTCGCAGGGGATTTTCATCTCTCGCGCCGTGCTCTCCGCCCAAGATCCAGAGAATGCAGACGAAAAGTATGGCACACGATCGAGGAGAAGTTTGTGAAGTCTGTAACTCTGACCGAATGCATACACAGTAATGTCTGAGTGGCGGCCTTCCTCAAAGCCATGGTGGAAGAGATGCCCTGTAAGTGTTGACGTACCACCTATACTTCGGCTGACAGTGGACACGGTTCGAAGCTGGGAAGCACCTCTAGATGTTGGATCAGGACTTGTTCCGTCGCTCGTAATGAACAGACGGGCAAGGGTAGCAGAGGTGTTTGCAGAATCGGAATCAAAAGGGTTGGTGATTGCACTTGTCGTCGGGTCATCTACATCCTTTTCAGGATTGAGCAGAGGATGTCGACTGCTCGAGGCAGCCAGTGAAGCTGAGAGGGTGCTGTCTCCTGCCCTTGTATTGGCGCGCCGACTTCCACCGGCGCTTGTTAGAGCTGCCAATGAGCCTGAATTGTTCGAGGACACTGCAGCACTGAGAGATGCCAAAGCGGTGTTCGCGGAGACTGAAGCAGTGGGCGGTCCGGACACGAAAATTGATCGAAGAGGAGGCTCGAACGAGACTGGTGGAGGTTGCTCTCCATAGGCCAAGCCAGGGATTTGGTTCGAAGAAGCTATCCTTCGCTGAGGGAGTGGTCTCGAACTGGGGACCGTGCTCGTGGGTTGCTGAAGAGGGGATCTGATAATGCCCGCAGAGGAAGGCTCGAGATAGCGTGTTGGTTGAGGAGAGGACGTCGCGGTGCCTTGTTCACTCCATGCAGTCCCGTCAATCTCTGGTGTCGAAGTAGATGCATCATATCCCGAAATCAGACCATCGAGGTCGTCTCGTGGAGGACTCCAGCCGCTGAACCGTTCTTGGTCCATAGGATTGCACTGTTGCCAATATCTCTGGTACAGACGACGTCGTTATTGACATAGCCGTCGGGTGGACTCGAGAACCGCTAACAGTTTGCGGTAAGAAGCATTTTGGACACAAAGTGAGGAGACAAGCACAGTGGGCGCCAAAGCTGACGTTCGATTGTCTGATCGGGCGAGACTGTCTAAGTGGAAGCCCAACAGGACCGGTTCTTGGAGGCTAAAGAGTGCTCTTACAATCTTTTAAGAGGCAATCTCGGGCATCGCACGGCTTCCTTCCTACGCAAACAGTGGCAATTGCCCTGGACTGCAAAAGTTGGCAATATGTAGGACAAGGTTGGAGGATGTTGCCAGAGACAGCGGGACGAGACGATCAATCGTCAAGGTGTCCAAGGCGTCACCGGACATTGTCAGGCGATGTCAGGCATTTGTGCAGCAGCCATTTGCACCCACCGAGCCACGTTGGGTCCCCGGACTTACTGCGGACTTAACATTCACATTATTTGTCGACATTTGTCTTCCGCAGGGGACACACTGGTGTTTCTCAACTCACACGGACATACATCAAGAGACGCGGTCATGGCACTCTAGGCATTGGATCTCTACTGGGCTTGCGACCAGCTCAAGACCTTTCCACCTTTTGTTTAGGGGAACAGCAGCATGGCCGGCTTTGTGTCTGCCACTTATCCCTTTCCTGTTCACCATGGAAGGGCCGACCATTACCGCCATCACCGCCATAGTGAATGGTGATCACCATTGCTTCACCGGTCAGGAACCACTTACACCTCGGAATCCTCAGAATACCGCATCGCCGGTTCACTCCCCGAGAGCTCAAAAGGATGCCCAAGACGGAATATCGCTGAAACAGAACAGAGGTTCAACCGAGTCGGACAATACACAACTTCGACCAGACGAAAGGCTGGGCAGTGAGCTCGGCACGCGAAATGGAGTTGGGAACATCCCCAACGGGGTCAGTGATATGGATCATGTCCATGCTGGGGAAGTAATGACGTCCAAAGACACATTGGAAAATGGTGAGACGACAACCCACGCTTGGTCGCTCCCACCCGCTGCAGGGTCAGGTCAATTGGTCATGGGATCTATCCTAGAAAGTCCAAATGGAATGGAGGCCGAACAAAATGGGGGAAGAGTGCACAAATCATTGCCAGACAAAATGCAAAGACCGACGACTCCGGTGGTCTCTCCTGTTCGTGCTGTCGGTCCACAAATTGAAGCTCCAGCCTCCAACGGTGAGCTAAGCCCTCACACAGATACGCCCGTTACCGACAAAGTACCTGCATCCCCCCACGAAGATGTCTTCATTTCGACTCCGAAGACTGAATCAAGCACACTGGGCCGGTCAGAAAACTCAGACACAAAACGAAGTCGTAACCTCACGATCGAGACTGGTATCCAACCGTTTCAATCTGCAGGCAGTCCTTCACTCAGACCCAACCTCCCGCAAAGAGCTTTATCCACTCCCGGCTCGGTAAAGAGCCCTCAGTCTCCCCAAAGGCACGATAGAATTGGCTCACGACCAACTCTCAAAATTCCCGAGACCGGGACAAAGGTTGATGGAACTCAGGGGAGAAGGCATTCGTCTTCTGGACGACCTCTCCCGTCCCCTATGCCGGCATCTATTCCATTGCCGCCCTTGTCGATCCCGACCTATCTCCAGCTCGAACTATCCTCACAACGACCCTCTCAGCTCTACATTCACAGGTCCGCCAACAGTGACTTTCCATATGAGTCTTCACGAGTCAAGATTGAGAGACTGATGAATTTCTTGCTCCTCCCCATGTATCTTGAGAGAGTCCTCTGGTTCGGAACTCTTGCGTGCCTCGATTCGTGGCTCTATACGTTCACCATCCTCCCCCTCAGGCTCCTTAAATCATTTTACATCTTAGCCAATTCTTGGTGCATGAACTTCATGAGTGAAGTGCATTTCGTCTCGAATTTTGTTTACAATGGGACTGGAAGGATGTGGAGAAGACGGAGGAGTAGTCTTGTGCAGGCTTCTACACGGAAGCCCTCGGGTTCCGACACCGGCGAGAGCAAACCTGCTCAAGCTGTTCCATCACAAAATCGCAGGCAAGGAAGACAGCATCAGAGAACAAAGTCGGTGCCATCGGCGTTGCTTCCTGATGATAAAGCGGACATGCTTAAGGGGCTGCTGATCATTTGCACATGTCTTATCCTTCTCAGACTTGATGCTAGTCGGATGTACCATTGGATTCGTGGTCAAGCCGCCATCAAGCTCTATGTCATTTACAATCTCCTGGAAGTCTGTGATCGCCTTTTTTCTGCAATAGGACAGGATGTCCTCGAATGCTTGTTCTCCAAAGAAGCCCTCGAACGGAAGCCAGATGGCCATAGCAAAGTTTTACGGCCATTCTGGTTATTCGTCCTCGCTCTCACCTACACAGTCATTCACTCTACAGCTCTGTTCTACCAGGTCATTACTCTCAACGTGGCTGTCAACTCATACTCGAACGCTCTCATCACACTACTATTGTCAAACCAGTTTGTGGAAATCAAGTCCACCGTATTCAAAAAATTTGAGAAGGAGAACCTCTTTCAATTGACCTGTGCCGACGTCGTCGAACGTTTTCAACTCTGGCACATGCTCGTTATCATTGCATCCCGCAACATCGTGGAAACGGGAGGACTGAGTGCAGGATTAACTGCTTTCGCTAGAGCATCGACTGCAACAGCATCACCTCCACTGATTACGAATAGCAGCATCCCCTTTACCAGCGCTCTGCCTCCGAGATCGGTGAGCTCGATCCTCCCAAAGTCATTCACTCTGTTGCCGGCAGCGGTCAGTACGATAACGTCGTACGCACCAGCTGTCAGTCAGGTCCTCGGGCCATTTTTGGCCGTTCTTGGGTCTGAGATGCTGGTGGATTGGCTCAAGCATGCCTACATCAACAAGTTCAACAACACCCGGCCTGCAATATATGACCGTTTTCTGGACGTCTTAGCGAAGGATTATTACACGAACGCCTTCGGGGACCAAAATCTAACCAAGCGATTGGGCTTACCGGTCATCCCCTTGAGCTGTCTGTTAATCCGAGCCACTGTGCAAACATACCAGATGTTTATGGCAGCCTGGGTCCCCCCAAGCTCGCCAAGCTCATCGACCAGCCTGGCAAGCATTCACGAACATTATTCTGCAGCTCGCTCAACCATGCCAATGACCACAAGCACCGCGATTTCCAAAACCGTCGACGACATCATCAAAGCCATCCCCGCGGCCATCACCAGCTCCAGTGTCGTCACACACATGACGACCATACTGTTATTTCTCCTATTCTTCCTAATCTTACTAGCCTGCAAGCTTGTTTTGGGAATGCTGCTTCTCGCCTTTGCGAGATCTCGCTACCGGTCGATGAAAATGCGCGAGAGAAACCCCATTTACCATGTTGACGGCGGTCGGCGTGTCGGGGGATGGGGAGTGGTTGAAGTCGACGAAGACAAACGTAGATGGATCTACGAGGACGATCCTGCAGGCCTCAAAGCATTGCGCGACAGGGAGGAAAAGGACAAGAAGAACAAGGAAAAGGGAGCCGGGGTCGAGAGTTTTGACAAAGTCAGACGGTATGAGATGGTGGCCAAGAGGATATGGTAGTTAGGACTACCATATCTGCGTGCAGGATGTAAATAGTTTGCGAGGCCCTTTGCTTAATTTGGATCGAGACTTCCTCATTGCCAAAGGTACCAACCAACACGGAACATGCATGGTTATTTCTTGTTTCGTCAAGGAGACTAGAATACCAATCTAATCTACCTCTATGGGTGCGCACGCACATTTCTATCCCTGGGAGTGTTCTCCGCTCAGCTCAGTTCACCCCAGCCCAGCCCAGCCCAGTTAAGCCCAGTTCGTGGTCGTCTCGTGGTCGTCCGCTATACGCATACGCATACGCCTCCCTACGCACACTTCGGCACACGCGCACACGCGCACATCCGCACATACATATGCGCACCGAAATAGGAAAAATGGGCATGAGCTCATCAAGTAACACTTCAGTCCACCGCAGCAGCAGCAGCAGCAGCAGCAGCAGCAGCAATAGCGAATCAAGGCTTCGGATAAGTCGCAGGGAGCTCGTGGACAGAGGGAGTCTTTTCCGCACCACCGCCACCGGCAGGGGTCTTTTCTTCCTTCATGAAGGGGAAGGCCAAGACCTCTCTGATGGTGTAGTTGTCCGTCAAGAACATGACCATCCGGTCGATGCCCATGCCCCAGCCGCCTGTGGGCGGGAGGCCGAACTCGAGCGAGGTGCAGAAGTTCTCGTCGATCATCTGGGCCTCGTCGTCGCCCTGGGCCTTCTGGCGCGCCTGCTCCTCGAACCGCAGCCGCTGGTCGAACGGGTCGTTCAGCTCGGTGTACGCGTTGACAATCTCCTTCTTGCACACAAACGCCTCGAAGCGCTCGCAGATGCCCGGCGATGAGCGGTGGTATTTGGCCAAGGGAGACATGATCTGCGGGTGGCCCGTGATGAATGTCGGGTTGATGCACTTCTCCTCGATGAATTCACCCACCAGCTTGTCGAGCATGCGGGCATTTGTCTCCGGAGGCGGGCACGTCACGTTGCACTTCTTCAGGACGCCCTTGAGGAACTCGTTCGTCTCGGCGCTGTAGAGTTGGTCGCCTGAGGGGAACTTTTCGCCGGTGGCTTCCTCGAGCGCCGAGATCATGTCGATGCGCTTCCACGGGCGGGACCAGTCAACTTCGTAGACTTCTCCTGTCTGCGTGTGGAACGTGGTCTGGTATCCACCTGTTATTTCCTTGACGAGCCCGGAAACGAGTTCTTCGGTGCGCTCCATCACATCGTAGACGTCAGCGTAAGCCTCGTAGAATTCACAGGTGGTGAACTCGGGGTTATGTGTCAGGTCAGCGCCTTCGTTACGGAATTGCTTGCCCAACTCGTAGACCCGTTCGATACCGCCCACAACCAGCATCTTGAGGAAAAGCTCAGGTGCAATACGCATAAACATGTCTGTTTGGTACTCATTGATGTGCGTCTTGAATGGCTTGGCTGTGGCACCCCCGGCGATGGAATTCATCATGGGTGTTTCCACTTCCACGAAGCCGTTGGAGTCGAAGTACCGACGGATGTAGGAGACGATCTTGGCGCGGGTGAGGAGGATGTTGCGCGACTTCTCGTTCATGATGAGGTCGAGGTAGCGTTGGCGGAAGCGCGTTTCGACATCTTGAAGGCCGAAATGTTCCGAGGGGATTTGGTGCAGGCAGGGGGTGAGAAGAATGACGTGACGAGCAAAGACGGAGAGTTCGCCCTCGTTTGGACGGTTCTTGGGTGCGGTTCGACCTGGGTATCCAATGACTCCGATGATGTCTCCTCTCCGTAGGTGCTCGTGTTGTGCCTCAAAGGAGACGCCGCCGTCGGCCTCTTGCGCTTGACACATAATTTGGACCTTGGTGCCATCGCTGCGGATGTCGTAGAAGACCAGCTTCGCACCTGCGGCTCGCTTGACATAGACTCTTCCTGCCACCCGTATCTCTACCTCCTTCTTCTGTTCGCCAGGCTTGAGGTAGGCATATTCCTCAACAAACTTGCTCAGGTTCGTGTTGACCGAAAACTTGTGAGGGTATGGATTCGGATCCTTGGTTTCTCTCAGCCGATTGATGCGACCACTTCTGATTTCAAAGTATTGGTTCGGATTCAGATTGCTCTCGTCGAGCTCTGCATTGGTGGCCTTCTTCTCGACCTTGGGCGGCGCTGCCGCGGCCTTTCCCTTCTTCTTTTCTTCCAGTTGTCTTTGCTTCTGCCTCTTCTTCAATTCTGACTTGGACACTCTCTCGCCAGTGACCTCATCGAGGTGGAGATTGGCAGTGTCTTGCGCTATGGACTCGGTCGTGTCCGCCATGGTGAAGGACGAAGAGGCCGAGGAAGGACAATGTTAGGGCTACGACCGTCGAGGCAATCGCAGATGAAATCCTGGATTGACGAGTCACAAAATCACAGCACAAATTGTTTCTTGAAAAATGACTCACTTAGTGTGGGGTCGCGTGCCTCCCTGACTCATGTAGAGGGTCTCGAGGGCAAGAGGGGCAGCTTGGGGGCAGACAGAAGGACTTTACGCGCAACCGCCTACGCGCTTCTTCTTGCACCCATCATCGTAGCCTCATCTAACCAGTGTTATACTTGGTTCGCGAAAGGTAGCATCATCTCACGGGGCTGCGAGCCCAGACTATGCGAGGCCACGCGAAAATGAGTTCCGACTGGCATGTTGCGAGAGCTTCCACGCGTCTATGAGAGGGGAGTATCAATTGCAGCCTTTATCAGTCCTTCGGACTCTCCAGCTTTCATATCCAAGCGAAGCAAGACATCTCGGACTTCATTCATGAGTGCCTGTCCCGTCCTACAGATCGTACAATTCCACCCCGAGGTCGAGTCCATCATCTCGCCCGCTATTCCCACGCGTCTCTGGTCGCAATGCTAACGAAAAGGGATCCTCTCTTAAAGCGTCTTCCACGCCGTAGCCAGAGACAAGGCCCAGAGTCCGCCTTGCATCAGCCAAACTGGGCCTCCGAAAAGCCTGCCGCCTCCATTCTTCGCCTGCCCTCTGATATAGCCGAGGGCGTACACGATTCGGAAGAAGAGCCATCCAGCTCCCAGAGCAAGCGTCGCCGTGGGATACTCCAAGCCTGCAAACAGCATGTAGGCGATTGTCTGCGGCATGTTCTCCAGAAGATTGGCGTGCGCTCTCTGGGCACAGTTGAACTTGTACGCAGCTTGGCTCTCCTTGGCCTTTTCGTGCGAGGCGTAGGCGTTCGGATAGGGCACTCCAGCTGGCTTGCGTAGTATGGTCACTACGTTTCCTTGGATCCAGGACAGAAGCGGAACCGCCCCTAGAGCGACGAAGACGACATAGCTTTTGAGTATTTGTCAGATCATCATTCCGGACCCTGAAAGGCTGGTTGCTGGGTTGTACTCACCCGTAGTTGTCCGGAACTGTAAGGGTGTACGCCATTTTGATTGCCCGCGTGGTTTGTTCAATTTGTAGCTGTCAAACTATGGTTGTTGTAGTCAATTGAATCCGTCGATGATCGGCTTGCAAAATTGATGGCTTAAATTGTAATTCGAAGAAGCCAAGCTGTCAACAAGGCAACAGTCATTGACGACAAGAGCTTCAGTTCGGATGCGTGTCCCCCCTGCCGAGGGCCAGCGGACGAATTTTCATCCGAGCAACATTGACGCCAGCATGTTCCTCCGATGGAGGGTGAAATGCACCTTAGTCCCTCTGGCCAGTGTCACAGACTGTCATTTCTTCCTACCTACTTGGTACGGCGACCCCCAGCGAGACTTGTCGACTGCGCCTACACGACGGCTAGTAGGCTCTTCATGTTGCTGACGAACTGCGGCCCTGGAAGCTGCCTTGTCGTCTCAGACCGCGTTGTTTGCGAGCGATTCTGCCAGGGTTCCAGGATCTGACTGGTATTTCATCCTTGATGCGCTCGACAAGATGAGAAGTCATGATTGGAAGAGCAGGTAGATTGGACGGTAGAAGTCGAAGATTTTTATATGACCCTACCTCTCCTTAATTGGCAATAGTTCTGGGCGCTTACTCTTCACCTCACCTACAAGGCGGATTGCGTGATAGAAGACATGATTACCAATCATGGGGAGAGATCTTGTGCCCGGGCACTGGTACATTACTTCACGTTTGAAACCCATCGTAAGTCCCGTGGACCTGTGGAAGGATGCCTAATAACACAATCTGGTCCTTTTCTCTATGGCCTGCCTCTCCCATAAATAAAAAAGTACCGCGTCTGCACCGTTCTCTAATTATTCCGCATGCTCAAGACCAAGCCAGGTTACATGATGACCTCGTTGGCAACGTCGCGCTTCAACTCCTTGTACGGCAGGCAGATGCAGTTTTGAACCCGGACCTCATCTCCCACACCACATTCCTTGCCAAGAATAGTGATACTTTGGACCTTAACGCCGTTCTTGATGATGGTGGTATTGTGGTTGCTGACAGGCGTGGGAGTGCCTTCCACTCTGGCCCAGGCTCCCACACGGCTATTCCAGCCGATGATTGCATAGAGAACGCAGGCATCGTGCTTAATCTCGGCCTCGTCGAGAACAATGGCGTCTTTGACACGTGCGCCGGCCCCAATGATGGCCTTGGGACCAATCGAGACATTTGGCCCCAGCTTGGCTGTGGGGTCGACTTGGGCAGTAGGGTGAATGAAGACAGGGGGTATGATGTTCGCAGACGGAGGAGTAATCTCTTCTGACTGCGACTGGAAAGCTTTCTGCAGGTACAAGGCGTTGGCCGGAACCGCGGAACCCGCTGTCTTGATCTGACGCCAGAAATCCTTGGTTTCATGGACAAAAAAGCGGTTGCTGTCGGCCAGATCAGGGAGGATGTCCTGCTCGAGGCGCATGACTTCATTCCTTTCCCCATCTTCCTCGGGGTCGGCCATGAAAGACGAATCGAGGTTCTCTGATGAAGGGTAGGAGATCATTCGGGGGCGCTCGGTCTTCCGCTTGATGGCACTCTTGATGGAAGGGAAGATGGCATCGGTTGCGAAGAGATAGACACCACAGTTGATCAAGTTGGAGATGTGGCTCTCTGGCTTTTCGACGTAGTGAAGGACTCGTTTCGTGTGGGAATCGGACACAATGCAACCAAAGTTGGTAGCGGCATCGTTGCTGATGCGAGTGCCAAGAATGACCGCCTCGGCGTCTTTCTCCTCGAAGAGCTTCAACATGGCCTCGAGGGGGAAGGAGCAGCAGACATCCGAGTTCAGCACGAAGAATCTGTCGGGTCTGCCCTTCAGGATGGCATCACGGAAGTGATAGAGACCGCCGGCAGTGCCGAGGGCCTGGTACTCGCGCAGATACTGGATCTTGAACTGAGGGAACTCTCGCGAGGAGTCTTTGATGAAGTCACGGAAAACATTTTCTTCGTAGTAACCAATCAGAATAACCTCCTTGATGTCTGGTACTTTGGAGACGGCCTTCAGGCAGTGCCAGATGATGGGGTGGCCGGCGACATCGAAGAGAGGCTAGATGTGGGTCCGTAAGTGACAATTGGGCAGGGATCGAACCATGACCTACCTTTGGGACATCGAGACTCAATGGCCGGAATCGTGTGCCTCGAGAAGGACCTCCAACCTGCTCACATTCAGCTGACTCCTCTGTCCATCTTGATTCGCTGGGCTTACCAAAATGACGGCCTTGGTAACAGCCTGGGGGCCCGTGGCCTTTTGGCGAGAAGGAACCCTCAACATCTTCGACTCGTTGATGTGAGCAAAACGAGATAGACGAGAGAGAAAATGATGTTTGTGGAGAACAAGTTAAGTGACCAGATATCTCTCAATGAAGCAGAAAGACAACAACTGAGGCTGGTGGCCGGTGTTGAAGGGCTTGAATGGATTGTAGCTGAGGCCAGAGGCAGCTGAGGCCACGGGGTCACTTTGCTTTTCACCGCCAGAGCGTCGCAACTATATCTGTGCCAAGACACTAAACTGCTTCTGGCTGAGTCACTCCTTTCACTCATTTCACATCTTCCCTTCCACTCCCTCGGTGACCCCTGACCACTTCCAAGGGCGGTGAAGGGCTGAAGATTGTTCCAGGCCCTGTCCCATGCCCTGTCTCCATTCTTGTCTACCAGGTATTCTGCGCCAGCCTCTTGAGCACGTGGAGCAACAAGACATTCAATAGTTTTACAAGCCATGGTGCAACCGTCATCTCCCTCGTCACATCTCCCCTTTATTTCAACTCAACACCCGGCTGAATAGAGGTTGATCCCCCACGGCCGAAAAGGGATCAATTTGGTCAAGCTTCATCAATGACCACTGAGGTTTTCACACACGCTCTTGCATGATGTCTTCCTCTGTGAACTCCCGAAGCACCCCAGTTTGAACCACACCACCGGTAAGAGCGGCGGTCCCGACCTCCTTCAGAAAACCAAGGCTCGACGTCTCCTTCTTCCAATGCACAATATACCTGCTCTGAACCTCGATCAGGCTCATCCGGGGATCTTTCCATGTCCCGTCGTGGACACCGTCCTTCAAATCTCCAAACCAAGCACTGACTCCCGAGGTATGCAGCTCTTTGATCCTAGGATCGTCACTGCTGGCCGTCGTCGCGGCGCCACTGATGGAAATCCAGTCCTGGGTCTTGCTGTCTTGGAAGGTGATCTGGACCTCCTTGTTCTTGTCAAGATCTTGAAATTTCTTCGAGTGCCTGTTCGCCAGGTACAAAATGTCCGGTCCGGAGCGCTTTGCAACAGCCATCGAGCGGCCAACAGGTCCAACCCCCTGACGGTATGTGCTCAGCATGCTCATCTTCTTTCCGTCGATGAGTTCGTAGAGGTCTTTCCACTGGTCGGCTTTGGGAGTTTGCCGGTCATACTGTTTTGCGACCGAGGGATCGGTCTGTGAGTTGACTTCTCTCGGATCCAGTGCTTCGGGCATCTTGAGACGTGCTGTTGCACTAACACTTCGAGCCTGAAATTGACGTGTAGAAAGACACCCTACTAAAAAGCTGTTTTCCGAGGCTAGGGAAGTTACAAGGAAACACCTTACACTCGAAGTGGGAGGCCTTGTAAACGCGCAGTAATCGAGGTCTAAGAGGGCATAATTTATGCAGTCCTTGTCCATGAAATCATTGTCACTTGCTTCGAATTCGAAATATATGACGGAGCCATCCACTTGTCTTCCACGCCAGTAGCCAGTCAGAAAAGCCGCCGCCGAAAGAGAGTCCAATCCGACACCTTCGGACCAACGAAACGTGGCTTACAACATCTTCTGCACGCTGTCAACACTGCTATGTTCTGCACGGCAGCCGGCCTCCGATTGCGTTGACTGGATGGATGGCTCAAGGGGAGGCAAAAGTGGTGACGACAGTACATACCTACTCGCCAGGTAACATGTCTCAGGCTGAGATCATCGGGGTCGCCAAGTCTGTGTTCGGAATTCGGGCAGTTGGCGATCCGTCAGAGGATCAACTTTGCTCTTCAGAGTGAGGTCTACGCCATTATATAAGAGAGACGGGTTGCGCACGAGAAGAGCGGCTAGCAGCCACGCGACATCTCTGGTGATTGCCATACAGATAGACGGTCTATGTGGAAGAGGAATCGGTGTAATCATCCAACGCATGACCCTGTGAATGGTCTGCATGTTTTATTGATTCGTTGCCTTTTCTGCAGAAGAACTGAGTAACAATCAACCTTTTTCTTTTTGGCCTGGTATATCCTTAGTGTATGGTGGGTCAAAAGGGTCGACAGCGCTTCACGACCCGAATCCTTCCCGAGCGCAATTTGAATGACAGCTCTAGCGACCGCCGATCTGCTTCTTTGAGACCGGTGGGATCCAGCAAACCGCCACGTTGATGGCGATTGTGATGACGCCAATGATCCAGAACGACTTTCCATAGTCGGTCTTGAGATAGCGGAAGACGATGGCGAAGATGATACCACCGAAATTCCCCATGGCGCCAGCCATTCCAGAGACCACCCCGTTTGCATGCGGACTGACGTGAGGGACAAGCGCGAAGTTGGCGCCGTTGCCTGCCTCCAAGAAGAAAGCCATGCCGGCGATGAGGCCGAACATCGTGCTGGTGTCATGGGGGTCGAGAATGCCGATGGCAATGAGAAAGACACCGGTGACGATGCCCAGAGTGTGGATCCAGATCTTCTTTACCCAGACGTTGTGAAAGCGCTTAAAGAGCAGGTCCGCGAAAATGCCTCCAGCAGGGCGATAGACCACGTTGAGCAGGCCGAACATGGCGGCCCATTGCCCGGAGGTGGTCTGACCCAGCTGCTTGAAGTTCTTCTGGTAATATGTCCCGAGGATGGAGTTGATTGCGAGTTCGGCGCCGAAAGAGCAGAAGTAGCAGAAGGCGAGGACGAGGGTCTGAGGTGCGAACATGGCTTTGACGACTTCCCTAGGCGTAGGCTTCACAACGATTTCGCCGCGAGCCGTGTCGAGCATTTGTTGTTCGGTCATTTGAGCCTCGTGGTCAGCATAGACGGACATTTTGCGCTCGGCAGTGGCATCGTATTGCACCTTCTCGCCTGCGGGTGGAATACCTGACCCTGAGGACACCGAAGGAGGCTTGTCTGCAATGCTGACACTGGGCCTATCGACAATGGTAGCTTGAACACCATGGGCCGCGAGGTGAGACTCTGCGGCTCGATGGCGATCGCTCCACTTGCCAATGGGTGTATCCTGGCAAAGCACAAGCAGGCCCACAGCAACGGCCAGGATAACGATGCCAGGGACAACAAAGGCCACACGCCAGGCGGTGTGAGGAGTCAAGCCATCGCCCAGGAGAGAGTCATAGATGGAGGGCATCAAGAAATAGGTCACACCACCACCCGCATTGCCAAAGCCAGCCGTGAAGGCATTAGCGGTTCCGACTACATTCTTGTCAACTGCAAAATGTGTTAGCCTGTATTGGTATTTGTAACAGAGTGAAACCAATGACTCTTTGAGAAAGAGACAGGGGTGTCTTCCAAAAGGAAGTACTCACAGAAGCCAGTACTCCATACTTGGCATGGAACGAAGCTGCCACCAAGGATACCAACAAAGAAGCGAACAGCGAAGAGCTGACTCTTGGTGTATGCAGTCCCAGCCAAGAATGTGGGAATGGCACCCAAAACCAGGCAACCAGTGAATGTCCAGCGAGGCCCGAAACGATCGCAGCATGGGCCTGCGATCAGTCGAACCAGCAAAGTTGCACTCAGGGCGATGATGTTGGAATTGGCAACGTCGACTTTGGTCAATTTGAGGTCTTTCTGGATGGTGTCATGTAACTATCGCCTGTTAGTCGTCTCTAATACGTATGTCATACTCGGGAGTTGCTTACCAAAGGAGGGAATGCATACCATGACCAAAAGGCCACGAAGAAACCAAACCATGAGAAGAAAAATACTCTTCCGTACATGTTAATAGGGTTCAAGAATGGAATGGCATGAGCCTTGTAGGTGATAGGATTGACCTCGGGGGCTCGAAAGGGTAAGCCGAAGTCAATAGCCATCGTGCCTGATGATGATAGAGTATCCTCTTGGTGCTGTTGTTATTGAGTCGTCTTGGCCACGTTTCTTTCAGGGGGGATGCTGGATGCGTGAGCTTGATGTCTGAGAGAGACGCCTGAGGGAGACGTCTGAGGGTACATATAACTTGTAGAAAAGGCTTGGTAAAATGGGAGTCCCTCGTGTACTTACAAACTCGACGTGACGTCTTGTTGTGCTTCTCCGGGGACAAGATGAAGATGGCCTTCGAGACCACACTTTCTCTGAAAGAGTATATCCGCGGCAGATCTCTCGCAGAGATTGAGTTGCTATGGACAAATCAGCTTCCTCCAAGAGACAAGCCACCTCTGAATCCGGCCAGAGCCTTGCTGATAACGGAATTAAATGGGTCTCGTCTCGTTAGGTCTGGCTCCAGTTGATCAATGACGAGCTCCGAGGGGGTGTTGATATTCTTCAAATAGTCGAACGTACACACCATCAACCACCTTGTCAAGTCGTCCCAGCAGGCCTTCTGGTGTTCATCACGGGGCAATTCCTCCTCCTAAAGCACCAAGAGCCTCTAGGCCCGACAAACTTTGTGAGTTTTGATAGAAGCTACTTCAGCCCTGCTGAGCATTGTAGGCCCTTTCAATTCTTGTCCATCGATGGGGTCATATAGCCTGTCAAGATCCTAGAGTTGGGATAGATTGTCGATCTAAGCCCCTGGGTCGATGGACGAGCGAGATAAGTTGGCATTCGCAGACCTTGCTGCGGCGTTGGAATGGCTTGCAGAGCAGGCGAGTTCAGTTGGCGCGGAATAGATGTGATCCCGATCCTGAGCCCGTATCCTTGTGGTGCTTGAACGTCCGATAACAGACACGAAGTTGTGATCTGTCAAGACTTCAGACACGATCAGCATTTCGTCTCTTGACTTGAGATCCGATGCTGAAGACGAGAAACTGTGGTTGGACAAGGCTTATCTGAAGCATGTGTGTATTGGACCAACCTGGTGGATCCTGCTTATCAGACCACAAGCCTCGCTCGCATATCTAGCGCCTTCAACGCATTGTCTTCCTTGTCACATACATAGCTCGCATGGGGGCTCGATAAGAGCCTGGTGTACTCCTCTCTGGAATCTATAACACTGCATCGTCTCCGCGGAATAGCATGTCAGATAACCGACCTCAAGTCTAGATCCCATGGCGCTGAAGGCCCCTATCACTCAGGTTGAATGAGATGCGGATCGACATACCGGCCCCAACCTTCTTCTACTGGACCATTCAGTTTTTGTCAGCCCACCTCAAGACCTCCCACGCTTCGGAGAGATGGGAGCGAGACAACACAGTGGGCAGGGTGCAGGCGTTGGCAGTTGCTGAGACCGAGAAGAAGATGTGGTCGAGACAACGCCCCTTATCGAGTTTGTCGACGAGCCAATCGGACGCGAATGTTGTGGCTAGTCCATTTCGGGCCGAATGTTCTTGGCAAGTAAAGAAAGTACAACTCGCCAAGCGCTTCAAAACTGCTGGCCGGCGCATGTGCGACTTAACCGTCCCCCTCACCTTCGCACTTCACCTCGCTCACCTTCCCGCTCAACCTGCCAGAAGAACAGCATGGTAAGGTGAAGTCTGGTGAAGAGGGCCAGTTTATGTACAACTCCTGACATTGCTTCTCAAGGAAGGCTGGGACAATGTATGATGTGATCAATTTAGTCAGTTGATGCAGTTAGACATTTGGTGCATGGTTCTTGGGAGCAAAGCAAGTCCTGGGGCTCCGCATGTTTTCCAGGTACGAGAAAAACCATTGAGGGAAAACTGCTGCCATGGTGAAGTTTCTTGGAGATATCGGCAAAGGTGGGACGTCAGTTCACGGCGTAGTTGGACAGGCTTGACAGGTCAAGGACAGGTATATCGCAGTGTTGCACAGTGGTAGAGCCGACTTGACAAACACTAATTCCCTGACGACCTGTAAAATTGTGTCGAGGATCCAACTACAAAATTATGCTTAAAAATAAGCCCCACTTTGTCGGCATCCTACAAGTATATCAAGCCTTGTCGGCGCATGGCAACTATCCTAAACCTAATGCGCGTCTTTCAATTCGAAGACACGACCAAATTGTGGCGAGCAAACTCGGCAATCCGACCCCAATGCCGACCCCCAAAGCAATCTTATCCGAAGTCGAATATCCAGAATGACTTGCTGGGTTCGTACTCGCTGGAGTGTCTGCTGCATGTGTGGTGGAAGGCCCGTTTGAGGATGTCGTTCCTGCGGCGGTGGTGACCGGCGGCGTCATCGTCGTTGCCGTGTCCCCGTTGACATTGAAAGTTAGTGTTTCTCTGGAGGCTTGTGTCGCTACACTGGAAACCCGTGCCACATTGGCAAGCGGATATCCGGCCGAAGCACAATAATCCAAATATACGGCCACTGCCGTGGACACATCTGTATTCGAAGCACACTTGCTCGATATGCAGCTGGCTACATGAGATGCGGCCGGGTTCTGCATATTCAGGTCGCAAACGCACCCGTTGTACCAAGGACTGTTGCAGCCTATGAAATCCGCAACGGAGATGCAGCATGTGCCCCAGATGCATTCCTGCTCGCAAGATCGCAGGACCTCGAATCCGCGGTCTCCTGACAAACTGACGGTGCTATAGTCAATGGGAGGCAGGGTAGTAGCCGCTGTTGTCGCAAGCGCATACCCTGCCGAAGAACAGTAGTCGAAGTAGACCTCAACCGCGGTGGATATCCCCACATTGTCCGTACATCTGCTCAGCATGCACGCGCTCACCTGGGCGCCGGCCGCGCTTTGCTGGTCGAGGCCGCAGACACACTCGTTGTACCAGGGAGAAGGGCAGCCTATAAAGTCTGCGACGGAGATGCAGCAGGTACCCCAGATGCACTCGGCAGCACAGTTGCGCAAAAGTAGCCATCTGGCATCATTACTTAGACTGCAGGTGCTAGTATCCTGAGCGGCGGTGCTCACGAGGAGAAACAGAAGCAGTTGGATAAATGAACGCATGATTCGAAATATGAACATCGAGAGGTGATAGGTTGTAGGAGTTGGCAGCCTTGTTTTCCGTGAGCATTTCAGCGGTCATGTTTTGAGATCGTAGCGCTCACCGAACGATGACACAGACCAGTTTACAGTCTATAACTCCCGATCAGGCTACCTTTCAGACGGCATTCTCACCCAGCGTGCTCTGAAGGACGTTGTTGTCCACATCACCGAAGTCCAGCGCCTCATATCGTGCTAGGCAATTCGCCAGGGCCGCTAGTCCCTATCTAGGGAACGATGCCTACTCCCTTGTCGCCAGTGTAGCCAATCACGGGGGCAATAACTTTGGTTCCATTACTATTATCATGGAGATATGATACCGGCTACAGCTACAGTAGGTTATGTACTCTCTGTGACCTCGTGGGAGCGGGTCTGCACACTTTACGCTCGAGGCACTGGTCTTTGACCCTGCTCGAACATTGAGACGCTGATGCTATTGGTCATCAGATGCTTGATTGTCGACGCGAGGAACAGCACACCTTACAGTGCATAGCCGAGAGGGTTGCGTTTTCGGAGACAGGTGATATAGGAAAGCCTCGTACATCAATGTCGCCATGCAGTGGTATACCAAAGCTCGTTAGCATAGAGCGTCTGTCCACAGCCTCGCTGGGAAGGGTATGTGTCAATAGACCTCGAATTTTTCTCTTTGATAGGATGACCCATGGTCTGCTTTTCCGAGCCCCGCGAAAGTACATGTCTCTTATCTCATTGTGATCCACATCCCAATTCGCGTTCACCAGAAATGGAATCAGTACCACAAAGGGAAAAAGTTCGAATTCAATAGACCCCTTTTCTCTGCATTGCCCGACCTATGTATGAATACAGGGATGAGAAACCCTCATGTTGAGCCGCCTTTTCCCACCAGTGAGCCACCAGCATCCGCCCGATGTTGACGGAGACAACCAGGAAACCTTCGTAGTTGTGATAGAGAAGAAAAATGGATCACGACACGGTTGCAAACTTCTTCTTCCTCGCCTCTGCGGCAGCACGGTCCGCGTCTGTGGAGAACGCCCCTGAGGGCTTCGTCACCCCAGAAGGCTTCTCTCCAACTCTCCGCCGTGAGTTATCCCGGCCGCCTCTTCCGCGGAATCTTCCACCACGGCCTCGCCCTCCCCGACCACCAAAGCTCTTTCGCAGACCTGGATCATCCATAGCATTGCTCTCTTCAGTCCTGCCTCGTTTCCTTGAACCACGCTCACGTTCTTCCGGTAGGGCTTCATCCAACTTTCCCATGGCAGTCTGTCCAGTTCCAAAGCGTCTCGCGCGCTCCAGGGCTTTCTGTGAATCACAGTCTGTGTTGCTTGCTCCTGTTTCACCGTTCGCAGGAGCTGTGCCGGTGCCGAATCTCTCGGCGCGGGCCTTACGCTTGGCCATCTCAGCGTCGACGTCTGAATGCGGCAGGTTTAGGGCATAGGAGGCGGAGTTGGCAAGTGCGGTGTCGGTATTCGCGGAAGGGGATTCTTTCTCATCAACGCTTGTAGGCCCTGTCGTTGCTGCCGCTGTCGCTTCTGCTGCTGAAGGTTTCTCGGAGACAGTGTCTGATGCCGGTGCCGGTGCTGCTGCAGATTCTGGCGCTTGCGCAGGCGGAGCGGTGGTAGACTCTGCTGGAGGGGCTTTTTCGGCTTCTATGCGCAAGTTAACTCAGACATGCCCTATTGCGCACCGCCATTAAGCCAAAGGAAAGGCAGAGCGGCGCAAACAGAGATTGCGCTTAAAATGACCTATGCATACCATTTTCTTGAGCTGCTTTGTCTGCCTCATTCAGCCTTGCGACAAGTTCTGCCTTCTTTCCTGAATGTGGTAGGCTCCGCGACTTTAGGATCTCTATCAGCTCGACCACCGTCTTTTTAGAATAGTCGACCATGGTTGTGGTCTGGTGAGGGATCTGATTCGGACTGAGACGCGCCACTGGCGCTGGACAGGAGGCAAGATCGGATCACGAAGTCGATAATCAGCGAGTGGGCAGATCTGCACCGGCGAGCAGAGTCAGGAAGCGATTATGCCAAATAGTATGAGATCCCAATATCCGGAGAATTGCAACAATATTTGACCTAGTTTCAGCGCGTTCGCAGGGCGACAGAGTCGGGCACTTCAGCATTGACCAATGTGGGTCTCGGTATGGACCACACATCCGGCCGCTTTAAGACTCCACTGGCTAACGTCATTTTGCAGCTCCACCAATTTCCCCTGCCACCCCGATGTGCACTGTCCACCTCGCAGTCAACAACATCAATGAGACACAGGTCTCGCAGCTCAACTTATTCGAGCATACGGTGCCAGATTTTCAAAACAGCTGAACGTTGAGAACTCTTCAATACCATGCCCCTACCAGGTAGGCATATTTCCACTCCACAAGCTATCAGCGATGAGGGATTCAATGCACCCTACTTCCCTGCTTCCCCCTCAACCCCAAATAATCAATTTTTGAACAGGACTTTGATCCATCCACTCCTTGATTTTGAGATGCTGGGACAATCTCCAAGCCCAATTGGCTCGGTAGTAAATTCCCCCAACATTCTCCAGCAGCATTAATACCACCGCCTTTCCCCCTTCTTTCAGCCCAATCACGACGAATTCTAGACTTTCCGGCTGTTTGTCTCTCCACGCGGGATCGATATAGCAACTAAATAGGGTGTCCCCATTGCGGCCCTGTACATCGTACGGTAGAGTTGAGCCAGGTTCGACATTCTGGTGTGCTGAGTATGGTACTTTCAATGTTGCAACACTCGTGTAGAAGGCGATCAGATGGTGCGGATGTTCGTGACGGGATATCAAGTCCTTATAGTGGAGTTCTTGGTAGTTGCCTGGCGGATCAAGATGAGACATCAGTCTGGAAACTCGCTCGTTCTCTTCCGCCATGCTCTCCTCCGTCGGTTCTGGCTGCTTGAGGGTCTGCTTCTTCATAAGATCTCCCAACATCTTCATTTGAAATTCTTCAAAAGAGAGGTTCGGCTCTGCCACGGCCTGCTGATTAGCCAACCTGATAAAATCCATGAGATCGTCCGTTTTGAACGCAGCTGGCGACTTCGCCGAAGGCTCTTCTGGCTCTTCGAGGAAAAACGGCTTGAGCTTGCTATCGTCATTGAACACAAAGAACTGGATTGGTACGGTTTCCTCGGGCATCTTGTATCCATATGCGCCAACTGCGCTTCGTTCCGCGGCGAAATACTCGAAGGTCCACTTCCAACCTGCCCATGACCAGCTTGGAAAATCTGCCCGCCTTTTGAAGATACCGTGATGAGGATCAGTCCAGAGCAATGAGCGACCAAAATACTTCTTCGGAAGACCAAAACAAAACGGACCGAGCGTTTTAGAGAGCACTTTGAGTATACCGGAGAAGGCAGGCAGCGCATCTGAGTCGAACGTCATGTTGCGCCGGAGGTAGAATGCAAGCAAGCCGTCGTAGTAGTCCTTCCACGCTTTTTTTGGATCCATATCTTCTGAGATGTCGTTCAGGGTGAACAAAATCCACTCGTCATCCGACTGAATTGGCATTGATGGGAGTGGCCCAAGAGCAGGAGCCACTGTATCGTCTCGGAACATGGATTCTGAGCATTTGAAAAAGATATACGTCTCAGTGAATACCAGGAGCCGGTTCCCGAGGATGTATTCTTGATAAGTCCATGCTCTGGTGTTCCATTGTGACCGTTTTGCGGAGAAGGTCGTGGTAGCGAGAGATGTCATGAGCTTCTTGCCGTCCAGAGTCTCCTGGTAAGATGCAAGGGCTCGCTTCTTCTCGCCCATTCCCGGTATGCCGTAGTCTGCACCGTCTCCAGCTGCGACAATCAGCACAGCCAGTGCACGTCCATATATCTCATCCATCAAACCGATCTGATCTTTCTTGTCTTCGTCATCATCTTGAACAATGCAAAGGGCATCAACCCATAGGTAACGCACTCCTATGTTTCGGCAGACTTGCATAGCATCCCGTATGCTTTGAGGGATCTTGGTGCCCAAGGATGCGAAGAAGCCTTCTTTGGTTGAATCTACAACCACGTCTTTGGTGAGCATGAATTGGGCAGCCATGCCCCAGACATAACTCAGGGTCAAGTACTCTTTGACAGTAGAACCGTCAACGGTGCAGTCCTTCTCCACATCAATCAACCTCTTGGCGGGCGATTTGTTTCCTCCGTGTCCATTGCATTTGCTGCCATGTTCAGTCTTACATACGGTAATCCATCTCCTCACCACATCAAAGTCAATTTGGTCATTCTTCAATATCTTACTTTGTCGCCACTCTGTATCGACTGCTTTCCCGAGGGGTGACTCGTTATCTGTTTCGCACTGTGTGATATTGAAATGCGGAATGCGTTCATCCTCGTAGATATACTTTTGAGCATTAGATACGTCGTGGAAAAAAAAAAAAAAAAAAAAAAAAAACCTTGTGATCAACTTACGACACGCCCACTTCCACGAATATCCCGATTGTCGATGGTATTCTTGTAAACCATGGCTATCAATTCAATCCACCTTGAGCCCCCCTGCCCGTGGCCGCTATTTCGCCCCAGAACTGCATTTGGCGGGCCGTTTTCTCGCAGACATTCATAAAACGGTTGAAATGTCCTCCAGACTAATCTGCACAGGGTGCATCTGTGGTTTCTCTGAAGCGTAGGGGAATCCCACAAGTACGATCGACCAACTTCAGGGGCATCGTTGATGGTACCATCACCTAAGTTGAGCGGATCTACATTCTTGACGTTGCCGCCAGTCTTGCAGATACTGCACAGAATGTCTTCGGTGAAGGCATTGTGTGGATTTGGGTGGTCGTCGGGGTATGGTAGGAGGAATTGAACAGAGACTTTCATTACCTCTGATGTACGGAAAAGGGAGCTGTAGGCACGATTGTCGGCTGGCAGTGGATTTGTCATTTTTGTGAAAAACGTAGAGAAGCCTCACTTGAATTGATTTTGTAATTGAGATCCAAAGAGATAGAGATGGGAAAGTCCGCTGTACGATTGTCAATACTTAGGCAAGGTGTGAAGGCACAGCTGAAAGGGAGGGAGACTTCGGTTTATCGCGCACTCGCATGATGCGTATCCGATCGGCTGTTATATACAGAGTGCTGTGCATGGGTCCGACCAAAATGAGGTGGTTGGTATCAGGTAGAGTTTCAGCCGCATGTTTACGAGACCTTGCGCCCAGACTTCTCAATCTGAACAAGGAATGGTGGTTGCCTTCGTTCAAGGCAGCAGTGTGTCCTAGGGGCACTTTTAGCAACAATAACCGAGCAGACCCTCCTACAGACTCGGGACCGTACACACGCTACTCGGGGCACCCCTCAGAGTTTGCCAAACCGACCGCGGGATTGCACAGCCGCAGCATAGGACAGCTCAGTCGTACCTCTGGTTAAATGGAGCGATGTTCAAGTCCGAGAGAAGAATGGGGTCTTCACCGCCGCCTCAGAGCCGCAGGGGACGGTGGGCCTTGTTTGAACCTAGGTTGATACTGTGAATACACGATTACACTGTTTTCCTCACTTGGCTTCAATTGGCCACAATGAGGACATTGGACTGTTGTCAGGTGCGTTGCACCTTCAGTCATTCCCACGGTTCCCAGGTAGGCTCCGCGACTGAGAGTCCCTGGTATCGCCCAAGATTTCTAGGATTTCTTGAGCGTTTCTATGATAGGATCCACCATATCTGACGTGCCGCTGGTACTTCAACACACCTGAGACACAAGCCGAGCGCAAGAAAAAAGTTGAGATCAGTCTCGACCCGGACGGTAGCTCTATGCTCGAGACAACTTCGAGGAAGAATAATGGCGCGGATCCTCGATTGACTGACCACATATGCCGTCCTCTCGACGTAGACTTTCCAATTCTCTTCGTTACTGAATCTTTTTGTCGAGGACTATCCCGGCAATTTGAGTCTGCGCAGGGTGGGCTTCATCGAAAGATTAAGGGATCTCAGAATGAACGCCTCACTGGGTTTGTCTAACCCTGTCGCTTCTCTTATTGTGGGTGACCCTCCATGTTCGAGGTACAAGCAGGTATCGCGACTGTAGGGACTAGGTACCAGGAACAGTCAGAGCGTCAAAATTCCCTGGGACAACAGGCTGTCAAGTACCTTGACCGTCGCCAATTTACAAGTCTTTGATTTGTAAACTTAGTGAATAATAAAAGTTTCGTGGATACCGTTGATTGTACGGCCCGATATGACAGACGTATGTCAGAGGAACATACATAAAGGGCACTGAGTGCAGATATGAAGGTTAATGGCTTGGTAAATTCAATCTGGTGTAGAACTTGTAGCATAAGCTCAGTTTTTGGAGAGCGTGTAATCCACCGGAGGATGGCTTGGTCTCATGCATGATAGCCCCGTCAAACTCAGCAGAGCAAAGATGCTATCATGCCCGAAACTGCACATTTAATGCGAAAAGTGGTGGCAAACGAATTCGAAGTCAAGCGGCCGGTGGCCTTGGATCCGCTTCCAGCATATATTGCACAGTTCAAAAAACGTTGAGGTGAAGACGTTTCTTTATTGGTCGTATAGCTTTAGTTTTCGGTCAATTCCTTCCGTGACGACCTTGGAGGTGTTTGCCAGGAAGCTAGGAAACAAATTCATGAGACCATATTTTGACCGCAAAGTAGGACAACATCTGGTGCTAAGAAAACCTCTTGGAGAATCTGCACTCTCCAATATGGTCTGGATACGAATTTGTCCAGGTTAGCCAGAAAGCAATCCATGAAATTTTCAACCCTGGTGTAGGGCCATTCGTGTCGGCGTGAAGATGGGCTCAATCTTTCCCAAAAACTGTTGGCATTCGAATGGAGCACTCAATCCCGAGTGTCGTCATTCAACGCGTCAAAAAATCCAGTCGTTGTTAGGTCTGTTTTGCCCTCGCCACGAATATACACAAGATAAGTTAGCGTAAATGGACCCCATGATTCGAACCTGACGCTTCCCGTTCCAGGATAGATTGTTGGTCAATGTAGGAGAAGGAGTCAAAAGGAATCATAGCTGCAGTGCAAAGTCGGGCCGTAATGGCAGTCTGCGCCTCTGCCGTACGACTTGAGAATTGGGCTTTTGAGGATGACGACAAGCAGGCTCGCAGGGAAGAGCAGGCTCGCCAAGAGTGGAGCGTATTCTACGGTGGGCGAAACGTACATGAGCGTACTTTACGGCAACCAAGGCTGAGAATGCTTTCTCTTTCTTCCTTTCTCTGATTCCTTCGAAAAACTTTCCGCGTTGTGCTGCTGTTATTGATCGAATGTTCCTCTGCGCCGACGTCGTGCGCTCTAATTGCCAAACGAACACATATATGTCCTAGCCAGAATCCTCGTCATGTAGATTGTGCTGGGGGCTCGTGCCCAAGGCTGTGTCAATGAAGTTGTCGAGATGATCTGGATCTGTGCTCATATCCAAGAACATACTGGGATACTGTTACCTTTGCTTGTCTTCATCAAAACTATCTCCTCCACCTTTGTCATTATAATGAGGGGCAGTGGTGTCACGTTCATTGATTGCTTCCGGAAAGCGGCTCCCTCCTGCTTGCGTATGCGGTGCGGCATATGGAGTCTGGAACTGAGTCGTCCGCCAGTGGTGGCATGTGAATTGAGGCGGCCGGAAAGTGACCCAGAACGCTTCCCAGGATGCCAGTGGACAAACTGCCGCTCGAGTGCGAAGACGGCACTGTATAAGAGGACTGGGAATACTGGGTCGAGAATGTGGACGGATCCCGGAACTCGAGTCTGTGGCGTCCATCAAAGTGCTCGAATGGGTTGAGACATCATCATCACCACGCACGGGGGGGTGGCAGGGGTGGTAAGTGCTGCGGACCAGTCGCTTGCTGTGGTGCATTTTGAGCCGCCGGGGGTTTGGTGTGGCACCACAGCATGCTGCTCGCCAGTTCCTACAAAGTGAGGATTTTGCCATTGCCGGTTGTATCTAATTTCATCAGCCGCACCACCCCGTATGCGATCATAGTTGACCGGGTTCGGATGAGCGGCCAATGCATGAGATACAAGTGTCGATGAGTGATGGAAGACATAATAATACAGCTATGCAAAGTATAGATTTTGCAATTCTGCTCGAAGACTGTCTCCGCTTTCTCTCGGATGATTACCAAACAATAGTTGAATATCTGGGTTCCGAGAGAGAAAAGAAATCATTCCATGTCCTTCTCTTCGCGAATACTATACATTATTATGCTAGATCATACCTTTTACAGCCGCTGTTCTATTAATATTAGTTCTGCCTAAATCGGGTGGTGACGGAGACCGCAAATTTCAGGGTAAGACTTAGCATATACGTAGGCGCTTCGGCGCGGTGATATAGGTTGGAAGGAGGGGCAGCGCTGAAATCTATTCGACAACGCCGGCGCTCTTTTTCTACCACGGTCTCCATCTACAAGGCGTGGCGCGGTTGAATGAGTGTTTATATACTCGCCCGGTATCAATAGCAGAGGGAGGCTTCTTCATAACTTTAGTGATATACGGTCCTTCTTGCCGATTATGGACGGTTCCCTCATTGCTACGATGTTCCTGTTCGTGCTTACTTTGGTTGGCCCCCACCAAACGGGCCTCCAGGAGAACCGGGTCGTTGGCTCGATGGGCTGCTAAGGAGATTCGACTTTAACAGGGTGTATGTCTCGTGTGTCTAAGGAATTATCATCCATGAATGATCAAGTCGTCGAGAAGACGATGATGCGAGTCCTCGTACATAGGCTCACTGGAAACCAAGTCTGCAAGGGCCCGACAAAAGGCCTTTCAGGATTGTGGTTGAGAAGGGAAGATTGAGCATTGGCTGCCTGAAAGCATGCGATATAGAATTCTGCCCCTGGATCCCAATGCGCCAATTAGCCTGTGGAAATAGGAAACATTTCATTTTTGTCCGTTCAAAGTCTTACTCACCAATTGTTCCGAGTAGTCTAAAAGCCCACGTTTCGAGAACTTCGGGGGTTCGTTGTGGGTTCGGGGACGATGCGCCAGCCAGCCTCGTCCGTCGCCGAGATCCCATCCTCTGACAAAGAATTTGAGTTAATTTTTTGGGATGCCCTCCCGGCTGAAGCTGTGCAACTGATCGGATCTTAGCCTTTTTCAGCCTCGGGTTCAGCTGGGATGGTCAAGATGGTCCAAAGATGGTTCCAAGGCTGAAAGCCCTAAAGCGTCACTACGCCCGATCGGGACAGCAGTACGGCGAATCATTGAATCAGAGGGCGCAACCATAACGATGTGCAGGATGAGCCACTGCCAGCGCATCAATCTTTCTGACAGCTCTCTAAAGTTAGGAGGCAGTCAATGACGAATGTTAGGCTTGGCTCTGACGATCTTAGTGATGCCACTAGGTCAAAGATATTCGGAGGAAAGGGAAGGGCTCTGCAGTCCAAAGAAAGATTGACATAATCCGCCAAACCGCAGAGGGAGTCATATGTCCTCTTTCGGCATCAGTTCTAAGCTGAACTTATTACTCAGGGCGCCTACCTCAACCACAACTGTATCAGAATTAAGACGCTAGCAGCTTTGTCTGAACTCTGCAACAGCCAGCCACCGAAAGACGGATATCGATCTCTTAAAAGAGGGGGGGCACATTTACGGAGGTTTTATCAATGGGTCTGATTTGGCAGATGCTGTTGGGTAGCACCCTCGCTTGCTTCTGCCCCCCGTCTCCTTTCAAGGCTCTCCTTTGACCACACATCTTCAGCGTTATACCTTTCGTCTTGGTATATGGGGACTTTGTCCGAGAGGATGATCCACGGCTGTTTCTCAGAGGCCCAGATGTGGGCATTTGGCGGGAGCACGTCCGGATTGTCCAAGGTGCCCACACGAACAATGCGGATACGCTCCTTCACATTGGTTGTGTTGTTGAGATAAACACTCCAAACAGCAATCTTACATCTTGGGCAACGTGCGATGCTTTGACCGGCGCCGCTTTCACTCGGCACTGTGATCCATTCTGGCTCCTTTTTCAGGAGTTTCAGCCTGTCAGTTTCGATCATGGCGTTGAGCGCAAAGGAAGCTCCAGTCTCCCTCTGACACCATCGGCAGCTGTGGAATTTCAGCAGAGGACACTCACATGCGCGATAAGGTCTGCAACTCACTGACAGCAATGAACAATCATCGGCTCTGTCATCATAGCGTAGCGCACTTCTCCACAATCACAACCCCCCTCGATGGGGAATGCGACTCCTTGTGGCGCCATGGTGCGAAGTTGAGGCTTGATTACGGAGATGTTGAGAGAAAAGCGCTGGATATGATCGTTGACTATGGTTGGCTCAGGGAAGCTCGATCACACATCCCGCTCGGTTGAGAAGCTCAAGGATTGGCAAAGTAAGTTTTCTGCGACACAACCTTTGTGCGTTTCCCCGTCTCTAAAACCTAAACCATCCCGCGCATCAGGTGATCGGATAAAACTGCTCAGCGCTCATAGTCGACAGCGCAGGGATCCTGTGTCGAGAAGCCACATCGGAGATTTTGCGCCAACAAAAGCACGGGGACCTCCACAACGAATGTGGTGGGCACGCGGGCGGGATTCGCCAGACATCCCTCGGAGCGCAACCTATCAAACGTCCCCGGTATCAAGATCAGCCACAAACAGACATATTTGCCCGTCTTTGGATGCTAATTGGTGGTGAGCAGACGAAATGGCGGACGCACGAGAGAGAAACGGGGAAAAAGAAGTCTGGAAAATTCGCTTTCGGAGGATTTTTGCAAGCCACGACTTGATGGGCAGACTTGCATGCGTGAAGGCCTTTGTAGAGTTTCCCTAGGGCGTGCAGAGCGCTAAAGGAGTTGCTTGCTGCATTGTTGACTTGCAGGAGCACGTTAGAGAAGTGTGACTTACTGCAGTAGTTGGGGTGATGAGCGTGCTCTCAAACCATTGCCGAATCAGCCACGATGAGAGAATGTGTTTCATGTGGTGATGGCAAGATAACAGTATTGTGGAAGGGCCCAGCCATGTTGCCGTCATCTTCCGTGCTGGTGACATTAATGTGTCTTTACGACAGTACCGAGTAGGTAACCTACATGGAGACAGGTTTCTTGGACGACGCGTCGATCGTGATGGGGGGCAAGCAAGTCCGAGGCCTTAGCCGGTATCCCTCCGTACTTGTATCACCGGTAGCTCGCTGGATCCGTATGAATGAGTGTTTTTGTGAACAGTTGCCTCAATCAGATGCTCGTCGTGGCATGAGCAAGCCGTTTGACGAAGCCATCAGTGTGCCGTAAGGAAAAAAATAGAAAAAGACGGTGCGCTCCCCAGAGCGGACGGGGCACTGGCAGTGGCCCGAGCCTCGGTACAGTGGGGGGGAGAAGACACCTATCCAAGGCGCTGGCAGAGACATGACTTTAGGGCTAGCGGGCTGTGTTGTAGGCTAGTTGGCACCTAGCACTTTCAGCCCGCAGTGTTCGCCACCGCCCGTGCGAAGCCCCTTGGAAGCCCCCAATTATTAGGCTAGGCTTGGTCCCTGACTCCTCAACGCCTCCCATCGGTGTCCCGAGTCCCCACTTCGGTGGCCGCTCCTCGACTCCAAACCAGGCCACTGGCTCTCATCTTTTTCGCAACTTTTGTCCACCGGCCTCTTTCCTAGGTTTAGCAAAAGGGTCCCCTCTCCTAATACAGGGTACTCCATTGTGACAATACGAGGGCGCCAGTCAGTTCAGAGCTGCCCTTGGTGCCCCCAGTGCCTCCCAGCGTCAGTCTCCAACTGGCGCAGATCCCAGCGTCGCCACATGAATGGCCCTCACGCCTCCTCCTTCATGCCGCGACGTTGGTGACACGCAGCCTGGCGTCGGCTTCGCCTTGGGCATCGTGAATTCTGCCTATGATGCGGCTATCCTCGCAAATGCCGCCCACATTGGTCGTCATACAATCGCACATGACCTCGTCAAAGCACGATTCCTAGGTACGCACGACATCTAGCGAGTCACGCTTGCGGATGCCCCTCTGTCCATTTGATCGGTACGTACACATCCCAAGTCCGTCTGCAGTGTTTGACTAAGGGACAGTCCCCCCACGAAGCCCAGAGTGCCTTTGATCGTATTTGTCCAGGCATGTCAGCCACAACCCTGGTCCGACTTCTCCAAGCTGCGAGCGGGAGGAGCCATGATGGAGACCCATCCCAGATGCAAGACCTATCAGGAATAAAAGATGGCCTGGGACTTGAGGAGTCCCAAGGTTGTCTTGACGCCTTGCAGCAGAAGCCATTCGACTCCAGATGATGAATACGAGTTATGCGCGGCCCAGTTAGCGGCCCCCCCGGCCCGTTGAAAGGTTGAAGGGCCATGCAAGGTGGAAAATCCCTCTGATCGTGAAGCAAGCCATCACCATCAGCCCGTGAAGGAAAATGGGAGTTCCCGTTCTGCTGGGCCAGCATGCTTTCGCCTTGTGCCCCATCTAACTCAACTCGCCTGTGCCAGTCTCTCTCGTTACAAGATTCCTGCAAGATCCGCTCGGTCTCCTGCGACCGTTTCCCTCTCGGCCTTTATCAAGCCAGAAAAGGACTTTGCCTCCCATCTTGTTTTCATTTCTCTTACCCTTTCTCATTGTACACGCGTCCCTCTGGTCTGGACATCGCTAGCATCCAGGTCGTCGTCTGTCGTGTCACGTGCCGGATTCGTGGCTGCTATTTTTTGCCTCGGTGTGGCCGAACAGGCTATTGTACGGGCTTATGTGGCGCATTCTGTCGATCAAAATTCCCACCTCTATACTATCCCCGCGCGGCTGGCCGACAAGACATTTAGCATTTACCAGACTCTGTCTCGGATATGAATGACTTGTGCGACATACGGCCTGAGTCACTTTGAAGAAGAATAATTGACAAAATCCAAACTTGGGGACCGTTCAACATCGTCTGCAACTCTCCAGCAAAATATCCGAATCACCGCTACGGCTTGAAGGTGTGCCAGTTCAATGTCTGGTCTTGATATGAGGACAACGGAATGAGTCGCACGTGTTTAATACCATGGCGCGAATCCTGGGAAGCCGGCAAGGGGGATCCCAACCGACACAGGATATGTCGCACAGAAACCCGACGTATGACACCCAACATGGTGTTTCCAGAACCAGAGATGCTACCGTACCACGAACCACCAGATTACCAGGTTTCCGTCATGATGCCCGTCAGCTCGATTCGACCCGACCCACCGCAAGTACATGTCCGGCTTCACGCTCACCACCCCCTATGAGGGAGGCTTCAGCGAGTCCTGGTGAAAGGCCCGGTCAAAGACCAACAGCCATTCCACGGCCAGCAACAAGAAACCCCTCCCACCGTTCTGCTACCACTCTGAAGAATGCTCCCGCCTCTGCTGGAGTGAGCAGGTCGAACGCACTTTCGGATTCAATGTCGCAGGAGGTTCCTCTACTCATGGAATCGTTTCAGGGATCGAGACGGAGAGACGAAGCCTCCAGTAGCAGGAGACCAGCTCGCCCTCTAGGCCCCTTAAGTGACGCACAATCTTCCTTGGATGTTGATCAAGATGCTATCTTTGGCATAGTGATGCCGAGAGCAAATACAGCGATTCGCACAGGCGAACTACCGTCTCGATTAATTCCAGAACTGCAAGCTCTTGCGGCTTCGTCGACGAAACTACCGCAAGCATTCAATAAATCTGCGAGCTCGATCAGCAGTCCATCAACTCGTTTCTCCAGTTCTCCGAGTCCCTGGAGTGTATCCACCACAACGACGACTCCGACTTCCTGGTCTTCGGCATCCCCTGGTATCGTGCAGCAAGTCCCGGTGACTGGCTCCGCCATTCGGTCACAAACTGTCCCGCTACCTGCAGGCAAACGCGAAAAACTCCCCAAGATGCCAGCTCTCCCAGAGAGTCTCCCTCCATCTGTTGCGAGTGAATGGCCCGCAAGCTCAAAAGAGTCTATGAAGTCGTCTGGCAGGAGGAATACACCCTTGAATACGCCTGTTCCTACTCCACCCCCCAGGACTTCGTCTGCGAAACATTCCTTGAGCAGGAGCAGCAGCAAGAGCGACAGGCAACGCGTGAGACCGCAGCAGGAAGCTACACCTTCCTCATTGGACTTAGAACGCAGCCCCTTGGCAGCCCGAGGTCAGCCAGATCTGGGAAGTGTCGGAGAGTCGTTGCAGCATCGCACTCTTGTACGTGCTCATGCCAATCTCCAGCAGTCGTTGCGCGATGTACCTCCCGGAGCAGCCCGACAAGTCGCAGAGACCTTGAGCAATCAGAGAACTGGCGCGATTGACAGTTATCGGCGGGGTTCTACGCGTCACAATCAAGATTTATCACGTCGGGGTGTCGAGAATCGACGTCAGCCGACTGAATTCACGCAGGTCCAAGAGAGGACTGCGCCTATGGAAGCTCGTCCGAAGACCCCTCGGGATGCGGAAATCGCAACACAAAGCTCCCCAGGCCGCACAGGGAAGCTTTCTCGCTTCGGACTGTTTGGTCGCCGAACCAAGTCTCCAGCCGTCGAAGTCGAAAAGTCACCTCGGAAGCTGCAACGGAAAGGGCCCGCGGCTGGGACAGGCCATGAGGGATATGGAAAATATGGAAGAAGAGGCCGCAAGACATCTGAAGAGAGTGGTTCAGTCCGAGGGAGCGAGAGCGAAAGGTCTGTGAGCAGCACCAGAAGGGTCCCTTTGTTCTCATCCAAGAGTAAGGAGAGCCGCAGCAGCAGTCGCCACAATCGAAGCAGTCAATCTGATCTCGATGAGTTTGCAGCTAGTCGAATGAAGCCTATACCTATCATCGGCGGCTCCGGCAGTAGCATGAAGAGCAATTCTGGGACTCGACTCGACTTATATGAGAGCTCTTCCGTTCCACCAGCTCCCGTCTTAGATATGTGGGGAGCCGCTTCGCAGTCTCAGGCGTCCATCGGTCAACACTCGTTCCAAGACAGCCCGCATGTCGCCAGGGATCAAGTATCGAGTCAAGGCAGTGTCCCTACGCTGGCAATACGTCGATCTCAACGCTTTGGCAACGATACAGAGAGTTTCAATCTCCCGACCCCGATTCGGACAGAAGGACTTTCAGCACCTTTATATATTAACAGCCAAGACGACAGCCGTTCTTCCGCCTTTCCGACCTCTACACCTAGCACAACGACTGATCCTAGCCGCGGCGATACTGCTCTGCAGAAACCAAAGGATAAGAAGTCTAGGAGGCTTAGATGGAATATATTTCGAAGGAAGGAACGGGAGCCAGAACCCGAGAGACCCATTGGCGCATCCTCGTCTTCGCCCGAGGAGATGCCAGTCAGCGTTTCCTCGATTCCTGTCCCTCGACCTATGCCGTACTATGCTGTTATGGATTCTGAGAGTGAAGTCAATCCACCTGAGCATGTTGGGGATTACCTCTCACAGGTGGTTGATTCGCCCGCAGTCAGTCCATTAATTGGCGGATACGAAGCAGACTTCGCTGAGGATTGGCCGGAACCCTCCATACATGAAGATAGCGTCTTTCTCCCCACTGCACCAATATCGCCACCACAATCGTTTGCAAGGTCGCCGCCAGCAGTGCCGTTACGGAGTTCGATCGAGCCAGTTTCGGTGCAGGTGGAGGAGCCACCGCAAAGACCACCGCGCCTTATCCGAGTTGGAAGGATCCCGCCAGTTGTACCACGGAGCGAGAGACAGCATAAACCTAGCCGGACGTCATTTTCTCAACCATTCGTCAGGAACCCTACCGAGAATCCCTATGCGGTGTCGGGCGCCTCAGAAGCCCTGACGTCTATGCCACTCCAAATTAGCACCGATGTGCTACCTAGCAGACCATTCGCTGTTGTGGATAGTGCCAAACCTGCCAGTGCTCCGGTCTGGGGAGAGACAGAATTCTTACGATTCCCGTCGAGGCAGCCATCGGAAGTCTCCGCTTCTAGTAGCTCGGAGGAAGTCTTGAGCATGCTTGGACCACCGTTAATCCCAGGTCTACCCAGTGGTCCCGTCTCTGGAGGACCTACTCTGCAGCAAGAGTCCTACCTACCAGCTAATCCTAGCATCGACGAGGTCTGGAATGAATACGACGATTTCATTGACCATGTCATGTCGCCTTCCCGAAGCAGGAGGAGTGTAAAGGCCCTGGCACAGCAAGGTAAATCAGGACCAATGCGTCTCGAACCTCTTCCACAGTTGGCGCGGTCGGATCAACCCCCAGAGGAAGAACAAACAGATCCGATCTTGTCAGAATTTCCTATTCCTGGCATGAAGAAACCTGTCTTCGCACAAGCCCTGGCGACTTCAGCTACGCCTCCAGTTGTCTTTCCTCCGCCTACAATGCCTGAACGAACCGTGGGGGAGGACATTCGATTGCGCCGATCACGAATCGTTTCGGCCTTGCATTCTTCAATCGACCCTGCATCGCCTTTCTCAATCCGCGATTTACTTAGCGAATACGAAAATCATCCAAGACATAGTACTAAACTCTCTGAGCGCCTAAGCACATCTACGGCAGGTCGCTCCCTCGAGCGCCTAACCACGACAACAAGTGAGCCTGAGGTGCCTCTGGAACCATCTCACCAAGAGAATGTCACTCTGCTTGATGTTGTACAACGAGGCAAAGACCCAGTCGCTCAGTCAGAGCTGCACTATGCCTCGCTCATGGTGGCCAAATGGTTGTCATTTGGGCGAGTTCTATTCTCGCCCGCTCATGATGGGATCGATAAGTACGCTGAGCGCCACATCCTCGTCATCGACGGGTTGGGAAACGAGGATTGGTCCATATACTGTGCAGTGACTTATGAGGCGCAAAAAGCATATGTCCATGATCTCAAGGAGAAGGCCACCTCGAAAGGGACGAAGACGTCAAGACCCTCTCAGCATGCCCCAGACAACCATCGACGAGCGGAAGTATCGAGTTTCTACGAAAAGTTTCCTTTCCCACCGGATTTCTTCTCCGTTGTCGTCTTTCGTTTCCCCCCGGCCATGGCAGAAGCAAAGATGAAGAACATTATATCCGAATGCAAGCGAGTGTTACAGCCAGGCGGGTGTTTGGAGCTGATGCTCCTGGATCTTGACATCGTGAATATGGGTGTGCAGACTCGGAGGGCTGTCCGAGAGCTCAAGTTCAGAATGACGACAGCAGACAAGCAGATCAGCCTCCGGCCGATCATCGACAACGTCCAGAGCGTATTAGGCTCACGGGGGTTCACCAACATCAGCCGCTGCGTGGTAGGAGTACCCGTCGCAGGTCGCCCCTCAGGCTCTTCTGACTCGTCATCGTCATCGCGCTCGAGCCGAGGATCGGATGGCTTCCCAAGGCGAGGGACCGGTGACGCACGGCCAGGAGATGCGTCTCCGCGGATGACATTTGGTCGAGGTCGCAGAGGAGCCAACCTCTCTTTGAATGACCTCCTTTCCGATCGGTCAGATAATGCGGATCTCCGCATTGGAAAGATTGTGTCAAGGACGGCGCGGACGTGGTGGCAGCATTGTTTTGAGGCCAGCGTTATAAACGATGGCAATCTCGGCAGAAGCATATTTGCCGACAAAAACGTTCTGGGAGAATGTAAGGGTCGAGGATCGAGTTTCAAGATGCTTATCGCATACGCACAACGACCAATCGTCGAAACACGTCGGCGAACAATGAGTGAGCCGGTTGTTCCGACGCTGGCTACAGCAGGAGGGAGAAAACAGCCTCAGCCATCACCCAGCAATCCACGCACAGCTTGACCTTGACCTATCTCAGGTATCCCGTTGATTTATTCCACACCATAGTTGCCCCGGCGGCCTTACGGACGACGTACATGAGACGACTTGCTACGACACGACATTGAAAAAAAAGTTGCATATGAATGATTTGTTTCGAAGATACCCCTCTCTCACGTACCGCCGGCAACTACGACTGCTTGTTATATTTGGAGCGACCTAGTACTTTACTAAAAGGCGAGGCTTGAAATACCGTTGTACCATAAAAGTCCAGCGTGCAAGAAATGACGCCGGCTACAGTGCCGACCAAGAGTACGGATGGGCGCAAGCCAGTCAGGATGGATGAACCTCTTTGGGCAAGGCTGCAGGTCAGCCTTGCCGGAGACTAAGTCATGATATAAACATAATACCTATGTTTTAATTTTAAAAACATTAGCATGAGCATACAAGCAGTGACTCCAATTTGTTTAGACTGCGCTGAAGTGCGCCACAGCCTCTACATGGACCAAGGGTGGACGAGGCTGAAGCAGGGCGGCTGTTTAGATGCCTATTCATAGCAAGGCACAAGCGCCGAGGTAACTAATATTTCTGATCCTCGTGCGCAGTCTAGCCAGCCAGCAGTGCCACCAGTGCCACCGGACAGAGCAAGAAACGGCGACGGAGATTCTGGATCCTGGCCAGTTGCAGACACTGGAATCTACGAGCAATAAGCGAATGGCGGGGCAAGGCAGGCGCCCGGACCCAAGCACAGATTTACAGGTACAGAAGACAAGTTGTCACCCATGTGTAACCCAGAGTTGCCCCAAGTTGCCCATAGCCAGGCAACCGATATCCCTGGCATGCTCCTTCTAGCCGCTCGTGGCAAATGATTCGCGTTTTACTGGAGTTTGGCCTGATGCGTAGAGGCGAGACTGACGATCGTCGCCGGCGACAACCAATACTAGTAAAATCCTAAAGCGCTGCCTCTCATTTTTCTGGGCCTGGGTTCCCCTGTTTCCCTTGTCATGTCTTCTCGTTCCACATCTATTCCTCATCGCACTTCAGTCTCCTCGACTACATCGACACAGCATCCCCAGTCCCAGTCCCAGTCCCAAGCTCAGACTCAGCAAAGATCTCGCCCGCAGCCTCAGAGGCTTACTGCGCAACAACTTGCTGAGCGGGTCATCTCGCCAGCCTCACTGCTGTTCTCTGGCGGTACCCCGCCTTTCAGACGAGAAAGCCAACAAGAGCGAACATTACCCACGGACATGGACAGGAGGCATCCCAGTTCGTTCCAACAGCTGGAGAAGGTATGTTCATCAATGTCTGAACCCCCGCGCACCAGAAGTCGTCCGTACTGACTCAACCCCCAGCTGGGTGAGGGAACCTACGCCACCGTCTACAAGGGCCGGAACCGACAGACGGGCGAACTTGTGGCTCTGAAAGAAATTCACCTCGACTCCGAAGAAGGCACGCCGTCGACGGCGATCCGAGAAATCAGTTTGATGAAGGAGCTCAAACATGAAAACATAGTCACATTGCACGATGTCATCCACACCGAGAACAAGCTCATGCTGGTCTTCGAATATATGGACAAGGACTTGAAAAAGTATATGGACGCGCGGGGGGATAGGGGCCAACTCGACCATGTCACCATCAAGAGATTCATGCAAGATCTGCTCCGAGGGACAGCATTCTGTCACGAGAACCGAGTCCTACATCGCGATCTGAAGCCTCAAAATCTGTTGATCAATACCAAAGGGCAACTGAAGCTCGCGGATTTTGGCCTGGCGAGAGCGTTTGGCATTCCCGTCAATACCTTTTCCAACGAGGTGGTCACGCTGTGGTACAGAGCGCCGGACGTGCTTCTGGGGTCGAGGACATACAACACGAGCATCGATATTTGGTCAGCGGGCTGCATCATGGCCGAGATGTATACTGGCCGGCCGCTGTTTCCCGGGACGACAAACGAGGACCAGCTACAAAAGATTTTCAGACTGATGGGTACGCCATCGGAGCGGACATGGCCTGGCATCTCTCAGTTGCCCGAGTACAAGAGCAACTTTCCATCCTATGCTACGCAGTCGTTGGCGATTCTCTTGCCGCAGATCGATCAGTTGGGACTCGATCTGCTAGGCAAGTTGTTGCAACTGAGACCGGAGAACAGAATCAGCGCACAGGATGCTCTGAGGCACCCGTGGTTCTCGGATCTGCCAAACTACGCTGGACATGGGAGAGCCCATGTTAGCTCGACGATGCAGCAACCGGGACAGTTAGGACATCAGGGCGGAGTTGGAGGAGGGTACGGCGCACAACCTGGGTTGGTAGGGCCGGGGGCATATTGACCAGGTTGTTGATGAGAGCCATATCCGTCCGTGGATGAGCGAATTGAGAACAAGCGATAAGGCCTTCACAAGCCTTGCCATCTGAGAGAGTTGGCCAAAATTGAAGGGGGAGTGGGAATGATTTGAGCCATCAAGGTTTGCGATTGTGATACCCTCGTCTCTTTGAGGTAGCATAGTGCAGATACGGCATTGAGGATTGAGGCATCGGGATAGGTGCAACAGCGGCAGGCATTTCATCTTTGGGCAAGCAAATGATAATATGAGTTGACGGCTCCTGAAAGCTTTCTGCGTATACTCCGTACCGGGTTTGCTGTAGAGTGTTGACGCAAGGGCTTTTGGGGATAACTTTTTTGGGGGGGGGGGGAAGGCGCCGGAACTGGTGTCGGCGACGGGTTCCCCATTTTACGCCTTTTTGAGCTCCGCTGGAGGACGCTAGCGCTCCTTTCGGCCTTCCCAACATACGAGCACCAGCTTGACGGAACTCCCATCCACTTTCTCTTCATCGGCGCCCCCATTGAATCTGTTGCATCTCTTCTCCTTCCTTATCCCCTTCAGAGATGCTTTCAAGGGCCTGTTTAAGAGGCTTCGGCCTGCAGTCGCTGCCAAAGAGACAAGCGTATCAGCTTGCTCGACGGACTGTCACCACGGATGCCGCCAGCTCTCATGCAGAAAAGGACGATGTCCCCGAGGCAAGGCGCACCCTCTCTTTCTCGGCACTTGATTGTACTTGAGGAGGAGCTGACAATGCTCTACAGGAAGATGATAAGCCCTTCCCCGTCAAGCTCTCCGACGAGAGTTTCGAAACCTACAACCTCGATCCTCCCTCGTACACTCTCGAGACGACGAAGAAGGAGTTGAAACAGATGTACTATGACATGGTAGCTATACGGTAAGCCAAACAGAACGGCAAGCAACTGCGAAGGGGATTTCTGACTCTCGCAACAACAGTCGTATGGAAATGGCCGCCGACAGATTGTACAAGGAAAAGAAGATCCGAGGATTCTGCCACTTGTCAACCGGTCAAGAAGCCGTCGCTGTGGGTATTGAACACGCCATCACCAGAGATGATGCTGTCATCACTGCCTACCGATGCCACGGCTTCGCGCTCATGCGTGGCGGCACTGTCAAATCCATCATCGGGGAACTCCTAGGGCGACGAGAGGGGATTGCCTACGGAAAAGGAGGCTCGATGCACATGTTCGCTCCAAATTTCTATGGCGGTAATGGTATTGTTGGAGCTCAAGTGCCTGTGGGTGCTGGTATTGCTTTCGCGCACCAGTACACTGGCAGCAAGACTGCCACGGTTACTCTGTACGGAGATGGCGCTTCCAACCAGGGCCAGGTGTTCGAGGCCTTCAACATGGCCAAACTGTGGAACCTCCCCGTCTTGTTCGGCTGCGAGAACAACAAGTACGGTATGGGTACCTCGGCGGCTCGGTCGTCAGCTCTGACCGAATACTACAAGCGAGGTCAATACATTCCGGGTCTCAAGATCAATGCGATGGACGTGCTCGCTGTCAAAGCGGCGGTCCAGTACGGCAAGGAATACACGGCCAGCGATAAAGGGCCTTTGGTGTTTGAATATGTCACATACCGCTATGGTGGCCACTCCATGTCGGACCCAGGAACGACGTACCGAACCAGAGAAGAAATTCAACGGATGCGATCTACCAATGATCCCATTGCCGGGCTCAAGCAAAAGATTCTGGACTGGGGCGTGTGCACAGAGGATGAGCTCAAGCAAATTGACAAGAAGGCACGAGAGGACGTGGATGGAGAGGTCACCGAGGCAGAGAAGATGGCCCCTCCGGACCCGACGGAAAAGATCCTCTTCGAGGATATCTACGTCCGTGGGAGCGAGCCGGCCTACATTGGTGGGCGCACACCTGATGAGACATACTACTATTGACTGACCCTTGGCTGACCTATTCGATACATTTGTTTTGGAGGGAACGGTTGGGGGGAAAAAGCGGGTTTCTGACGCAGCTGTGTATATTTAGCCAGATCGTAGTTTACCCTTGGCGAGGACGATTAGCATAAGTGGTCGGGGGTGAGATTACCGTTCTGCTTTGGATCGATGGACTTTGTTGCTGCTGCTACTGCTGCTGCTGCTGCGAGTTCCCTAAGTAAGTGGTGTTGCACTTGTCTAGGGGAGAAATGCTTGAATGGCCCTTTTGCACGTGCGTCTGCAGGCTCACTCCCGCTCGGCTGGCGGAAGAAAACTACCTAAAGTTAATAAGCAAACGCAGGTGGAGTTGACGGCACCACGGGTCCCTAGGCTGTACGGGGAGCTCACCAAGTTGCCCGGTTGGCGTTGCAGCAGTGAACGATGATGCAAACCCAGAGCCAGAGAGCCACCAGTCCTCATCCCATGTGGTGGTCAAGTTCGAACTTCGAAAGCACACCACCACCGCTGGCTCCTCAGCTTCGTCCACCCATCTCCTACTCCGCATTTTGCGCCGGATCTCACAACCTCTTCTACTCTACTTTCTTTCCCTGTCTCTGTGTGACGAGCTCTGCTGTCAAGAGCCGGCCGGAATCATGGCGACCACAGCGAGCGAGTCGTCTCCCCTACTTCCACAGCATGCGTCTCCCAGCGAGTCACCATCTCGCCCTGGATTACGCACTCAAAGGACTGTCACCTTCAACCCTTTGGCATCTGTTAGCACCCAATCCGGGGCCACATCCTCTGCAGTTCTGAGACCCGTACAAAGTCCTTCGGCCGCCTTGACCGGCTCCAACCAAGCAGTTCGAGAACAACCGCCCATGCTGAGTGCATTCAACTCGAAACTGCGCAGAAGAAATAGCCACGGAGCCCCGTTACCGACCACACAGCCATTCACTGCGGCTCCAAGAGCAGGCGCTCAGAGGACGACCAAAACCACGGAGAAATTAAAGATATTGCCCAACCCGGACATTGGTGACGAAGAACGAGATGAGGAAAGTGGAAGAGATGTGTATTCTCAGTTCACGAGAATAAAAGACCCCACAGCCAGGAGGGATGCCGCTAGGTTGGGGAAGGCGGACAGGGATCGGCTGCCTCGAGTGACCGCATACTGTATGGCACAGGGGTACCGACTTGATGGGATTATGAAATTCATGAAGTCGAGATCGAGGACGAGAGGTGCCAACCCCAAGCTATTCGACGAATGTCTCTATAGCCCCTACGACTATGAATATTTGAAGAAGAAGAACAAAGGAGGGGACAGAAGTTCAAGTCCAGTCGAGGAGAGGATTGCAAGAGTCATGGCTTCCCCGAGAATAGCGCCCCGAGAAAGGCGGTTCTCAGATAGCGCGGTGGAAGTGGAAGACAACAACAAAGCCAGAAGAGATCACCTCCTCGACCTGCAAGAAGAGCTGAGTACACCGACCGGTACAGCTGCAACAACAGAAAACACAACGACAGACCTGACTGCCCTTGCCAGCCATTCTTCGACCGACCTCCGCCAAACCGAAAGCGATGCGATGCGTCAACGGTCGGACTCAGAATTCTCCACGACTGTCCACATACCCGAAATCTTCATATTTGACTACGGCACCGTCGTCATCTGGGGCATGACGGTTCAACAAGAGCAAAGGTTTCTCCATGATATGTCCAAGTTTAGTGATGCGCCCTTACCTACCGAATCTGTCCAAACCGAGAACTTCAACTTCTACTACACGAAGGAATACCAAGCCCGGATATACAACGACTTCATCTCTCTACGGGAGCCACGGAATCATATGATCAAACTGGCCATTTCACACGCCCTGTCCCAGTCCGTCAAGACGAGTCTATTTGAGGACCTCGTTAGCGAGACTATCGAAACAACAGCACCTTTACCGGCGCTGATCGCCCAGACCGGCAGTGTCAACTTGACTAGACGCCAGCTGAATATGCAAATTGGAGAGCTGTTTATCCTGCGGATTAATATCCACTTGCAGGGTTCCGTTCTGGATTCTCCCGAGTTGATGTGGTCGGAACCGCATCTGGAACCCGTGTATGCGGCTGTCAGGAGTTACTTAGAAATTGAGCAGCGCGTTGGGTTGTTGACAGAGCGGTTGGATGTCATTGCCGGTGAGTGTTAACCTTGTGCAACGGTTGATGATGAGGTGTTGGAGTATGGATTGCTGATATTGCCCAGACTTACTTGCGGTGCTGAGAGAACAAGGCAGCAGACGACACGGTGAAGTGCTAGAATGGATCGGTGAGTCTAGTCCGACCCGAGGAATGGGTGTCCCGCTGACGAGCTGTAGTTATCATTCTCATCGCTGCGGAAATCTTGGTTGCGTAAGGGCTCTCCTTATCAGAGGCATCCATCAGAGCAGGATAGCTAACCTGTTCCTCGCAGAGCCATCAACATCGTCGTCGATCTCTACGCTGGCGTTGATTGAGACGCCCTCATTCGCCCACGGTCCCCCTCTCTCTTGTTTCTCTGCTTCGAACTTCAACCGCATAGACTCTAAATTCGAACCCGCTTTCCAATGTCAACAAGAAACCGGTGGAAGTGCTATGGACAACTTGTTCGAACCGAGTGGGGGCAACCAGACTTCTGCAGTCTTCCCTACCGCCACCACAACATACATTCACCGTCGAAACTACACTGAAAATGCAAATGTCTTAGCTAGCGTAGGCGTTGGAGGAGTTGAAAATCCCCGTCTATATGGGTTCTCAGATGTCCCAGTCTCCGCAGTCGCATGTATGCTTTGATTCTTTTTGTATACTTCATCCATGTCGTTTACTTTGTACCTGGTAGCATGTGTTGCGGTTCTCGAATCACTGGCAAGGGAGGGGCAAAATGGAAGAGAAAGTCAAGGAAGGGAACAGGCATCGAGGGACTGTTCACAGTCCCTACCTTTCGATATTGAACAATGAGATCTGTCGAGGTCCGTGCACCATGTCTGTCGAGCTCCATATGAAAACAAGCACGCGAGACCTCTACTTGAAAGAGACCTGTTTGAAAATGGAGCGTTTCATTACTCAAGTTGTCGTGCGTCCACGAAGCTGAGAGACGCTATCCATCTACTCACTCCTCCCATTGAGCATCTCTCGAGCTTGCCCTGGGTGACTGACCACCGCCTCCAGCTGCTAAATGTGACGGAGCGCCTAAGTGACGTGAATATGTCAAGTCTGCGTTCATCTTAATCTCTGTGTGATTCGCGTGTCTTGTATCGTCGGTCGTTGGAGGGTTCGGTCGCCCGAATCGTTCACATCGTGTCTCCTAAATGATGTCGGTAGCTCCGTGGGCGACTCTTGTGCGTTCCTGTAGTCACGTCAGCACACCTTGGGAGCAAATACAGAAGGAGTACGCTTTGTTTAAAAAAAAAATTATTTCAAGTCCTCTATATACTCAGTCTACAGACGACTTCTCTTCACTTTCCCTTGAGGGTCTTGTGCAAGCACAGTTACCTCAAGAGAAGGCGATGGTGATAAGAAAGGACGACACATTTTGTACGAGAGAGCGAAGTGAAAAAGTCGGTCAAGTAGCGTTGTTCACACTCGCCAAGCGGAGCAATTCGCCGAGCTGAGTAGAGGTGTTGGCAGTCAAGGTGTTAGTGGTAAAGGTGTGGCAGAATGAATTATTGTTTCCTCGCCAAGTGAAGATATTGAAGATTCGGAGAGTCCTCCAGCAGTGGCAGGTGCCTCTTGGCAAGTCCAATCTGCCTTGTTCACATTGAGATACACCTCCAGGTCCCTGCATTGATCTCTGAGGCTGATGCTCCATGGCTCTGGTATAGGCGCGGATGGCGTCGAGATTCCACTGCAGTATCCATCCAGCCTTTGTACCAGGTCCAAGTGCTCAAACCAAAGTGTGGTCTCACCAGATAGCAGCTCCGGTGTCTCTTCCTTGCTTTGAGCGCATCCTTCCTTCTCGTGCTCAATGCGCGCGATCCCAGCAGATACCAGCCGCAGGCCTCCTAATTGCTTCCACGTGCCACTTGTGGGCTCGTTTGGGCTTGATGTGAACTGCGAAGGGCGAGCGCCGCGTCACCGCGTACTAATCACCTCCGTGGCAAGATCTTGACCTGCTTTGTCACTTTCCTTCGTCAAGTCAATCCCCCATTCACACCCGTCGCCAGTACACACATACCCGGGGTATTTGTGGGTGAGTAAAGAGATTTGAGCAGGAGTGTGATTTGAGTCTTGAGTGCCATCTTCTCCCTCCACATAGTCGGCGAGTCGGGTCGGTGTACCCAGTATCTTGCCAGTATGCAGGTCTCAGCCTCGTCACGTGACACCCTTATTTTGACCACCGCCAAATGACATGGTTATTATTTTCATCAACAACAATCACAATAACGCTTCTGCTGTACCCCATCCAAGATCCTGGCCCCCCTTCTGATCTGCTATTCACTGCCAGCGTCAATCATATCCAGATTGAGTGATCAATGGCAGAATTAGTGCAACTAGCCTGACTTTATTTGGTCCCAGACCGCCAAGGAGTTACTCACGGTATATCACCTGTGTTTTCCTTTCGAACCTCTTTCCTTCTTCCTTCTTCCTTCCTCCTGTCAAACAAGTTCAACAGACTGTTGTGCACACGTTCTTGAGCGTTCTGCCAAGATGTGTTTTGGTTCATATACGCCCCTTGTGAGAAACATTAGGCGCCTGATGTTTCTCTGAGGTGCCGCAAATCAATCTTTGGAACCTTTTCAGTCTTGTCGTCTGGGACAAGCGCATCAATCTTTGGAACATGAGACTCTGACTGCTGCCAACCACTTTCAGATTTTGGAACATCTTAAGTCTGGTCCTCTTGGATGAGCACAACAGTTTTTGAAACCTTTCCAGTCTGTCCTCTGGACAAACCTTTTCTTTTTCACCGTTTCGACTTGCGCCTTGCGCCAAGTAGCGGAGAAGAAGGTCCAACACAACAAACTGGCAGGACAGAGGGCCGGGCAGATTACATCGAGGCCTCGCTGCGCTTCCAGCTCCGGGATGTTCATTCAACCTGTTGTTGACGCCCCATGACTCAGATGACCACGACGCAGACCGTTTCGGTTCAACAGGGTTTGAAAAGATGATTATCAGCACTTTCCGACGACGATGGTAATAGATACGGAGGGCGGCGAAAGGCAGCGAAACCAGATGGGCACAAACAGTGGTAGTTGAAACCTTCGTTACGACATCGTGGACCAAGCTCTCGATTGCGCGGTGTGTGGCTAGAAGCCTAAGGGACGCAGGCGATCATCATCATTATCCTGTGCCGCACCGTCGGCCATTGTTCTCTCACTTCTTCGTTCCCGCTTGACCTTGTTGTTGTTGTTGCTGCTGCATCATCCTTGCTCTTGCATTTCGGCTCCCTCCCAGCTTCGGCCCTCTCGGCTCCGCAGTAGTTGTTCCCTTTGACTGACTGGAATATTTACTCTTGTTCCTCCTCTCCGCCATTGCATCCATGAAATCTTGCCGGAATTGCTCAGCAAAGCGCTCGTCAGTGTCACCCTCTTCTGCGACCTCGCCAACCAGTGGCCGACCACTTGTCGGTACTGAAGAGTTCGTATCGTACAGATCAATCTTATTCTCATGCAGAAATTGTTCCACCAGCGCGTCCCGCGCAATGTCTTCGCTGTTCCTTCGCTTCTTGGGTCGTGGCCTCATTGGTTTGCCGTCCCGTCCTAGACGTGGTTTTCGCGGCCTCCGTGGTTTGTCCATTTCTTCGACCGGAGCTTGACCGGCCTTGACACGTTCAAGCGCAGCTTGCGTGCGGGCCAGATTATTATCGTGCACAGAATTACCCAAGTCGACCTCGGCCAACTGACGGGTGGATGCTGGATTGGTTGTTGATGGTTTCTGGACTGGTAAAACCGGCCTATCGGATGATGGAGAACTGTGATTTGATTCCTCTTCCGAGTTCTCCTGCGAAGCATTTGAGGAAGTAAGGAGATGGCTGCGTCTCTTAGCCATTTCGGAGTCTATGAACGCAACCCTTATCTTGTCAGCCAACTATGTCTCCAGGTCCGGGGAATTCTGAGGGAGCCACGAACATATGTTCATCAACATTAACAACCTGCCCAGTACTTCCGACAAAACGGTGGACAATGTCTATAGGTTTGTCGACGATCTGATCTGACTTGGTAGCCTCTGTGGCAGTGGTTTCATCCGTTCGTTGCATGACCTTCGTATTTGAGAATTGGACGCCCGATACAGCCTTTCGAACGTGCTTTCGTGCACGTATCAGACTTGAAATTCCGCCTTCGTCCCCATCATCGTCTCGAGTCTCGTCTCCGCCCGCAGAGGGCGCATCGTCTGTCTTGGGAGCGGCGGTGGTGGTGGCGGATTCTTCAGATGGTTCTTGCTGGAAGCGTGTGAACTTCCTCCGCTTCGCAGCTCTGAAGATTGGGATTTCTTCCATGATTTTCTATAAAAGGGAAAGAAGAAAATGATGGATGGGATGGATGGTATATGTATCGAAGCTAGTGGCGAGCTACTCGAGATTGTGGATACACTGACCGTGAAATGGACTATCGCCACAGCATCCCTTCAGAAGATAATGAATTTGTTCCTGAATATATAGACTGCAGCCTGACGTGGGCCACTCGTCGTCGACCGGAGAAAACGTCTGGAATGATCAGAATGATGTCTGAGCTTGACGGTTCATTCAAGCCTTGAAGTTAATGTCACGTGTAGCTTGGCACTATTTGACTGTCAATGCGATGGCCGCGAGATTCTACGGAGTAATTTCTCTGACATTTGCTACGATCGTCTCTGTCCCATTCACACTTTCAACGGGCCCCTCTCTTTTCCCTCCCTACTCTCCATTGATACGCAATGTCGTCGAAATTACCATCAGCAACGTATCGTTGCTGTCACCTTGCAGCTCGGACGCAAAAACGCAGTCTTTCCTCTCAATGCCTCCGACTCTCCTCCACAAGCTCCGCAAACCAGCATAGACGAAGGAATAGCTTAACATTCTGTGGGCATTCAAGAAGATGGCAATCTACGGAGGCGGCTGCTACACCTCAAAACCCTAAGATAGCCGGGATTGTTGATCAAATATCGCAATTAACGCTGTTGGAGACGGCCGATTTGGTTGCGAGCTTAAAGGTATACTCGAGCATCATCTTCCTGCAGCGGACCACGCGCCTCATTTTGCAATCTCCTTTTTCGCACGTTCTGTTAGACTCCAGCTGATATGTACAAATATAGTCCCGCCTCAACATTCCCGACATGGCTTTCGCTGCGCCAGCCGCTGCCCCTGCTGCTGGTGGCGCTGCAGCTCCAGCTGCTGAAGCAGAAGCGGCAGAAGAAGCCGCGCCCGCCCCCGCTGAGAAGACAATGTTCACTCTGAAACTCGATTCCTTTGATGCGGCTGCCAAACCCAAGGTCATCAAGGAAGTGAAAGGATTGCTAGGCCTGAGTCTGGTGGATTCCAAGAAGTTTGTGGAGAGCGCGCCAAAGGTCATGAAGGAGGGTGTGCCGAAGGAGGATGCGGAGAAGATTGTCGCGGCCATGAAGGCACTGGGAGCTGTTGTTTCAATGTCGTAAGGAAAGACAGATGAGATGGCCGGTGAAGAGACGGACGGCCCTTTGGAAACTGTCCAGATCGGTTTGGCGAAAAGTTTGTCCAGGACCATTTCAGAGATGGAATGGTGCATCAAACACTCGTCAGAGGCCTAGAGATGTCCTGTGGGACTGAAAGGTGAAGGTACTCACTTGGTACACTCTTGGAGCTAGTCAAGCATCCTCCTCTACCGAGTTCGTTGTCTCTGGAATCATCTTTACCAGGGGACGTTGTAACTATACCACGGGCTTGCAGGGAGATTTGGAGAAGACCCAAAACAAAATTGTACAATTCAAGATTCGACTACCGCTCCAGAAGACAGATCTTTTCCGTGTGCACCGTCAAGTCGTGCGGTGTATCCATTTTGCGAGGAACATGTGCTCAGAATCTCCAGAAAGATGAGCCAAACTTTTCGACTGCGAACATCCTGGATATGGACAGACATCAAAGCGTAGCCCACCTGCGATGTTATCATCCATAAGACTACCACGTTGCCTCGCAGGGCGATCCTGATTTCCATTTTCACCTCAAATCCATATCCCTACCGGGCCCGAAAAATTACCCATTCCCCACCTCTTATTGCCTCTCAAATCTCGTCCCATTCACGCCACTGACTCCCTTACCCAACTGCGCTGCGACGACCGTCGCTTCCCTTACACTCCTCGCTACTGTTCCTCTAACTCTGCCCTCTTCCAGCACCAACAACCCACCAATCGTGCACCCTCCAGGGGTCGACACCTTCTCTCTCACCAGCGCAGGATGTTCCCCTGATAAGACCATCCCTGCCGTGCCTCGCATCGTCTGGGCGGCCATGAGTTGAGCTTCTGCACGGGGGAGGCCCATCGCAACGGCCCCGTCAGCGAGAGATTCGAGCATCAATGCCAGGAAGGCGGGACCGGAGCCGCACAAGGCTGTTGAGACGTCCATCATTGCTGGTGGGAGGTGCACGACCCGGCCTATCCGCGTGAATACCCATTCAACTATTGCTGATAGTTCGGCGGGTAAAGGGGGAGTGGTGTTGGCGATGACGGTCATGGATTCGCGCACAATCGCGGCGGTGTTGGGCATGACTCGTACTATCCGGCATGCATTTTCAGGAATATTTTCTGGATACGACTCGCCATAGAGAACCCGACCAATTTGTTCGACGGGGACGCCGGCGCAGATCGAGATCAAAAGTTTTCCCGCGAGAGCTTCTTTCATCCCCTCCTCACGCAAAAGCTCACTGACCATATATGGCTTACATCCCAGTATAACCACGTCGGCATTGTGCGTGCCCTTCACGTTTTCGTTTTGCAAAATCGTGACATTTGGGCGGTAAGATTGAACGGCAACCTTGATCCGTTTCGCAGATTCAGGGCGGCGCACACAGGCGATGAAGTTTGATGGTGTGCGTTGCGGGGGGGATTCGGTGGTGGGTGTTGCGGTGCCGGAGTCGGGGTAGGCTGGCGAAGGAGCGTGGGAAGCGGAGGATTCGGAGAGGGAGGAGAGGATGCCGCTGAGGATGGCGATACCGAGTGTTCCTGGTTTCGACTTTTAGTCAATGGATGGCTCCAGCGGAAGGGAAGAGGGTGAAGGAGTGAATCTAGGAAGAAACTCACCGCATCCGAGAATTGTGAGAGTCATGCCACTAGAAGTGTCGAGCCCATTGATCCCGTTGGGCACACGCAGCATAGCCGCCATTTCGCACGCGCGCTGTAACCTGACAGCAGGGAAGCAATATGTAGGGAGAAATGTCTTCGCTGCCCCGTTCCAATTATGTATACTGTCGTGCTGAAAAACAAAAATGCGGGGAACGGGTTGAAATATTTTTGAAGGGCGGAAGCGGAGGACCTCAAGATCAACGGCAAAATCCGCCTGCAAGGCACACCAATGACGGAGATCCTTGAGTCGCCTTGATCTTTGCTGTACGAAGTCTGTCGCTGCTGTTTCCTGCAGTTCATAAACTGAATCGAAGTGGCGCTCCCGAGAAGGATATCGTCTACCTGACCGACCAGACAATGTGAACAACACCGCTCGCTTCCCATAAGCCTCTCACCACAAACCCCCGCCTCCTGCTGTCGATCGCAGTCACGAATTCATCGCCATCGCCATGGCCGATCCCTTCGAAGTCCGCATGCGCTTCACCAACCTCCTCACCCACCTCTCGGCCTCTGCCACGGCCTCAATAAAAACCGCCCACTATGCCCTCAAACACCGGGACATGGATGAAGACCTCCACTCATGCATTCTTGAAAACCTGGAGAGGGGAAACACAAACATGAACAACCGTGCCAACATCATGTACTTCTTGGAACATCACGCAGACATCAATATGAAGGAAGGGGGCCATGAGGCGTACGTGGAGATGGTCAAACGGGATATGATGAGGATCGTGGATGCGGTTGCGCAGAGCGGGGCGAATGTCAAAGTCGTGAGGCGGGTTGTCACCGGACTGGGCGAGAAAGGTGTTCTTACGCCGGAGGTGATCAGTGCAATCGAGAGCGGATTGAAGGATAAAGAGGAGAAGTTTGGGAAACTGCTGGGAGACGAGGACGGGGAGCCAGAAGCAGGAGGTGACAAGGACGTCATGGATATAACTGCCCCGGAGGGCGGCGCAGCGGATGGTGCTCAGAGACCGACGCCACGGACTGGAGCTGAGCGTTCGGGAAAGCCCAACGGCGTGTCGAAGATGGATAAACGGGCGATCGAGCAGAGAATAGAAGAGGACAGAGAGCGGAATAAACGACTACGGGAAAGCGTCTGGGCGGTGACGGGCGACGACGATCAAGAATTAGACAAGATGTGGGAAGAAGGTGCTTTGCTCGGTGAAGACGAACATGTCATCGCCGAAGAAGAAGCTGAAGAACGTCTTCAGTTCGTCTGTTATCATCGAGCTACGCTTGGATCCTGAAATGTCGCCCGTGCGGGCAGGGCGTTCTGCGACACCGAGAGACGGATTCCTTGATGCCTCCTCAATCTCAAAATTCTGGGGTCATACGCCGTCACTGAATTCAGAACAAAAGATGCTCTTGGAGTATGGGGCAGTTTCTGGAAGTGGGAAACATGAGCGGTGGGAACTGCTCGAATCCACCTCGGTCAACAACCACGAAGAATGGCGACGGAATGGTCTTAAACCTTTGGTTTCTTCGACCTGGAAGCTTCGGCGTTCGATTCCTCGTCATCTTCATCATCCTCAACAACCCTCCTCTTGCGCACGACGGCGGATGACTCTCCATTTCCCTCGTGATCTGATTCTTTCTCTTTTAGCAGGGCATATGAGAGGATGAGACGTTCATGTTCATCCTCTTGTCCACGAGCACTATCCTCGATCTGGGGCAGTCGTTCTTCGAACGGAAGCTGATGAAGCACATCCTTGTTCTTCTTGATGATGCGCTGTTTCAGCAACAGTCGCCACCAGTAGTACGCACGGTCATCCGGATTGGAATTCCTGGCACCCTTAACCACGAGGCCAGTAAGGGATGCTCCACCAGCCGCACGACGCGAATACGGGATCTGGGCCAGAAGATACATTTCGACCATCCGGGCGAACTGGCGACCTGCAATCTTGTTCTTGGATCGGATGGCTTGCAGCTGGTCAAGAGGAAGCAATCTGGCAGTTGGTACCCGTTTCAAACGTCCTCGGTCCATGCTGGCAAAAGGCGACGTATCGATCTTGAGGTTGATTGCTTTGAACTGTGGTTCTAGATTGTCAAAGTCATTCATGTCGCGTAATTTATCGAACTCCTCGCTCGGGTCCTCAACTGTCAGTTCTAAAACTGTCGGGTCGGCCATAACCTGATCGTATATTGCCTGATAAAGAGCGGAACCATGGCCGGAGCTTTGATAAGGTGGTGTAATAAGGAATTGCGATATTCGGACTCGTGACGGGAGTGTGTTGGGCGTAATGGTTTCTGTCGGCGGAAATGAAATAGGAATATGGTCTTTCGGAGGCTTCTGAAACTTGTAGAAGCGATAGGTCGTTGCATAGCCAACGAACAAGTACGGAGATGCATTGGGTGTCGGGGTTTTTGATGCCTTTTGGTATGTGAGATAGACCCTCCATCGATCCAGCGTCCAGTCAACCTCCTCCAAATTGATGAACTGTCCGCCTTCGATAAAGAAGACAATAAATATTTGAATGTTGTCAACCAAGGTTCTCATTGGCATGTCTAGGAGCGAGCCAGCCCACACTTCAAAGTTCTCTCCGCCTCTTGTGTACTTCTTTACGCACACGCCTGGAGGTGTCCATTCCGCTGCTTTGGAGTCGTCCAGCACTTCTGACTCGAATCCCTGCTGAAAGGCGGTTGGGGGTAGGAAGTTGCCGAAGGTCTTGTTCAGATCGAGAGCGCTTGTGGTGCCAACAGTGTCGAACTTCTTCACATATGAGCACTGTAGGTGTGGTCGCAAGTCGTGAGCGGCAAATAAAAGTTCGACTTCTAGCCCTTTGTAGCCAAAAATCTGCTCTGCTTCTCCAACGATGGGATAGGTGAATTTGGGATGGAATTCATGCTTGGTGATGAGTCTATTGTTTGGGCCGGGCTGGACGAGAGAGATCCGGATGGCTTCATTCGCGTTGACCGAGACTTTGACTGATCAGCAGAAAACTTTCTCGTGCGAAGCGCAACACTTACATTCTTCGGATGACGCAGCCATGCTGGAGATATCCCGCAAGATTGTAGCTATTGCATGTCAGGCGCGGAGTTGTAGCGAAGCAATCTTCAAGCGGCGTTGAGACAGGCAAGTGCTATTTGAGAAGCACGAACACAAATGAGACTCCAGAGATGTGACAGTAGAAGGAACCGCAAGTGACTCGTCTCTTGTGACGGCTTGGGGCACATTGATCTTCAATTTGGGGTCGCCGCGAACACGCTTTCGAGCAACGCGTCGTGGAAAAATTAAAGTTGTCTGACAGTGTCTGACAGTCATTTAAACCGTAACCTCGGGTCGCCTAGTGGTGTTGGTGCTACTGGGTATTGCATTCACCGTTGCTGGCTTCGACTACCTCGTCGTACTGGGTATGCCTGACTTGATTTTCACAATGGGCCAGTTCCAAAACGCCGTCCGCTGCATCGGCCGCAACTTTGCCAGCATGCGGTAATCAGTCAAATATCACAGCAGAGACCCCTCGATTCTCACGCCCTGTCCGCCGTGTTCATGCACATCAGCCTCGCTTAAGGACCTCATTCCCTCTGAGATGAGTTCCCGTTCTTTCCATTCAGGGTCCGACGACGGCCAAGGACACGAGCGAGAAAAACCTCGTATTATTGTACTCGGTACCGGCGAGCTGGGTAATGCTGCGATATTTCTCTTCCAATTTGGCTTCCAAGACTTCTCTTGCTAGAGACCCTTTCCGTTGCCAGCCTCGTGTTCAGGTTGCGCTGACCACGCTTCCTCCTCATCGTGCATCTCTTCGACCTAACTTCATATCCATCTTGCAATTCGGCCTACATTGTTGAGAATGATAAGGCTTCGCAACATTCAGATGCTCTCAAAATCCCTGGCTTTCCACCCAGGTTAGAGAAAGTAAGCACTGGATGGCGTACTAGGTGCTCCGTGCGAACCCTCCCTCACCCAAGCTGCTGAAGCTTCTCGCTTCTGCAAAGTACGCAGTTTTCAAAATTAGTATTGGATGGGAGAGCTCTAGGCAAAGCGAAAGTTTGGTGACGGGAGTTTTTAAGCGTAGCGAATTCTGAATGCCCTCGCGATTATGTGAGCTGGCCGGTTGTCCAATCCTCGACAACACAATCACGAATTAACGTCCCAACCAAAACCAGGATTCGTGACGTTATTTCCCGATATTCCCGACTTTGGATGTCCGTTTGTGTCTTTCTCGTGGTTCGGTATCGTGCAAAGGTTGCGAGGCCGATCGATCCGGGAAATCATACGAGTTCTTTGTCTCTTCAGCGTCTTACAGGTCACACCATCTACTTTGAGAACATTCAATAGTGCGATTCAGAGGCTTCGAACCGACGCAGCCAGCCCTGTTCGAGCACCCCATACCGAGGACTCCCCATGAGGAAGTGTTGGAAGAAGGGGTATTACGCTCTTAGCCGTGGAGCCCTCGGTTGAGGTTGGTGGCCCGTTCCCAGGGCTCCAGACGTGATGACTCGCTAGTCTGGGGGCTAGCCTGCCCCAAATGCCGGAAAAGATCATTAGGGACGGTGGTTTGAGCGGTGTCGAGAACTCAAGACTCGTATGTGGGAGTCCGGGCGAGTCGTCTCCCCCTTCGAAAATCCACTCTTCCGAGTCCAAGGGTCAGCAGCTTGGATTCTCTGGGTCTCCCGTTGACCCGCCTCTTCCTTCGTGGGACTGGTGACCCATCTCATGCTCCATCCTACTCAACTTTTCTTCACTCACTCACCTACGATCTCCCAGAACACACAGCAGTCGGCAGTTTAGATGGAGACATAGGCACATTTTTGACAATGCAACAGATACTCCTCCAAGTACGACTTCAAGATGTTAGCTATTCTGGTACCGCCTAAGATAATTCCTCGAAACGACGGGTTAACGCGATCATCGATTGTTCCGGGGTTGGGTATGCGCCGGTATAATAATGCTCGTTTCTTCTGAAGATGCCAAACTTGGAGGTTGGGTCTGCGCCGGTTTATCCTTGGTGATATTGATTATTCGGATCATTGCAGCGAGAATACACCATGGATCTTTCGATCTCAGCACTGCTATCTGTGTCGCTGCGGTCGTCGCCGTCGTGATTCGCCTTATCGTGAATCAATTCGTCCTTACCTATGGAACGTCGAACGACGCGCTCAATGGCAAATCAACATACTTCAACTCCGAGGATCTCGAAAATCTCAAGATTGGAAGCATTTTATCACTGATCGCGCGACTTCTGATCACCACGATTTGCTGGCTTCAGAGTTGCTTGTTGTTGCTCTTCTACTCTCGGATCTTCGAGATCAGGGCGAAATGGACCACCAGACTCATTCAAATTTGCTGGATGGCAATCCCTGTGACCTATGTTGGTGTGGTACTGGCGACTTTTCTCGAATGTCAGCCATTCCATCTGTATTGGCAGGTCAAACCGAGTCCGGGAAGATGTATCAGAGCCTATATCCAGCTGCTTCTCCAAGGAATTTCAAACATTGTTCTGGATTTGCTCTTATTGGCGATTTCTTACCCGCTTCTTGCTGCGGTGCGCCAACGAAGCCTTTCGGAGCAGCTCAGAGTCGGGACATTGTGTTGTCTCGGGGTCTTTTGCATCGTTATCACACTGGTCCGCATCGGGTACATTTACGCCGAGCAGTCGTATCAGCCGGTGCGCAGCTTCTTCGCTTCTGTTCAAATAGCTGCTTCCTGCTTCGTGGCCAACGTACCCACGATCTATGGCTGTGTTAGGATGATCAGAAGGCGCAAATCGCACCAAATGCAGAGAAGGGGGAGTCGGCCGGAAGTTTGGCTGCAGCTTCAGGTCACCAATGAGAGTAACACGTCCGCCAATGTTCCAGTCTCTATGCGAGAGACCAGTTCGTCAAACGAATCGGAGAAGAAGTGGTCACGCTTGATCCCGTAACGCCCTTCCACGGATAGCGACAATTACAGTATTTGGATATTCCAACGACCGCGCTAGCTTGTCATGCCTGCTACATATGCCTTCTTTGAAGAAGCATTGCATGCGCCTCTAGCTTGGGAATTCAATCCCAGCCAAACGGAGAACGTTCGCTGAGCAGCTCAAGTGGATGAAATCCGCAAGCATCAGTCGGCCACGAACCCTGACAAGCTCCAACGAGCTAGAAGGCAGCCAAGTGTGCCAAAGACCTGCGGGCACAAGTCCCGCTACGAACCGCTGGATGTGATAGAATGGGATCCTGATAAAAGAAAGAAAAGGAATGTCGGAGAGGTGTCTCCTATGGGTTGTGGAGACGGTGAAGGCAGAAGGCCAGTCCTATTAAGTCCTGACTCCTTTGCCGGATTTTCCTGGCTGGTCGATATGTGAGGGCAACGTCAGCGGATTGTCCAGTGAGGAGTACCCAGCTCCTTTCAGGTCCATATCTCCTGATGTGGATAACGGAACCTTGCTCTAATATTGAGCAGCCTCGTGCGGACCTAAACTGAGCGTCTATCCTCCATCCTCCACCAATCTCGGGTCGCCAGTCTCAGATCCATAAATGCCCAATAGTTTGTCATGGTCGATCTCAGTCCGGCACAGTTACAGACATCATCTACAGGGGCCAGGTAACACCATAGCTGCACTTGGCCACCGTTACGTCTCCTCCCTTCTATTCTGTCCGTCTCTGCACACTATCTTGGTTCTTGCGGCCCGTCACCTGCAAGCAATCTCACAACACTGCCCACCGAGCAGTCGGGGCATGCCTGGCGCCCAGATGTGACAGCAGCTGAGCTTCCAATCCGATTCTGAGTCTGCAACAAGTCTATCTAACATTGTTGGATGGAAAACCCACTTGGATACCTGGTCGAGAAGGGCAGCAATTGCTGTCCTCGAGACAGATACTCACGGGTCGCCGGCGCTGATGCAACATTTCTCTGTCGGACAGCCTTTATGAGACCAAAGCGCCGTGGTGCTCAAAGCTGAGCCTGAGGAAACTGGATGAGTAGATGCCACAGTGCTGAAGATGATGAGGATGGTTCAGACTGGAAGAAGTTTCACGGTAGCGACAAGGCGGAGGGATGGAGACCACATAGGAGCAGCGCAAAGTGTTCTACCCTAATCCTCGAAAAGGACTTGAACGTGATTGAGCGCGGTGGGATTGGGTGAGATGAGAGGCTCCTAAAGTCTTGTACAAAAACGAAGCCAAAGAAAGCCCAGTCGAAGTGAGATAGACATGTTCTGACATTAGAATCAAATGCGACTGCCAGCCGAGCGCTCAGTCCTACACAATACCAGCAGGATTTTTGTGGAAGTGGACCTTCATTTTCAAGTACAGCTCAGGTTCTAGTGTCTACTCTTCAAAGGCGCACGATTGGATGAGAGACACCGAAGGTGAATTATTTGCGTGTTCACAAGAAAACTGTGAGCTAAGAGACGCCGTCCCCAGAGAAGTCATGTTGTGGATTCTCGATCAGCTGCTCCCAGTCGAATTTCTCACAGTCGACGCAGCAGAACGCTTTGTGCAACTCGCCTGTGGTACTCGGTAATAGTATCGACTTTCTTCAGCCAACCTGAGCCATCTCGCTATCAAGCAGACTTGTCCCTGGCACGTGGCGATAAGACGACTATTCCCTTATCGGGAATGCCGCGAAAAAGGGATAGTATTACTCCGTTCTCTCCTTCCTACATGCGCTTTCAGGAGACGAGACACTTGATCACCGTCTTCAATGCCCGCATAATAATCACAGACGCCGTCGCCCCATCAGCCCTTGACAATTGCAGCGCTGAGATCGACCTTGAAAGCAAGCAACATGTTCACCTCGGCCGCCTGGAAGTGTGCTCCTTGTTAAGCTCAACCCACACCCAGAACACGAGCCTTGGTCTTCGACTGCGTAGCTTGCGACAATGGACGGATTGTTCACCCTGCTCAGTCTGAGCATTGTCATGGCCGTGGCCTCCTTTCTTGCAGGAATCCTTCCACTGTCCTTGACCCTCTCACAGCCACAATTACGGTTCATATCAACAATTGGCATGGGCGTCCTTGTGGGTACGTCTTTGGTTGTCATTATCCCTGAAGGTGTCGAGACTCTCTACAGCGCTTCTGAAGTTGGACATGCACATTCACAGCTCAAAAGACATGTCTCTATGCGCGAGATAGACATTCGATGGACTCAGCCTTTTGCAGCAGAGCCGCTTCACGAGATCCTGGCGCGCCACCCGGGGGACAATCCAAATCCTTTCGATGTCCCTGGCCCTGTCATTCCATCGGAACTGGAACCGCCACCACGTACTCCTACAAAGCCTGGCGTGGTCGGTGCATTGGGTGGTGAGAGCAAAGGTGACGAGAAGGCCGAACCAGGGCACGATAACGAGGAGGAGGATGAAGAGGAGGTCCACAAGGAATCTCACCATGCGTGGATTGGAGTTGCCTTGTTGGCAGGATTTATGCTCATGTACCTGATTGATAAAGTGCCGCAGTATAGCCAGCCAGCAAAGCAGAAGGCCAGGACGCATCATATTGCGCTGAACAACTTGGGTCGCAGATTCAACTTCACTACATCTTTGGATCGCAACGATGAAGCAGACTCGTTCATCGACTCGACCGAAGGGCGCCATGTCCACCAGAGGAGCTTTGCAACCACCATAGGCCTGGTCATTCATGCAGCAGCCGATGGGATAGCATTAGGAGCGTCTTCGACCGCAACAACGTCTGGACTGAGCTTTGTGATATTCTTTGCCATCATGATTCACAAGGCTCCGGCAGCCTTTGGGCTGACGTCGGTGCTGGTCAAGCAAGGGCTCTCTAAAAGAGCAGCTAGAGGGCATCTTATCCTCTTTAGTCTGGCTGCGCCTACGGGAGCTATCCTTACATGGTTGCTTGCTCACCTTCTTGGCGGTGGTCGAAACCAGAGCGCACAGACAACCAGGTGGTGGACGGGGATGCTGTTGCTGTTCTCTGCAGGGACTTTCCTCTACGTGGCTATGCATGCAATGCAGGAGAGCTCCGGCTCTCTCCACGAGGGGATGAATGGGCATGCCAACGGCTCCATTGACGGGCGCGAAGGCACCCAAAGTGAGCCCAGGCCGTCTTGGAAGGATCTAGGAGCAGCTTGCTTTGGAATGATTCTCCCATTGTTTTTACAGGTTGGACATGCTCATTGATCAGAGCGCCTTTCTTCTCTAGGGTTTGTGGCCGGCACTCTCGGTTTGTCTTGGGGTCCGAATTCAAGAGCACGGCGAGTGTCCAGGGCGCTGATGAGTTAAAGGCGATGGAAACGACATCATCAATGCATTGTGCTTTATCACTGTGTGTCACCGAGAAGCCACTCCATGAACTAGTCTACTGAACCAAGACCATGAGAAATATATTCCCCTTGGACCTCGGTTAGTTATGATACCGGAAGTTACAGCCAAGTTGATTCTGGGATTTTTGAGGTGTGGCTGTTGAACATGGGGTACCCTAGAGGTGCCACCGGCAGTGGACGTCTAAACCTCGGGAGATCATGTCTGACCTTTGCGGGATGTGTTAATACTTGTCGGCGTATCATCTCTACCTGTCGTGCACTGGTCGGGCATCATTGTGGACGAGTGTCAACTCAACCATGTGTTCGACATCGGAAAGGGCGCCGTTCGTCCACGCTCAACCCAAATAACGCTTGTTTTGAGGGAGACTACCGAGTATATGATATGGTATGCAGCATGGAGTGCGGAATGGGTATTAGTCTAGCACCTCAGTATGTCGTGGTGTGGCCATTTGGACAGGATCTAGACTCGACGATCTCTCGGCGAACAGATGGGAACGGTGGCAGACGGCGGTCAGTGGCCACAGTCGAGACACGACTGGGCAGCCATGGGCATGTTAGGCATGCACTTTTGGTAAAAATGGTCAGAATGGTGCATGGTTCAGGCACCACCAGTGGGCGGACCCCGCCCCGAGAGGCCAATTAGTCCCGGCCGGCACCAGGCTTGAGCAGGCTTGAGCAGGCTAGCAATGAGCGCCTGGGCTACTTCTGCACTCCTTGTTTCCTTTGCTGCGGGTTGCTCTGGTGGCTCCCTCTTGCCAACATTTCAGCCTCTCGTCTCGCTGGGGATGCTCATGGATGCTCCTCCCCTCGGTCTCATGGGTATGTAGTTGACCTTTTCTGTACCTGACCAAACCGACCCTTGGTGCCCTGTCCCCCATATCAACATTAACCATTCATTCCCGAATTCCCCCTCCTGCCCACGACCGTTAAACCCGTCAACCATCCATACCCTTCGATATTAACACTGGTGACACCACCCAACAAGCTTCGTTTTCTACAGCTCCCCAAGCCATACATACCGTAAAGCCACACTGCTTACAAAAACCAAGACCCAACCTCGCACGCTTGCGACCGATCTTGCCGCCACCTCCCTCCCTCTCCCTCGGATCTCCATATCCTCCGGTTCATTCCTCTCCTGGGCTAGGCCTTGCCTCTCATGTCATAAGCGCTTTTCTGCCAACGATACACCTGCAGCTCGAGTCGTCCTCCTCCGTGGCCCTCTACCCTGACGCTGACATGGCATGATCAGGAGAGATTTATAATATAGCCTCGAACAGGAGTTCTCTTGTTGTCTATCTGAAAGCCCTCTCGCTATTTCCTTCACGGTCCTTTCCCAAGGCTTACGACTTCGTGGCCAGAAAGTGCAGGTACGGTCCAGGGGACGTCACCCACCCCGAACCGATTTGCCTAGTATTGAAAGAGATGGAGCTGGATGATGACCGTCGCTCTATGTCTATGGACAGGCCTCTATCGCCGAGACCGTCCAGATCGGTCACGATAGACCCAAATCAACTTGCCAGTCGAGCCGCCTACAGTAACACAAGACCAGAATCCCTGGACCAAGAACATGACTTCCCTTTCACGGCGCCCCACGGCAACATCCCTCAGATAGACCCCCTTCGGTCTGCGAGACCTCCCCGGCATAGTGTGTCGCATGCGCGTCCAAAGCGATTGTCCACCTCGAATAAGTCGGGCATGCCCTTGAGCATATTACCGTCTGCTCCCGCCTCTCCTCCTACACCCGCTCCCTCGCCTACGCCTTATCAACGAGCTCCTAGTTGGACCTCTGCAGGCGAAAATGAAGACTCTTTTCTCCGGGACGCCAGGGGCCATTTTTCCAATCTGAACGCTGCAGAACGAGAGAGATATCTGGCTGAGTTGCTCAACATGTGTGACAGTCACCTGCTTTCCTTTGTTCACAATTTTGTGTCTCCCAGACTGAAGAAAGACCCGTTTGAGCATCTTCCAGACGAGCTCTGCTTAAGGGTATGTATCATGTCTGTTTGCGAGATCTGGATCAACTGACCTAGAAACAGGTATTATCATATATCGATGATCCTCTTAGCCTGGCGCGAGCCTCCCAGGTTTCACACCGATGGCACAAACTCTTGAACGACGATATGCTCTGGAAGATAATGTGCGATAAGCACGCCTGGCGAAGAACGTCGTCCGTGGGCCCGAGTGAGGACTTGGACTCGCCATCCCCCTCTCAAGCGAGCCAAGGCCCTTATGCGTTCAATAGCCGATCTCCCAAACGGAGCCTCGACGGTTCTCTAATCGGCCCTTCAAGCAGTGCACCGAACCTGACGCTACCTAAACAAGATGCCCTGTCGACCAGCCCTCGCGCTAGGAAGCGAGTGTCACAGTCGCATTATTCTCATTTCCGGCATAAATACATGATTGAGGCTGCTTGGAGGAAAGGTGGTGAAAGCGTCATCAAGCATATCACTCCAGATCAAGGAGTGGTCACCAGCCTACATCTGACGGACAAATATATCGTGGTGGCTATGGACAATGCCAAAATTCATGTCTTCAATACCATGGGTGAACATCAGAAAACACTAAAAGGCCACGTCATGGGCGTCTGGGCGATGGTACCTTGGGACGATATTCTAGTATCTGGGGGTTGCGATCGCGATGTGAGGGTATGGGATATGAAGACAGGCAGAAGCATTCACGTATTGAGAGGCCACACTTCGACAGTCAGGTGTCTAAAAATGTCTGATGCCAACACGGCCATTTCCGGTTCCAGAGACACGACATTGCGAATATGGGATCTGCAGTCTGGGGTCTGCAAGAATGTGCTGATAGGTCACCAAGCCAGCGTTCGTTGCTTGGCCATCCATGGCGACCTCGTCATTTCTGGGTCTTACGACACCACGGCTCGAGTTTGGAGCATATCTGAAGGCCGCTGTCTTCGAACACTTACAGGTCATTTCAGCCAAATTTACGCTATCGCTTTTGATGGTAACCGCTGCGCCACTGGCTCGCTTGATACGAGCGTGAGGATATGGGATCCGAAGACCGGTATGTGCACCGCCATTTTGCAGGGCCACACCTCCCTGGTTGGGCAGCTGCAGCTTCGCGGTGACACTCTTGTTACAGGTAAAATCTTCAACTTTGACCCTGCTAAATCATGCTGAGACCAGTTCACTAATCGCAACACAGGTGGCTCCGATGGATCCGTTCGTGTTTGGTCGTTAAAAACTAACTCGCCTATCCATCGTCTGGCTGCACATGATAATAGTGTTACGAGTTTGCAGTTTGATGACAACCGAATTTTGAGCGGTGGCAGCGACGGACGTGTGAAGGTCTGGAGTGTCGAAACTGGTCAACTTGTTCGCGAGCTTAGTCAACCCGCTGAGGCTGTATGGAGAGTGGCTTTCGAAGAGGAAAAGGCCGTCATAATGGCGAGCCGATCAAACCGGACTGTCATGGAGGTATGCGTCAAGAGCGTTTCCAGATCGTTCACGCTGCTAATCTTCTTTGCAGGTGTGGTCTTTTTCACCGCCAGACGACCCAGTGGATCGACGGTCCGAGAGCCCTCTGAGCATGCCTGAGCAAGTACCACCAGCCGATGATGAAGACGAGCCGACTCAGTTTCACCAAGAAATCGGTGATGTTGACGCGACCATGAGCGACGTTTAGGGATCGACCGCCAACCGGAGACGCAATGCCACATCGAACGAACCGAGGCGTTCGGCACGAAACATGAGACGAACGGCCCTAGAACGAACAATGGGACGAACGACTCTAGACGACAGAGGATGACATCAACCACGAAAAGAAAACCTCAGCGGATATCCTGTGCTCGAACGAAACCGTGTGAAGGAGTAGCAGGACCTTACCAACATCCTGTTGCCGGTCATGTCTCAAATTTGGCATCCCAGAAATATGGACAGAATAAACCTAATCCAATGATCGAGAACCCGTGCTGACGATACTCTGTGGGAGTCGTGTTTGGAAGTTTGATATTTGCACATCGATATGGCAGTATGGAGATTCCCCCTGGAATGGTCTTTTTTCTCCAGAGCATAGCGATTGGTGCAGGAAAGCCCAAGTAATAACCGGCATGAATCTATCTTTATGGATATTACTCATATTGATGTTGAACGAGAAGAGCATTGGTACGCTGGTATGCTTAAAATCGGAAACAGGGTTTCTAAGCAGCATGGGTCTCGAGCGCCCAAATCGCATTAAATGGCAAAGTTGAAATGATATACATTTACTCAGACCCCATGAGTTCTGAGCACATTCAACACTATAGGTTCACGATGTCCCGTTCTTTCTCCTTGGTTCGCAGTCAATGCAGAGGTCCGCGCGAAGACTACCTCGACCAAGAGCCAATCTCTAGTGAAACGGCCAGAAAGGGAAACTACGTAGGTGGATGACAGGAAATCAAAGTTACAGGAGGCCAGCGGGCACTCGTGCCCACGTTGGTGAAAAATGTCGAATGGTGCAGGTATATGACTATGTATGTTGACGGGGACCCATCAAGCCGCGTCTATTGCCCGCATCTATGCAGTGTGTATGTAACCAGGAACTTGTATCGTGAATAGTTAACTACTCCTTGCCTGGTTTACCCTTGTTCCCGGGGTAGAGAATCCCGAGAACCGAAAAGAAAAGTAGCTTCGAAGTCCTGTGTAGATCTATCGAGTATGGACTTGCCTTTTTTTTCGCCCCAAACGCAATGGAAACAATAATGAAAATGAAACGACAAAGGGAGAGAAGAGAAAAAGAGGTCCATGTCTGCCTACCTCCCTGCTCCCTGCTCCACGCCACGTTGAGCCGCGGCAACGGGGATAGGTGGGGGTTCAGGCGAAGAGGTGGACGGGTGTTTGGACCCTTCTGCTTTGCTCCGCTCGCCTCTGCGCTGCTTTGCACTGTTGGCGCCCGGAGACCCTCGAGTATAACGCACCCAATCTTCACGGATCCGAATCGTACGCATGCTGCTCCGTACTGTAATAACCCCCTGTCAGAGCAGCAGCCTTATTTTCCCGCCGCTCTGCCGCAAGTTGGTTGATATCTGGGTATTTTTCTCGGGTCGGGAGAGTGCACAGGAAGAAGTCGAATGTGCATGAGGGAAGATCGCGCAGGATAGCCATGTCGAGAACGGGATGCGTCTTGATCTATGGCCGGTAGATGATGATCTGATCTGATCTGATTTTGTGGAAGGGTGTGTTTGTTGCCAAACCCACATATAGAGGATTCGGGGATTGGCTCGTTCAGGGTAGGTAGGTTAGTAAGTGAAACAAACTCTCCTCAAGAGAGGTAGATGTATGCTCGGAGGCAGGAAATGTCGGTACGTGATCGTATCGTTCCGTAGAATGCTCAGATTCGTCTTTTCATTGGTGAAACTGCTCGGGGGCAGGCGTAACGCTCAAGATCTTTGAGCCGAAGCTAATAGCGTGGTTTTCTTTCCTAGATCCTTGGATGGAGTCCTGGGAAACTTCCACGCAGATGACGATCTAGTGACCACCAGTTGTCGGGAGACCGAGCCAGACCTTGAAGGAATCATAGCTGTACCACGGTTAGCATGTCCCTTTTGATCAATTTGTTCTCACGGTTCCGAGGGGGTTTCGGAGTAGGACGAGATCAGGACATACATCAGCCATTGGAATCCCGTCAATGTACCGATCATGACGATTCTGACTGGTAGACCGTTCCACAGACCCGTGAATCCGATGTTGCCGTAGATTCGACTCATGGCTTTTCCTGCGGATTCGCCAGCTAAAAACGAGTGAGCCAATATCCAGGTTACGACTGGGAGCTGGCAGGACATACCTTGGCGGTCAGAGTTCAACTTGCTGACCATGACATCGGCAGGATGGCTGACAATGGCGCAAGCAATACCGGCAATATAACCAGCCAGAAAACTCACACCGGTCTGCTGCAGACTGTTGTAGCTCTCCTTGGGCTTGCCGAGTTGTCGATAGATGAGCTTGACAGTCTCTTCAAAGGTTGCGAACTTGCACATCGTGTACGGGATTTGACGGCCCCAGAGAGGGTAAAGACCCTTGTACAGCCCAGCAATGCCCTCCTTGTCGACGATCTTGGTCCATCCCTCACGCAAGTTGTCCGCGTATGGAGGCAGTGTCGTCTGCATGCGGACTTTGATGGCTTCCCATGGACACAGGAGCACGTCTGCAATGAACTCCGCCGTGGCGCTGGCGCCCAAGTAAACCAGCGTGCGGTTGCTGTTGGGGAACATGTTGTCGCCATACTGGTGCTTGAAGACTTCGTAGAAGCCATATTTTCCGAGGCCTTGGAAGGAGTAGCCGACGAACGTCGGGGTCCAGCCGAAGAACACACCACGCACGCCTTCTTTTGCATAGATGGAACTCCAACCTTGAAGGTTTGATTTATAGATCTTGGGGTCGACTTGACGGCGGGTTTTGACGAGATCGAGAGGCGTGACAAGGGTATGTGTAGGACCACATGCTACAACACCACCCAGCATGCATGCAGCGAAGTATTTAGTCTGGTGAAGGCATTGTTAGTTTCTATTCCATCCTAATGTACGCAAAAGGAAGACGAGGTTTGGAAAGGCCGGCGGTCTCGGAAATTGGGACGTGAGGTTCTGGGACCACCGGCAACCACAATGTTTTGAGCTCCACGGATATTTCAGGTTTCGAATCAAAGCCCTGGTAAAAGCTATTCGAGTGTGCGTACGTACCGAATACGGCTCAATCTTTCCCAGTGGGTATTTTTTGAGCACCTCGGCAGAGGGTGGCTTGAGGGTGGTTTGCGTTGCCATGCTGGTCACTTCAACAGGTTTTCTGTGGGCAAAGACAGGAGACTGAGGCAGGCAATCCTTCAACTATAGACAATGGTCTCGTTCAGACGGCCGCTGCTCTTGCTCCAACCGAGTTCCCCGTTCTACCACGGAGCACGTGCGCCGGAGTCAGTGATAGGACAAAGTAAGATTTCAACACGAGATTAGAAGGTAACAAGAGAAAAGAAGTGGATGATGAGAGGGGATTAGAGCCTTGTCGCGCGACGAGTTTCTGTACGTTGCCAGTCAATGCAGAAAGGAAAAAGTTGCAAGTGGGAAAAGGGCAAAGAGCATAAGGGCCTTAAGAAGCTGCCCATGTGCAAATGAGGAAAGCAAGCTCTCCAGATATGGCTCATGGTAGCCGCGCCTGCCGCAGCTGCCGTGATAGCTGCCCTTGCTGCGCAGATCCGGGAGCTCGAAGAATGCGAGATCTCCAGGAGCTTGATGCGAATGGTGCATGAGGGCTGCGGCGTACATCATCACCGCTGATGCCGCCATGGCGCCCAGGCCAATCCAGTCCGAATCGGGTTCGTCACAGCCGGGAAATCCGGACGTGGGCCAGTGACATCATGCCGATCAAAAGCTTAACTGGAGCTAGCGGATGCTTATTCATCCAGTTTTGCCAGTTTTAACATCTCACTCAGCCAACCAGCAGCCTGCACATTATTCCTCTTTGAGGATAGACTCGACCATACCTTTTGCCTGGTCTGTCGGGTGTCCCGTATGGGCATACACCTAGAGAGATATATAAAATGAAGTACTGCAGCCCTTCCCACAGATCCATATCTATGAGGGCAGTCCCATTCCAAAATGGTGCGACGGCCCAAGGACGCCACTATTGCTCTCGGGCGGGAATAGTTGATCCCATTCGGCCTGCAGAAGAAACCTCTTATGTCAGCGCTGCAATCACACATGTCAAGCCACGAACAGATCGGGCACTCACCCAGTCAATGTCAAGCATGACGGAATCATTTCGGGTATTATTCTGGAATTGGGGGATGTTGATCTGATCACTTGGAAAGCCCGAGTTAATACCAAAGGGGCTGCCACCCGCGGATGAGGGCTGCCTTGGTACAACCCCAGGGAGTGCTTGAATGGCTTGGGGAGGCGGCGAAGCCTGTGGACCCGGTCCCACCACCGTTCGCCAGCTCACTTGATCTGTCGTGATCAGTGGCGGCCAGGACTCGTTGGTCCCCGAGTCGCTGGGACTGTTAAAGTCAATCTGCTGACCTGGCGAAGACTGATTTGCGTCTGCGCGGGCGGGCGGTGTTTGCTGCGGCGGCGGTTGTGATTTTGATTGTGACAGTGACTGTGATAGCAGCGGCGAGTGTTGCCGTGCAGACGGAGGTGATGAAAACTGTGACGCTACGAAGTGCGTGAGATGGGCCGCATCTCCGGATGGCAGGTATTTCGCGTCAATATACATGGTTGCCGGGGTATCAAAGCTCCAGGGCTGGTCGACCGAGAACCTCATGTCTCCTCTGGCCGCATTCGGTGGTGACGTAGTCCTGATGGCCGATGGGTGCAGCGAGCTGGATGCATCGATTTGGCCTTTCTCCTGCGTTGGTTCAGAGCCCTTCCGGTGAACTTTGTCCAGACCATCCTTCATGCTAACAGGGATCCGAATCCTGCGCAGGTCTCGATAAATCGCCGTTCGATCCCTGACTGCCGCAATAATCGCCCTGGCTCGTTGGGTCCGTGACAGAGAGAGATCTGGCTCAAACACAAAGTCGATCACATTCCATATTCGCTCAGCGTCCCGAAGTGTCGGCTCTTGATAGATGACTGATAGCAGCAAAAAGGCAATGTGCCACTGCTGGTAGGCTCCGTTATACCATTTCCATCTCCTTAGTTCGGGTATTCGTTCCATTGCAACTGCATTCTCCATGGCCAGCAAACCGCTGTGGATAGTGAGATTTGCAAGCCTCTCGGGCACTTTATTGCTGGAATTGTTCAAGTACCGATGCAACACCATGACGTACATGCGCTGAACCATAAGATTCATGAGTAATTGTGCGTATTTCTGAATGGGCACTTCGATATCCAAGATTGGACTGTATTTGGCTTCCATGGCTTTGCGAAAAGATTCCACTTTGCTCAGGACATGCGTCAATGAGGCCCTCTTCTTCTCGATACGAATGCGATCGTACCAGATAACTCGTTGCATTTCTGTGCATTCAAAGTGGATCCGTGACATGGTCATATCTGTCCACTTAGTCTTCGCCTCCTGAGGCTTCGCCAAGAGGAGATCGGCATCCTTGATGTTGAGCGGGAATTTCGTATCATAATCCTCACGCTTAATGCCCGGTCGCGGCCCTTGAGACTCGCAGGTGCGGAAATCCAGAAAGCAAAGTTGAAACCATACGATGCGGCGGACGTGACACTCGACAGGGGATAGGCCATACACTGCCTCCGGGTCGCGATGGAGGCCCATACATTCCGCTAGGCGAACCGCCATACCGACTATCACTGAGTGAGCTCGCGAGATCTGGTCTCGACACATAGGGATCAGGTAGACCACGAGAGCCTGTAATGTTTCGATTTTAGTCGCCCTCAGAATTTGTGCTTTACTCAGGGCCACTTCAGTGCCCGTCTGGAAATTGGCGAGTATAGTGCTTTTGGGTCTCGCGAAAGTAGCCGTGACATCTGATTCCGGCATACTTGCCACTGCTGAGAACAGGACCGAGAGGACAATGGATTGTTGCCAGGCAGGAGGTTCAAGACCAGCGAGAACAGAAGTCCAAAAATCATCATACTGTAGCTGAAAGCTTGGCCAATGAACCACACGGGCAATAAAGTGGACATTCTCAAAGTAGTTGCGTACCAAAATGTCGGCCGCCGATTTTGCCGGCAAGAAGTTGATAAGGGACCTCTTGCTGCCGACGTCTCCAAACAAGAACCCAGAGCCAGGGGCAATGTACGAAGGTCCGGGGGCCAGGAAGTCACTGTGGTGATCTGGGAGTTGCGGCATTGCTGAGAGTTTCTCGTCGGGGGTGCGACGATCATTGATGGGTTCTGAGAGTGTGATGTCCATCTGAAGAGTTTGTTAATCTCAGCGGACTAAACCTTCATTGTCGGGACCTACCTCTTCGTGGAGTCTGGGTCGGAAAAAGCCACCGAGTCGCTCCGTCAAACTTGACGCGGGTCAGTCCATCCAATTTCTCGAGAATCAGGCAGTGGGTGGAAATTTACCGCATTTTGCCAATCTTAATCCCCAGGTCTAGGACATCATCATTCGCATCGTCCTCGTAAGAAGCATCAATGACCGCCAATGGGGTCGGCTCAAGACCTTTCTCGTCTTCCGGGACGGCAGCTTCGTTGTCAGAGCTGCTGTCCTCTCCTCCAGGAAGGTCAGCTGATGTTCTCCGTTGCGATTTCTGGGGCGAAGCTGTGGCGGCCCTTCCTTCCTTGCGTGCGACGTCCTGCTCAAGCACTCGTTCAAGAGACCCCATTTTCTCCTTGATCTCATTGAGACGTTGCTGTGACACTGAATCTAGAGCCGGAGCTAGGAAGAGACAGTCACGCGAGAATTTGCTGCAATTAGTGCAAGGATGAAGCTTATCGCACTTGAGCTTTCTCCGGCGACATTCTAGACACGATGTAATCATGCGATTGCGTCGGCGCACCCTATTCTGCGTCGTGGACTTTTGCTTTTCGTCGGTCGCACCGCGGCTCTCGGACGAGGGCGAATTGGAACCGTCCATGTCGCCCAGTGTTTATAGTTGAAGGCGGGAAAGGGGTCGGCGGAATCGTCGCAAAGATATATAAAATGTCCTGATTCCCCGAGATCTGCCAAGGGATAGGCGGGGTAAGACGGAGGATAGCTCACACAGAGGGTGATCTTTCTCGCGCTCGTTTTGAAGTCTAGATTCGAAGAGCCAGTGGCGCTGATGGAAGGGCACTCTGAGAGAGAGGTGGCTGTATGGATGATGAGGCGGATTGTGACGACTTTCAATTCGCAAAGCGTAAGATGTCGGGAGAAGGTCGATGGGTTTGACAAGACTGGAGAGTCACGGCGTGGCACGTGCAACTGGTCTTTAGTCTTTGCTCAGCAGACACGACGCCGCGCGGAATTCATCCCTTTCTCGTACAATCAAAATCACCATCGAACCAGTCCTCGCTTCTCACCGACATCAAGCGTCGTATACGCGGCAATGCTGACTCGCCCCTAACCAGCCGTTGACTACCTTGACGCTCTTCTGTGTTGTGGGCACCCAAGGCATCCAAGGCACAGAAGGGCTGACTCAGCGACATCGCTGGGTCGGAAACGCTCAAGAGACGAATCACTGCCCCGGCCTTGTCCGGCTAAAGCTTTGCCGAGAAACATCAGGTCGGTGGAATGATATCAATACGCATTGGCGAGCCCTCTGGACTTGGCCGAATGCAGGAGCGCGCAACTTTGGGGGATGACAAGGACTAGGGACCTGGGTAAGCGAACTGGATATAGCACAAGGCAGAGACGCTGTTGCAGTTCCAGGTCTTATTTCACCAGCCGACTTGTCAACTCACGTTTTGCGACACCCTCAGAGGATGACAGTCGCTTGGCCCCAGGCCATGCAAAAGGTAAGCAAGCCCAGCGGAAACCGCCCGGTTTGAATGTTATTTTCAACCTGGATTTGATTTTCCCCATGCCCATATTCGCGAAAACTTTGCTACGCTTGGAGTTACGAGGCAAACCGACAAATAAAAGTCATACTTCCTAGCCTTGCCCATCCCAACAAGGCGGTGTTGGTTGCTCCGAGTATCGACTGTATTTTTACATAGCTACTTGACACCGACATGGCAATTGCGACGGAAATCGCGCAGTTCCATCTCATTCCTGGGCATGACCCCAGGGAACCTGACTCGTCGGCTGCCCAGTTCTTACAGAGGGTCTTCGACATAGTAAAGCAACGGGAAGGGTTTATTCGTGGCTATTGGGTAAGTTCAGTTCTTGGACCGCGACCAATTCCTTGACACCAGGAAGGGCGTCCAGGATGAAAATCCAAGAATCCTTGTCGTGTTTGTTGGTAAGGCTCAGAAATCAAATTTCCGCTTCGATGGGGCCATTCTCTGCGCACAGGAGCTGACGTCTGATAGATTGGGAAGATATCAGACATCACCAAAACCTGATCAACAGCGACGACTTTGGCGCCATGACCGAAAACCTGGTCAATCTAGTGACCTTTGAGAACGGACCGCCTCTTGTTAGTGAGTAAAGTCAATGACCTTACGTTGACGCAGCCTACTAGGGGACTAAACGAGTGATCAGCACACACGAACTTTACCTCCGACGCGGTGAGTGCTTGTCAAGCATCCGTCACTGCGGTGAAAACATTCAAGTTACCAGAGGGTGCGAGCAAAGAGCAGCAATCAGCATTGGAAGATTCGTTACTTAGCTTCGCGGGATTCTGTACGACGGAGACTCCATGTTGTGGATATGCTTGCGGTTGGGGTAAGGATTGTGCTTAACAGTACGGAGTAGCTGCCGTGTGACTGACTCGAGCACCAGTCCTCGAGACACTTCCAGACGAACACGCCCCGGAGGGCAAGACGCTTGCCTTCACTGGCATCTTCGGCTGGCCAGCGAAGGAAGACTTTGTGAGTTTGAGGGGAAACCCTGCAGCTGCGGAAGCGATAGAGCCGGTTCTAGGAATCGCTCTCCCTCGGAAACAGGGAGACTCCTTCCACGTCAGCTTGCGAAGTTTTGGGTGATCATGGGTACTATGTACGAGAGAAATACTCACAGGTTCCCCACCTTCAATTCTTTACCACATCCACAGCTGCATGCTCTATTACTCGGTACATAGGTAGTCGCAGTGGACATGATTGCCGAGGATGGATCCCTCCGCTACCCGCAAGCCGATCTCAATTGCGACAGCTCGCCAAAGTGGCGCGTTGCTTCAAGACAACCGACCATTAGGCGAGATCTGGGGAAATTGGTCGACCCGTACTCAGCCAATCATGGAGCGGATGTTGCAGCAAAGTTTAGCTTCAACATGGTTCATCTGATGGTCGCCAGCCTTAGTTCAACGCCACTCGAAGCCTTTCCTTCAGAACTGTCAACAAACACTTACCAAGTAGCTGTCTTCCAAAGCAGAGATGCCCGACGATTATTGCCCCAGCGACCGAGCAGTGCGAAGTCCTCCTTCCCATCGAGACCATTTAGTGGCGATATCAGCCCTCCACATTGCAAGCTGCACACGAGCACGAGCTGAAAGTCTCCAATCTAGAAGCAGCGCTAGTTGCTCGTCCTCGCTTCTTCGGCCGTTCAAACAAGTTTGCGCGTACTCATATGGTTGCCCGTCATCCAGGAAAACTCACAGTAGCTCCAGAGGGGAATGTGTGGCAAGCTCATCCACCCGAATGGCCAAGTCAAAGTCTGGCGACGTTGATGAAGGAATACTTGCAAGGTGTGTTTGAAAACTCTGACCTGGCGCTTTTCCGGCTCCATCCGTCACTCCGGCCCTATTGTCATCTCTTCTTTGCTTAAACAAAGCTCTTGGGCTGCTTGTTGTCCACGCCAGGACGAGCATAGACCTCAGATCTCGAGGAGGTGCCAGGGACCGTTGCTGCTTACTGTTTGACTGTGTCCCTAACCAATCAGTTCGTTCATGACGACCTGAGGAATCGGGGACTCTAGCTACGGCGCAATTGCTGCATTGTCTTGTGTTGGTTTAGGTTGTTTGGGATTAAAGTTTGAGGGCGAGGTCCATCATGAACACCCTGGCAGTGTTGTCCCCCACTAACTAGGTAGGCTTGTTGCTGGCCCAAGTGCATACGATGTGAAGCGGACTTCGGATGTCGTCACACTTGTTTACGGAGATATCGAAGCCCCTTCTCTCATGTTATATGGACGCTGCTGCTTCTGCTACTGGGACATGGGTTCCTATTCTTGTGTCTATCGGAACAAGCCTCTAAGTCTTCACCTATCCCACTGCTCTCCTTTCAATATGAAGTCCTTGGATCTGTCTCCGTCTCTGTGGGCACTCACGTTGCTGCCGAGCCTCTCACATGCCTACTGGCGTATGGCATGCAGTGTTTCTCAGACTGCACGAATCGACCTCATACTCAACCCAGGCGCCGTGTCTGGACACGTACACAAGTTCGCAGGCGGCAGCAGTCAGTCACACCAACTCCAGGATTCGATCCTCTTGCTGATTTCTTAGATGTCAACCAAAATTCCGACTTCAATTCCCTACAATCCTCAAACTGTTCGTCGTGCGAAGTTCAAAAGGACAAATCGGCCTACTGGACCCCCCAACTGTACTATGCCCACGCAAACGGCTCGTTCGAAGAAGTACCAAACTACGGAATGACGGTGTATTACGTCGGTATGTGACAGTGGTTTTTGCCTCGTTCCATGGCTGACTGTTCAATGAGGCCGCGGGGGAGATCCTTCCAACACGGTACCATTTCCGCCTGGATTCAAGATGATCACGGGGGACAGCCGACTGCGATCTTACGACAACACGACCTTGACTTATTTGAATACCAGGCCTGTGGCCGATAGGTGTGTCTTTCCCCCGACGACTGCACAGACTCAACTGCTAATCTCTTTGCTAGGGTAAGTTTCCATTGCATAGACGAGGCTAACGATATTCCAGAACAACACTACATGTTTCGTACCGACTGTGTCAATGGCATGCGAGCTCAGGTCAACTTTCAGTCCTGCTGGGATGGAGTGAACCTTTATCTTGACAACAGCGCCCACGTCGATTATTTGTCGGGCATCGACTACGGCGAATGCCCCCCTTCGCATCCGGTCCCCATTCCTGGCCTGTTCTTTGAGTGAGCATTCTCCCTTTACTTGAAGCGAGCACAAGCTTACTTCAACCAGAGTCCTTTACTGGACAAACTCAATCAATCAATCAGCCGGTGGCCAGTTTGTCTTCTCCAACGGTGATACTACTGGCTATGGCTTCCACGGCGATTTCCTCAACGGTTGGGACATGGACGTACAAACTGGTGCTGTTCAAGACTGCCTCTACACAGACAACGGCGGGGTGGTGAGCGCATGCTCTTACCTCTCTCCAAGTGACGATATCAATTTTCCACGCGATTGCCTAGAACGGCCATCTGTCTTTGACGAGCCTGTGCACGGCATGCTTGATGCTTTGCCGGGTTGCAATCCTATTACGAGTGGGCCTGATATGGCCCCACAGGTCGTGTGTCCTCTCAACTCTCATACACTCAACGCAGCTATCCAAACGTCAATCTCCAGCGCCACATCTACACAGGCTACCCCTTCTTCGGATATTGCGGCGATCATCACAGTAACTGATTCCAGCCTGTCAGCCACAACCGATGCATTCACTACTTCGAGCTCAGCTACAATCACATCGACGACTCCGAGTGCGTCCTCTACCGCTACAGAGTCATCATCCTTTGACCCGCCTCTACGGCCACTTACCGTGACACTGTCCGACGAGTTGACTCCAACCATTGAACCTGGAAGCAGTACCTTCAGCGCCCCGTTTAGTCCTGAAAATACATTCGTGTTCACAGACTCGAGCAGCGTGGTTCAGTCAACCTTTTCGGCAGGCTTCTTCGCCACCCAAACGGATGGGGGCATATTGGTACCTATATCAACGAGTACTAGCAACTCAGTATCGATGGCTTCGAGCGATTCTATCTCGGCTGGTCCCTCCGTGACGGAAACGCCGTTATTGGCCATCCTCACCCCTACCGTTTCTGTTGATGCAGTGCCAGGAAGTGGGCTATTGACGAACACCATTACCGGGTGGATTACCTCGATATTGAGAGGTCCCATCGTTCTTCCAGCAAGTTTCGTCGCTATAGGCACCACCCCAGGTGCCACATCCGCACCTGCTGCCACAGCATCAAGCACAGAGACAACGTCAGCGTCATCTGAAAACACTTCGTCTTCACCCGAAACTGCAGTCGTGACCGGAACCGAGCCCCAGTTCTCTCCGACCACTACTTTCACCACAATCGCGACTACCGCTCCTACGAATATAAGCGGTAGCAGCAGCATCATTGTCTCTTCAACCCTCGATCCCAGCGACGCTTTCCTTTGTTCTCTTTACGCAGCTTTCACGATTGAGGGATGTCCGCCTCCTGCAACTACTTCATCAACCACGATTTCCACTCCAGCAACCACCTCGGCGCCAGCTACAACACCTTTTAGAATTCGAGGACGCGAAGTGTTCTTGACAGGAAGATAGGGAGACCCTTGTTAGCAGGAAAGTATTACGTGAACATGGACACTAATTAGCGACACAGATCGAGTATACTGATATCTAGGGACGCATCATCACCAGCACAAATTAGCCAGGAGTACGGTGCTACGGTACAATGAGAGATACCCGGAGGGCAAAATTTTTGATCTTGGGCGTGTACAGTTCCGGCCGGAATATTATTGAGGGTTTATCAGGAAGACTACACCGTGACGCCAGACACTTTTGCGACGGAATGGATTGGAAGGAAAAGCAATCTAAGCAGTTAAACATGAGCATTGTCAGAAGCAAATGCAAGGTGCCATCAGTTTCAACACGTCTTGTAGGAGTAATTTGGAGACTTCTAGGTTCCTTCCGAGAGTGCCCCTATCAATAAGTTGCTGAGCCTTGGGAGCTCCAGTGGGCTACACCTACGGCGCAGCACACGATTCCTAGTGGCAGTAATTCTTTCCCTCGTTCGGTCGTCAAGCCTCGTAGCAGCTCCAATCGATGTTCAGACATAATCTTGCGAACACCGCTTCTCCCATGCCGCGTGTTGCAGTATCTTTCATATCGCCCCGATGTTATGACTAAAGGTCTCTCTGCAGCCAGCTGCATTTCACATCAAGGTCCAAGATTTGTGTGGATACCAGACGCTCTGTTGACGGACACATTCAATCGCTTTTGTCACCACAAGCGGTATGGCAGCAGCGTGCCAGGTCCCTTGGAGGCACAACGGCGTGCTGCGAAACGCAAGAACACGAGTTTGGCGCATGCCAGTCTTGGAGGCATCTCCGCCGATCCCTCAATAGTCCTCGGGAGCTCTGCGAACAAGCTAGCTTGGTGGCAGTCTCTCAAGGACGCAGAAGCAGACTCAGGTATGCGCCACATAGAGATAAACGCTGCAGAAGGCTCCTGCTCACCGCGTCAGCTGCAGCTTCTTCTCGAGTCCTGCCGGCATGGCTTTTCCCCTTTGCGAGCTCAGTCGCCGACTCGAAGCCCACCTCCAGCACAATCGAGACAGATAGGACCCAGTTAGAGCCGAGAAAGATATCTGAACAGGAAGCGATGCAGCTGTGCCGATGCGAAACTCTAACCGAGATAAAAGACTGGATTCAAGAAGAGGGCTTCGACCTGCGTGAAAATGCTCATGTCGGGGCGGCAATAGCAAGACATATGTTACAAACGGATTTCGAGACACACGAAATCGCGTCGTACATTCGCGACCCAATGTTTCATCCGCCAGGGACGTCATTTATCTTGCAATTAGCACACGGCTTACTCGGCCGTCCTTGGGACGCCGCCTCCTGGGGCGTCTTGCATGATGCACTTTGTTCCGCTACTGAACTTGGGCTCCTCAACGTCAATGATCTCAAAGAAGTCATTACCGAATTGGTTAATCTGGCTGAAGTGCAGCTGACGGACGCCAACGGGAGGCGAAAGAGGGTGAAGGATAATGCCCAAATGTACCTGATCTACGGGATGCTGGAATCTCTGGATCGCTCCACAGTCTTGCGACTCACCGATCTTGGGAGCTCCTTTCTGTCCGGACTCTTCTCAAATTTCGCGACACTTCGATACTACCGCGGCTGGTGCCGAAAACTATTGTGGCGTCTCCTGCCTTGGGCTCCGAAGTCTCATGTTGCTGTCATCCGCCGGATCACACTAAATCAGCTCCAGCATATCTGTCGACACAATCCTCACGAGAAAGTCGGTCAAATGCTCGCAGAAAGGCTCGCAGTGGTCGACCCGGAAATTCTACAAGTGGTCCTGATTGATATAACGGAGAAATTGCTGAGCATGTCAATGGAATCCGGCACAATGCTGTACAAGTACCTCTGGTACCACTGGTGTGGCACATTGGCCGTGCTGGGATCTCCAGCTTTCGATCTCAGTCTGACACAGCGAGCATGGGCTTCTGCGCAATCCGCCAAAAGCTCTCTACCACAAGATCAACGTTTGTTGACATTTGCCTGGACTGCTATGCATCTATGTCAAGACTTGCGAACGTCCGTAGACGCACTGGATCGACTACAATTCCTTGATCACTTCGAACGACTGCTCAGGTCAATACCGGAGTTTACTGAAGATTTCCTGGATCATGCCATTTTTGCGCTTGGAGATATGGCTTTGCCGAACAAACATATTCTCCGTCGAAATCTCGCGAGGCTTTCCGTCAAAGCTGACGCACTGCTTCCTGCATTGGACGCCAAATCTGCTGCCAAGTCAATATTGGAGCCGGGAATATCTCCTAGCTTGATCGATGAGCGCACTCAGAACGCCCATTTTGAGGGCAACGAGGCGTTAGGGGAGCTGATAGAGAGTTCGAACAACGATCTCTCCGCGTTCAAGATTTTGTCACGGAGGATGATCCAGAAAAGTACGACTTCATTCGGCTTTGTTTGCCATCTTTTAGAGACCAACCCACTTTTCAAGTTGGCTTTGAGAACACCTCATGTTTTCTCTCAACCGCCGGGCGATGTTGACAAGCGGACGTGGCGAGTGGGCACCGGTATATTTGCTGACCTCAGCACTCCTGGTGGTGAGATTGAGACTGCTGTGTCTTCTGGACCGGAAGGTGCGCTGAGCAACTCGAGCTTGCCAAGCAGAGACGAAGTAATCGATCTGATCAGTCATCTCGCACTCTCATTTGCATCATCGACTGTTGCCACTCCTCGCGCTGCACTTCGCAGAGTTTACTGGTGCTATCTCTTCCTACGCCGCTATGGAGCACCTGTCCCACCCGCCATTACTCGAGCGCTATGGCATGCCGGCGTCACACGTTACGGTGATCAAGGTACATCTGCGACACTTTTCAAGTGGATTTTGTTGCAAGTGAGCCGGGCAGAAGGCGAAGCTGTGGCAAGCCTATTGCTGTGGAATGAGACATTTCGTCAGATGCGGCAAGAGCAGATAGCCGCTTGGACTAAAATCGACGAAGATGAGGAAAAGAGATTGCTTGCCGATTTAGAAGCGGGTGCCGCAAACAACAAAGAGGACGAGGAGAAGCAGGCAGCGTTTATGTCAGCCGCGTCGGGGTCTTCAGACAACGACCTTTTCAACGGCGGGGAAACTACAGACCCAGAATTGCTGAAGAAAATCATGTTCCTCAAGTCCGAGCCGCCAGACAAGTCGATTTGGTTGCCCAGAGCACAAAGGAAACCCAATTCTCAGGGATGCTCGACGACAGAGGAGGAGAAGCAGCAGCAGCAGGAGATGTTACAGCGCAAGGCGGCGGAAGCACGCAAAGTAGCGAATTTGTTGTTTCGAGATTGATACGGGACATGCAGGAACTATAGGATGGGCGACACGACAAATGCTGTAGAGCTGACGATTACATATAAGCACAAATGATATCAAATTATGAAAAGATACGGTCAAAGCGCACCCTCTCCCGCAGGTAGCTTCTTCCTGGTCCCCTCCCCCCCTTTTTTTTTCTTCTGAGTGGTTTTTCGTGCGCGAAGTAAGAGATTACCCAATCCTCTTCCCCAGAGATCCTATGCTGTGTGCGAGGCTCAAGCCTTGTTATGGAGTCGTCATGTATGGTGCACGCTTCATGGGCAGAGGAAACCCAAACCGGCTTGCAGCAGTATTAGGCACGTATTCGTGTCACTGTAGGAAAGGAAGGAAGAGCACGCGGCGCGATGACCCCTGGCCACCTGGAACGGACGGACTGATGGCGCCTTCATACACGGCGCACCTATGTACGTGGGTAGATAGCTACGGTACATCATACTGTTCTGTCTCGGAAGTCCCGTTCAAACCCCTAAAAACCCCGACAGCAAAAAGATCGCGGAGATATCAATCACCTGTCATCCGAAGGAAGGCGGCAATGGCAACGACAATGTCCCTGAATCGTGCATCAATAGCATGATTGACTGACAAGTTCAAAAGCAGGATGCAGAAGCAGTCAGTCAAACTCGCGTGGTACGGCGACTGGACATGCGCATGGGACAGTGCTGTGAGAATGCTACACAACGATCCGATACGTTCGGTGAACTTGGCCGTTTTCCAACTTTGCAAGATAGCATAAGCAAGGAAAGTGACCGGATAGGCGCAATGCTTGCTCCCACCTACCTTGGAAGGCAGGGGCCTGCCCGCGTGGCCACTTAAATCCAGTTTCCTTTTTTTTGGATCTCAGAGAACAGGCGGATCATACTACCTTGCTGCGAGTGGCTACCTCTGCGCCCAAACACGATGGTCATGCCTCGACCCTGGCAAGAGGTACGAACCGCGATCCTGGCCTGTGCTTGTTGACATTGATTTGTGGCGCAACTTTGCGTTGCACAGCATTCCTCGCGATTGGTGGGACCAAAAAAATGACACGTTCTCTGCATGTGACGGAGATCGCCAAGTGTTAAGCCTCACTTTTTGAGGCATGCGGTCGATCCTGGTGGAATTGCAAGATGACTGACTCCACGAGTCTCATACGCAGGACCAGGTGCCTGTCGAATAGTTAGCTGTATGTAAGTTCCTGCTGGGATGGTCATTTTCCATCGGTCACGATTCCATGAAAAGCATGAACGGCACATGGTAGTTCGAGAAATAGACTCCCTGCCCACCAGTAGGAGCCGTCCTTTTAGAAAGGTGCCCCGGGCACCATTTCCACACCCGGCGAGCTCAGACTCACCGATCAGTTCGAATGAGAGAACCCTGCCTTGCCAATTTTGACCCATCATCGGAAAGTTCGTAGCATACTGCAAGGAATGGGAGATATGGTTTGGGGGGAGCAGGGAAGGTGGCGAGGCAGAGTGAGCAAATAAGCACGGCGTGCTAAGGACCCTCCGCCCCGGCTCCTCCCAATAACCTCCCCTTGAGAGGTGTCAAAGCGAAGCAAAACAGACCTTTGGCCAATACCCGACAACAGAGCACCTCTGGGTTCTCCTCCACCATGTACTCAAGATCGAGGGGAGCAATGGCCTCAAAGCATCCCGAAGAGGGTTGAGAAACTTGAGGCGAGACGAGCTGCTCTGGAACCCTTAACGGCATACCGGCCACTTAAACTCTCGACCGCCGAAATAGACGCAGAGAGCCCCTGTAGAAGATCTGGCCAACTGATATGTAGTATTGCCGAGTGATCAGAGCATACCTGACCGATGCCACGTGTTCGACATCTGCTTTCACTGCGTATGGCAGTGACTTCAACCCCCAGACCTCGAGTGCCTTGGCCGATGTGGCAGCAGATATCCTCCACTTTGAAATTTCCAAGGAGGCTATTCCGAACATGCTTTAATAAGCTGGGGCCAGTTATCCCCAGTGATCTACCGGGCATGGTCATGCTCCGAGCTCCGCGAGGGAGAAGTAGAGGCCCATTTGCTGGGACACTATTGGCGATTGCGGCTTTGACGTGTATCGCGCATGGAAAGTGGTCCTGTCTTAGCGTTTGTGCATGATTCGACCAAGGCGGCTTGCAGTGAGGAGGAGGGAGGCGGTCAAAAGGATCCTGGTTCGAACGGTTGACGAGTCATATTCTGTCCGAGGGCAGCAGGCAGCCCCACTGGTTCCGAAGGCTCAAAGGGCTTGACATGGGTGCATGCCACAGTAGGGAGTTCCGAACGAGCTGGCGGAAGGCTAAAGCTCAGATGAACGAGTCGCACAACAGCAACTCTGTACAACCAGGCATGACCCAAATCTCGGTGCAGATCGAGAAGTAACACTGACTGAAATCTCAGGAAAGGGCAGACAGGGTAACACAAAGCCACCGCAAAGGTCACACCCGCAGACGGGAAAACTGCTGTTCCTGAGAGGTGGAAGACAATAGCAGCCCTGGCAGAGTGAGGGGGGACCCGGGAATGTGGTCAGAAGCGGGAAGCGACATAGATTTACTGCGACTGGGAACTGCATGCAACCCGTCAGCCATTAAAGGAGCCGGGACAACAGGGAGGGTTGGTGGTGGGGGAGAGACAGAGAAAAAAAGGTGGAAGGCGTTTCAACATAGTTCACATCACCGTTTGGCTGCCTGGAAGCGAGGAAGCGAGGAATCGAGGAAGCAAGGAAGGCGAATGCGAAAGAGCCGAGAGCTGCGAGCTGCGAGCTGCGTGCTGCCAGTGGAAGAGCAAGTGACTTGAGCGCGGCAGCGATGAGCCTGCATGGGCTCCGTATGTTTGGTGCTTTTGTAGGACGCAGACAGACGCGAGAAAGGGGGGGGCAGATCATGTACGTAATGGCAATAGCGTGGGCTCGCATGTACACGGAGTAATGTGCCTAGCGAGCCAAGTACATCAGCGGCTTGAATGGCGGGGAAGGTGGGTGGTATGTACGAAGCAGTAGGAAGCGAAAGGTGCATGGCCCTAGTTCATGATAGTCGGTATGTAATGGTAAGAGATGGGAGACGGCGTGATGGTGTGGTGCGAGATGCGAGATGCGAGGTGGCGCAGTCTGGAGATGGTCCATGGATGGAATGGGATTAGGGAACCTCGCCTATGTCGCCATCCAGCCAGTGGCCAGCTCGCCAGAGTTAAACCTGGCCTGCCCATAACTTGCCCTAGCCTGCCCAGCCTGGCCCTAACCCCCAGAACCCTGCACAGTGTCCGACTTCTGACCTCACCACTTACTCACTTTGCACTCCCTTCTCTCGTGTACCTTGCCTTGTACGGCTTACACGGCTTGTACTATCGGTGAGTGAATGCAACAGCAGCTCTGTTGACATTGAGCTGCCATCGTGAAAGAGCTTCAGTTCTCCAGTCAGTCACAGCCGTACCGTCGCCATTATGCTCGTGGAGAACAATACCACGTCTGCTACATATTGAACCAAACCAGCACTGGCTTGGAAGAGGTAACGTTCAACTCGATTGACCCATCATTCTGTGCACCACGATTGAGCCGCATAGAAAAAGAACTCACACTGCAATCAGACCGAGTCTCGAAATGTCGGTCGCTTCTCTTCCACCAAGCAGATCCTCCCAGGCCCATGCGGTCCGATACCTCCTGCGCCCCCCTTGCTCACTCTTCCCTCAACACCAAGTATATCATCCACCTAACCTGAACGGCCTCATCCTGTCACCCATCTGCTGCCCCGTCCATTTTGCTTTTGCATACTGCTCCTCCCTTGCATGATGGAAGAATACGGCCAATAAGACTTTCTTTGCCTTCGAACTGGTCATGTTGGGTACCCTGTTCAGCTCACTGCTTCCCGACAAGATGCTGTTTTCAATCCACCACACCCTACCATGTGCGTCCTTCGAGACACTGCAGCCCCCTTGCGTCGCCGTTTCTCCTCCTGTGCGTCACTTACTTCCGTCCATGGGGCCAGCCCTATCTCCTCAAACCAGAAGTCGTCCCCGACGTGTTCTCACACTGTCCCAGCCACCGAACCATTTTGGCCAATATGGTAAGGTGGACTTCCGAGACCACTACCTAGATATCACCTACGCTTTGTCTCTCGGTGAGGGCGGAGATTTGATTCGTCCTTGTGCGCCATGTGCAAATCACACTGTCCGCAGCGAGTCCGTCTGCATCTCAATTAGAGGCCCCCATCCGCTGCCTGCCAGATCGACCACAATCAGGCTGGGGCCGGGATCTGGGACATCCATAATGGACATTTCCACTCTCCCTGGCCCTGGTCATTTCGTGCTGCCCTCCTCACTGTTCCACCACGGACCCTGCCTGGGAACTGTACACCCCTTCACATTGTCTGCCTCTAGACCACCTTTCTCAGAGCGGCCATGTCTGCTCCACCACGCCGCCACTACACCCGCTCGCTCAAGAGGCGTAAATGCCCCCCAGGACGAAAACGCTGTTGCTATATTTCGGAGAGGATCCATCAGTTTTGCAAAACTCAACCTCGATTCTCTCTCCATTCACTCCGACTGCGACTCTCCCGGGGGCGTCCATGAAGTGAACCGCCTGCAAGCCGAACTTCATCCCAATAGACCAGAGAATTGCTGTCACTCCGACTTGTGACCTCTACTCTCGAACCTCCTCGTCCGGTAAGTACGGTTCCAATCTACACTGTTCCTTGAAGGTCATTTCCCTACGTTGCGCAGCGATGCCACTTGGGCTTCCCAACAAGCCCATGTCATCGCTGTCATGGATATATTTGACACTGCTCTTTTGAGCTCTGCAGCATTGGCATTTCGGTAATGCACCACCTCTGCCTGTTCGCTGTCCTCCTTTGACGGGGCGTCTGGTGGCACATGAGCCCGTGGATGCAAAGCAGGATATCCTGGTCTGACAGCGTTGGCTGCCACATATTCTTATTATTCAACACAAGCGTCGCTCCTATCTCGATAGGCTTTTTATTTCTCCCTTTCTCTCTTGCCTTCATGGATCCATACGCTTCTTATGTCTGTCCTTCTGACTTTAGGGCAACCAGACTGCAGCGCGCGAATCCTCCCGTTGAGGAATCAAAGCTTCTTCTTTCACAGCAGCACCAGCACCAGCAGCAACAACAACAACAACAGTTGCCGCCATTTCGGGAGGTCAGTTCTTGGAGAAACCCCTAAACAAGACCAAGCTGACGCCTATTAGCTCCTAGGGCCCAATATTCAACCTACGATTGACCCTATCACAGCGAGTGAGTCTACGGCACTTGCTCAAGCGAACAATATGACAAGGAGAACATTTCAACCGCCGCTAAAAATCGAACCACCATCGCCTGAACGATCGCAGAACGGAAACGGGATCGAATCTTTCGACAATATGTCTGCTCAAAGCGGTGACTCGGCATATACCGCCCAAAGTCACCATAGGCAGAACCCGTCCTGGAACTCGACTTCCCAATATAGCGAGCTCGTTAGTCCATATGGCTCTCAACAACGTCCGCCATGCACAATTCAAACCCAATTCCCGCCGTCCAGGGTGAGCCCATGTTTGCCCTCTATTCGAGATTTCGATCGATTGAATGCATACAACCCTTCGTTCCCTTCAACGGGCTCATATGCATACGGCGCCTCAGGGGGGCCTGCAAACGGCCACGAGAGCTACTCTTTCAAGACGGAGACGTCTTCTTATTATGACCCACCCCACCGATATGGACAGAGTTATCCACAGACAAACAGACCGAATGCTCCACAGATGGACTATTCAAGGTATCCGTCCTCGCTCTATGAGTATCGTGGCGGTGTGACATACCCATCACCCTATGCGGGCGATTATCTCCCCTCGCCGACGGGCTCACATCATCCCGTCTCCCCGACCGTGTCAAATGAGGGATGCGGTCTTCCAGGCAGGAGGAGGAGGGGCAATTTGCCAAAACCTATTACGGACTATTTGCGGCAATGGTTCCTGGCGCACCTGGACCATCCGTACCCGACGGAAGAGGATAAGCAACAATTTGCTCAGACGACAGGTCTCACCCTCGCCCAGGTATTACTTTCCTTTGCTGTGAAGAAGCGCGGGCTAATCCTTTAATTCTGTGTAGATCAGCAACTGGTTTATTAATGCCAGAAGACGTCAGCTCCCTGCGCTGCGGCACCAGGTTCGAGAGAGAGCTTCACAAACGTCGACAGCTGAATATGAGTCAGAGCAGGTGCGACGTTAGCTCCAACTGGATGATGCCAGCCAAAAGACTCGTCGGAGTGATATGGGATGCGAGGGTGAAAACGGGGTGGCTTGAATGGGTCTGCAGAATGATGCAACCTGAGGCACTGAAAAGTACGGCTTTGTCGTTTTCTGCATCTCGGGCACTCTACCTCAGTCGATCCACTCTTTTTTTTGGTATGTCGGATAACTTTGAAGAGTTCTTGGTAGTCTGCGGTGCGGTTATCTTTCGGCAGCAGGATACGGTCCCAGTCCATGTGAAGAATGACTCAACACTCACGCAGGAGCTGCGCGGCTGGCAGGCGGTATCAATGGGACAGGATCACTGATTGTATGCAATGGATTCTTTCGGAATTTATATGCAATTATCTCGTCTGCCTACAAGACCTTGACTCTAGATCATAACCGGTGGAAAATTGTCTGGAGGTGCAACGACGATCCACGGAGAGGTTTCACAAAGAAAAAAAAGCGTCGGAGCAGCAGCAGTCCCGCTGGATTAGTTATTGCAGTGACCCTGGCAGTACATGGCACAGCAACGACGACGACGACAACAACAACAACAACAACAACAACAACAACAACAACAACAACAACAACAACAACAACAACAACACAGTAGCATAAGCAAATGTCGGACTAAGACCAGCGGGCGACGTCCATTGAGCCCAAAGACCGAGAAAGATGTCCCTGGGTTAAAAGGGTGCATGGCTAGCTTTAGGATTGCTGCGACTAGATACATACAGTAGATGTCCGGAGGATGGAGTGCTCCGTACAGTACCACCACCCTTGTGCCTCCCAATGGGCTCGCAGAAAAGGGAAAAGGAAATTGGCATTGAGACGGTGCTTGACGGCGGGATGTGCGCCTACATACATACAGTCGCGGCAGTATTGTTATGAGTGAGGGCCACTCTGTCCATTGTCAAAGAAGGGAGGCAAGTGTTGGGGAACGGCTTGGCCCAGTGATCCGACCCGAACGCTTTGCTTTCAGAGAAGGCTGCCAATCTAACAGGGGGGCAAGGGTTCTTGTTTATGTATTAGGCGAGCCGGGAGCATAGCACCGAGGTACAGAGCTGACAGCGAAGACTGGCGCAGGGGAAACTTACGCTTTGGCACGCTGCAATTGTGGACGTAGGAAAGAAGATGCATTGGTCGCTTTCAAGCCCACGTGTTGTATGATGAGGATCGGGGAATGTCGGCATAAGGCTGGTGGGCGTACTCAGCATTTGTACATAGCAAGAAACAGGCGAGCCTGGGCATTGCAAGAACTCTTCCCAAATATGTACTCCGTTGTGGATTCAGTTCGCCAGCAAATGTTGAACTCGGCCATGACACGGATCCCGGCATACGAGACTGCAATTAATAATACTTGGCAGCCTTGTCACCCACCCGTGATTGGCATTATACCAAGTATTTTTGCCCAAGTATGTATGTACATGTGTAGCTGAAACAACTGCGCGAATTATGTACTGTATCTGATGGCTATGTACATATGTATGTATTCCAGGGCAGATAAGATTAGATGACGTGGAAGCCATCAATTGAGTGGATGAGGTGCCAGTGCCAGGGGCCTAGAGTAAAGGTTGTAGTGGGCTCAGCCGGGGAGCAAGGGAAACGCCATTGTAGCGCTGATGGTACCAGAAATTGGGCGTCAAGAAGCCGTAATCGGAGCTGATGGAGTTGCGCCCAAGCCTAAGGACTCGAGGTATGTAAGACAGAGGGATGATACATACTTGTTAGAAGAACCCCAATAGATTTCCTGGCTATGTCCATCTTTTTTACATGAGTATACCCTCCATTTCGGCGGGCACCGGAGAGGGATTAGAGCAGGCGGAAGGGACGATCGTGTACTGTACGAGATAGATCTCGAGTCGGTTGACAGGCCGAGAAACCGACAATCAAAAACACGGAAATTGATCACATCTTATCGTATCAATCTCCTGTCAGAAGTGGGATGGGCATGTGGGACAACGTCAAAAATACATACCCCAGTCGGGCCTTGTTGGGAAATCCACTCATGGCAAGCAGGATCAAGTTGCCCAGTCCCGAAGTCGCAGGCACCACGCGGTACGAAGTACGGCAAGAGAGGGTCGTGAGGGTCGTGAGGGTCTTGACTCCGAAGGGATAGCCGTTCCCAACTGCCTGTTTGGTGTAACAAGTACTTGTAAAAAGAATATCCATATCCATGGCCAAGCTGCCGGCAATCGGCGCGGGGCACGGCCGAGCACGGTTCAAGGGCGAGTCGAGATCGGCTTTCTCTTTTTCCCTGTCTGCGGGAATGGGTCACCAACCCGGCAGCAGTAGGAGTGGCATGACAAGTCTGGCCCTGGCTGGCGAAAGAATTCCGGGAGAGAATCAGGTGGCAATGCAAACTCAACGGAGGACGTCCAGGGGAGGCGTGGTGTGAGCCTGTCTCATTGATGTGATGTGCACCAAGGTGGAAAAAGACCCTCATGGGAGAGAAGAAGAAGAAAAGGGGAGCCAAAGCGGAAGAGGCCAGCGAGCCGGATAACAAACATACTTGGACTGGTTACTGGTACGTGTACTGTACTGGTAGGTACATAGTACTTAGCCATGAAAGAGACTGGGAACTTGCCCGATAGCCAGAAGCCAGAAGCCAGAAGCCAGAAGCCAGAAGCAAAAAGCAAAAAGCACGAAACCATCGAAAAAGATCTTCCTTTCTTCCCACCTGCCTCCCCCATCAATTTCTCCGATTTCTATCCACACCACCTTCTTTTTCCCTTCAAAACTCCCACTTCATTCCTCTGTTGCTGGTTCTCTCTCCTCCACCAATTCTCAACAGAGTCGTTGCATGCATAGACTTGCAATGTCCAACACCAACACCAACACCAACAGTCCTTACCGCTGATTTAATCGTGTCTTGCCTCCGACAAGCCCTCGAGCCAAGCTGTCTGGACGCGGTCTAAGTCGAGGGCTCCTCCTGGCCTGCGCCGCCGCCCCTCCGAGGCCTCATTCCGCACCTTACATCATCTCCTCATCTGCCCGTGAGTTCTCAGCCCACAAGCCCACACAACCCGCTTTCAACCGTACTTATGGCATTGCTGCCAAATCCCCCTCGTCCATCGCCCTTCACCGTGCCCGCTATCATGTCCGGGAGCTGAATGCTTCTGTTCTGCATGCTGAAAAGTTTCTCAAATTTTACTGACTGGTCGCCATATCCAGGTCTCCTTCACACTATTCGTTGCCGTCCCAAGATGTCAACCACCATGGCCTCGGGGCATGCAGTGCCTCTCACGGCCCATTCACACCCTAATGATCCTGTTCCTGAAGAGCCTTTGGCCACGCGAAAACTCTCAATCTCTGCCTCGCAGCTTTCACACTCCTTCCCCTCGAATGGTCCCTCCAGTTCATACTCCGACAGCGCCTCCAGCGTAGACACAGCTCCCACAACCCCGACCACCGACCACCTCTCAGATGTCTCCCTCGATGAACTACAAGGCCAACCACCCCAGAGCCCACAGGGCAAGAAGAGGCGGGCTTCAACGTTGTTGGTCTCACAGGATTCGGAAGATGCGAGGCGATTTCTGGGCGAGCGGGGCGCTTCAACCGCCATGATCCAGAAAGCCTGCTGTGGTGGAGGTTGCTGCATGCTTCAAGAGTTGAAAACAAGGAGACCTCACCCGGGGCAGACCCCTCTCAAGGTCCCTCAGAATGCGGCCTACCAGAGTTTAAAGATCAACCTGGGCCATCTGAGTTTGGACAGTGAGCTCTCAGGCATTGTCGAGTTGCCCCCCAAGACGGCTTCGTTCGAGCCGTTGTCGACGTCACCTTCGCGGACCTACGCAGAGCCCCAAAGACATCGAAAGTCCGAAGTCCCGAAGCATCCTCCCACTTTTGTCACCCCGCACCCACCTTATGAAGTATTCTCAGCACCTCTGTTTCACGCTCGCGAGTTGACAAAGCCTGGCGCGGAGAAAAGGACATATCACTTCGACATTGACGTGACTGATTATCCCAAAGAAGGTGGAGACGTCGATTTCGTCGTGGGAGGTGCCATCGGCGTATGCGTCCCCAACCCGCCTGACATGGTCGACCGCATCTTTGATTTGTTGGCCGTCCCGAGTTTTGTGCGAGACAAGCCGATCTTGCTGAAGACCACTACGGGAAGATGGCCCACGATCTGGGGAGAAGAGGAGGCCCGAGAATTGGTCACCACAAGAAGAGAGCTTCTGACATGGTGCTCGGACATTCAGAGCTACCCTCCCACCAAACATCTCTTCCGGCTCTTGGCCGAGCACGCAGAAGACAAGAACGAAAAGACCATCTTGATGTACTTGTCTTCAGCCCAAGGTCAGGCAGCCTTCTGCGACCTCCGAACCGGCCCGTACATCACCCTTCCACAACTTCTCAGTGCTTTCCCCTCCTCCAGGCCTCCTCTCGACCATCTCCTTTCCGTCCTCAATCAACTCATGCCCCGATTCTACTCACTGTCCCAGGACCCCACTATCTCCTGCCAGCGAGACGGGACAAAATGTCGACGATTGATTGAAATTGCAGTGACGGTCCACGAAACGGATGACTACGCCACCGGAAAGCGGGCCGGTGTGGGATCGGGCTTTTTGGAGAGACTGGCAAAGCAGGTCATCCAGGCGGAGCAGGAAGGGAAGAACCCCCGAGACCTAGATTTGAGGATTCCCATGTTCCGCGGCCTCATGGCCAACCCCTTGGCCCGCGAATTTGTCACGGATGGACCCATGCTTCTCATCGGCGCCGGGGTTGGTATTGCTCCCTTCCGAGGTTTTGTCCATCGTCGACTGAAGTCGGCCAACTGCGCGAACAAAGTCTGGGTGCTGCAAGGAGTGCGGGACAGTCTTGTAGATGAGCTCTACTCGGGTGACTGGGGCGTGCACGAAGACAAAGTGAAAAAAGTTGTTCAATCTCGACGAGGAAATGGACGTTACGTTCAAGAAGAAGTCCGCGCCCAAGCTGACTTGGTCTGGTTTATTATCAATGCCGTCAATGGAAGGATCTTTGTCTGTGGAAGTTCAAAAGGCATGGGTGAAGGTGTGGAGGCTGCGCTGGTGGATGTGGCCATGGCCAAGGGCAAAATGAATCGTGAGGAGGCGAAGAGCTTCTGGGACGAGAAGAAGAGTTCAGGCCAATATATTGCAGAGACCTGGTGACCGGCACCTGAGGTCTCGATCTGCAAAGGACATCTGCGCATTCGAAATATGCGGTCCACAAACGATTGTGTGCGAGTCAACAGCATCGAAACCCCCCCCCC